GGATGATACGAACGAATACTTTTGCAAAACAACATTAGAAGAAGACCCAAACCCAGAACCTATCCCATACGTTATGCAAAGTGAAGTAAGAAGAGCTATCCAAACACAGAAAGCTGGTAAATCACCTGGAGATGATATGATAACTAATGAATTACTAAAACTTACCATGGAAGAAATAATACAACCTTTTACACAGATATGTAATGAAATATTGGAAACTGAGCAAATTCCTTCCCAATGGACATCGTCAACAATAATTCTCCTACATAAAAAAGGAGATAAAAATAAAATTAACAATTATAGACCCATCAGCTTGATGCCGAACTTGTACAAAGTGTTCAGTAAAATTTTATTACACCGCTTGACTAAAAAATTAGACAGTAATCAACCCAGAGAACAAGCGGGATTCCGCTCAGATTTTTCAACTATTGATCACATACATACTGTCAAGCAAATTATTGAAAAATACAATGAATACGACCTCCCATATTACCTGTCCTTCGTAGACTATAATAAGGCATTTGACTCTTTGAAGCATAATTACATATGGGATTCTTTAAAAAACCAAGGAGTGGAAAATAAGTTCATTAAGATCATTAGGAACATATACGTCAACAGCACAGCAAAAGTACAACTTGAAAACGTTGGAGAGCAATTTAAAATACAGAAGGGAGTAAGACAGGGAGACCCGCTGTCACCAAAAATATTCAATGCAGTTTTAGAAAATATATTTAGGCAACTTAATTGGGAATCTTTCGGTATTCAAATAAACGGGGAAAAACTACACCACCTGAGATTCGCAGATGACCTCATTTTGTTCGCAGAAGATCCTATCACACTAAGAACAATGTTAAAACAACTAGCAGCAGAAAGTAAAAAGGCAGGTCTAACGATGAATATTAGTAAAACAAAAATGATGACAAATAGAACTGAAGTCAAAATTGAGGTGGACGAAGAAGAGATTGAATACGTAAAAGAGTATATTTACCTGGGTCAAGTCATATCTGTGGAAGATCTATCAATTAAAGAAGTAGAAAGACGAGTAAATAACACCTGGCAAAGATACTGGTCCCTCAGGGAAATTATGAAAAATAAATCTGTACCCATTTCGGAAAAGAAAACCATTTATAATACTTGTATACTTCCATGTCTCACTTACGGCTGCCAGACCTGGCCACTAACACAAAAAATTGAGCACAAACTGGGAGTATGCCAAAGAGGAATGGAAAGAAGTATGTTGGGACTTAAGTTAAAAGACAAGTGGAAAGCGAAAACAATTAGGAACATAACCAAAGTAGCAGATGTTAAAGTAAAAACACGAACTTTGAAATGGAAATGGACTGGTCACATGATGAGATCAACAACAGGAAAGTGGACCAAAAAAGTAACAGAATGGTACCCGAGGGACAGCAAAAGACGTAGAGGAAGGCAGAAAAAAAGATGGGAAGATGATCTGCCCAAAGGTTGGAGAAGGGCAGCAATGGATAGGCAAATGTGGAGGGAACTTGAGGAGGCCTATGTCGCAAGACAACCTGACCTGGTAACTGATATCAAAATTTAAGTTTTATACATACAGAAAATAGAAATAAGTAAAGTTATTATAATATAGTTAAGTAAAGTTAGTATAGTTTTGTTTTTATTTTATTGTAATACAAATTGTGCAAGGTCAGAGTAAATAAAGGCTATTTTATTTTTATTTATTATTTTATTTATTTATTTAATAGAAGGAAGGTCGTCCGTGTGGTGACGGATTAAGAATACGGAGTGTCACCACCCCTATTCATCAGTACAACAACACTGCAAAGAGAAGGAAAAATTGAAAGGAACCCTATACCAACCCGTCTGATCAACCAAAACCTCCTTTCTAAGGAGAGACCTATGTCCAGCAGTGGGTGATGAACAGAAGGAAATAATTATTGATTTTTTAAATTATTTACGGGAACACGCGGTGTTGCAAACTGCTCATCGTTTAGATATTATTATTTAGCGGTTTAACAGATCACGGCAAACATTTTTTAATTTGGCCGTATGCCGTGTTTCCTGCGCATGTCTTACAATTTATTATCTGCGGCCGTTACGCGTTTCCCGCGTTAAAAATACATAAAACTATTTTTAATTTTCTTTAGATAATGAACCATGATTGATTATTATCATAAAATACCTATTTATAATTTTATTAGGAGTAATTCGCCCTTGAAAATTTAATAGAAAGTAGATTTTTAATTAAAATATAAGCTATCTGTGTAGGTTATAAAAAATATTGTAATACGTGTTACTTTTTATTGTTTTCCAATTATTATTATTTTTATGTTAGAAGTGGCAGACGAGCAGACGGGTCACCTGATGGAAAGTGACTATCGTCGCCCAGGAACGTCTGCAACTCACAAACTCGTTGTCGGCCTTTTAGGAAGGAGTACGCTCTTTTCTTGAAGGTTTCAAGGTCGCATCGTCGTAATTAACTTATAATAGTAGTTTAGGTTACCTGGCCTGTTGGTCTAGAAGTGAGTAGCAATCTTAACTGCTAAGCTAGAGGTGATGGATTCGATTTTTAAACTCATGAAAAATTATTTTTTACTTTTTAGTCCGGCTTTCTATAAAAGCGTATTTTTTTTGTTTTTTAAACTATAATTTACTTTTGTTTTTTTTGTGTCTGGGTGTTATTTATCTATAATATGTATGTATTTAGATACTAGCTTCACAAACATAGAACAAATGATCGTGTTTTTCACTCAATATTTGTCCTGGGTTTGAAACGACACCACGACCGGTGTGTGGTAATCATAATCATAAGTGATTTAGCAGTAATTTTGTAAATTAGTCACAGGTTTTGTCACATATGATTCATCATATGTGATTTCACTCTATCCCTAGTACGTAATGTCCGTATGTAGTTTTGTAACTCCTAAAAATATCTCAGTTAAAAGCTTTTAATAACTACGAGGTTTAAGTTCAAGGCTCACACTGGCGCTGTGCCAGCACTCGAAGAATATTTCCTTTGATTTAAGCTGATTTTATACGAAATGTTCTCGCGAAATTCAACGGATTTCTACTGAGTCATTTCTAGAGTATCTCTGTTAAAGTACACTAGTAAAACTTCAGGATAATATAATGCTAAATAATGTTTACTTTATTTGTGGTTTTATCTAGAACTACTACTCGGTTTTGAGAAATTCTTTGTGCATTTAATAGTCCAAATCGTGAGGAAAATTTCAAGCTTTATTTCCAAACCACTTATGATGTTACTTAAAGTTATGTTACTTGAAGTTTTCAAATCTAAAGTTTGTTCTTTCACTTTATAGCACGTATTATTTAAAAATGTTAACTTCCCGCACTTCTACGTATAAACATTATGTATTTCAAATATGATATTTTGCTTCTAAGCGCCATATTTGCTTTTATCGGTTCAGCGGTTTAAGCGTAAAGAGCTAACAGACAGATTATATTTATAACTAGCTGAGACCCGTGGTGTTACCCGCGTTTGATGTTATAACCGCGGGCAACGCCGCGGGGCGAAGCTAGTCTAAAAAAAGTAGCCTAAGTTACTCCTTATGTCATCAGCTATCTGCCAGTGAAAGTCCCGTCGAAATCGGTCCAGCCGTTCCAGAGATTACCCGGAACAAACAGACAGACAAAAATTGTAAAAAATGTTATTTTGGCATATGTACCGTGGTGACGGATTAAGAATACAGAGTGTCACCACCCCTATTCATCCCGTGGGTGTCGTAAGAAGCGACTAAGGGAAAAAACTAGGCAGGACAACAGCACTGCAGAGAGAAGGAAAACTTGACACGAACCCTATACCAACCCGTCTGGCCAGCGTGGTATAGTAGGCCAAAACCTCCTTTCTGAGGAGAGGCCTATGTCCAGCAGTGGACTATTAAAGGCTGTTGATGATGATGATGACCGTGTAAACATACATATGCATTTAGTAAAAAGCGTTTATTTTAATATTACAAACAGACACTCCAATTTTATTTATTTGTATAGATTTGATTTAATTTGATATTTGCCGTGGGTAGCTTCTGCACAACTTACTGCACGGGAGGCGTAGTAGTTTAAGTGGTCACCTCCCTGCTTTCTGCTGTGTGATCCACAAACTGTTGTTCTGAGTCTGAGTGTTCTTTGTGTCCGTTTCATGTATGTTTATTAAGTCTCCTGCGACACAGCAATATATTCCTAACTAGCTGACCCGCGCAACTTCGTCTGCGTCTCTCAATAGTAATAAATTTTCTCCGTTTTTGAAACATTCTTCATTGGTGCTCCACTCCTATTGGTCTTAGCGTGATGATATATAGCCTATAGCCTTCCTCGATAAATGGGCTATCTAACACTGAAAAAATTTTTCAAATCGGACCAGTAGTTCCTGAGATTAGCGCGTTCAAACAAACAAACTCTTCAGCTTTATAATATTAGTATAGATGTGGGAGTGGTCTTAAAAAAAAAAGAAAAACAGACAGACAGATATACTTTCGCATTTGTAATATTAGTATGGAGTGGACAGTATGGCTAGATATTGCAATAGTAGTATACTCTACTAAATAATAATCTACTGAGTAATATTATCACATCATCAGCATAGTCCACTGCTGGACATAGGTCTCTCCATAGAAAGGAGGTTTTGGCCTACTATACCATGCTGGCCAGACCTAAAGTCAGTTAGTGTCAAGATTTTCTTATCTTTGCAGTGCTGTTGTCTTGCGTAGTTTGTTCCCTTAGTCGGCTCTTACGACACGGATGAGCAACGGCGGAGACACTCCGTATTCTTAATCCGTCACCACACGAAAGAATATAATAAATAATATACTGTGTTAAATAATAATTTACTGAGTAATATTATGATAAATTAATAACTAAAAAAGAGTAATTTTGACAGAAACTTAAATAAAATCTCGAGCATTCGTAAGTTGGTGCATCGGTTTAAGAGCTAAGATGCCACAGACAAACACAAATATATACTTTTAAATTTATAACCCGCCTAATAGCTTACAATTCATTTCCAGGTGTTTGAACACGCATTCACCTCTGGATTCAGTCAAGAGGAAATCTTATCGGCCATAGCAACAATGCGCGCCACACCAGGCGTAGAACAGCTGATCACCACGCTCGCGGCTGAAGGCTGGGACGTGATCATTTTGACAGATGCCAACAGCGTCTTCGTGCAGCACTGGTTGAAGGTTCATGGTCTATTGGTGAGAACAATCATCTATACATATAAAATTAATTGGCCTGACTGTTTGATTTAATAACGCAGAGCCTAAAACAGTGTACGAAAAAAAAGAATATGTATTTATATATATATATATATACTAGCTGAGACCCGCGGTGTTACCCGCGTTTGTTGTTATAACCGCTGGCAACGCCGCGGGGCGCAGCTAGTCTAAAAAAGTAGCCTAAGTTACTCCTTATGTCATCAGCTATCTGCCAGTGAAAGTCCCGTCGAAATCGGTCCAGCCGTTCCAGAGATTAACCGGAACAAACAGACAGACAGACAGACAAAAATGGTAAAAAATGTTATTTTGGCATATGTACCGTGTAAACATACATATGCATTTAGTAAAAAGCGGTTATAGCAAATATATCATTTGAATTTAAATTTATTCTAGTATTACAAACAGACACTCCAATTTTATTTATTTGTATAGAGTATAGATAGAGAATGCAGAGTGAAGCCACATTACTCGTATAAATAAATATATTGTTTAAATAAATATACAGGGTGTAAGGGACGACGTACCGAATACTGAAATAGTGTATTCAGACCATGATTCTGGGTCGAAAATCATTGAATTTTTCTGACGGAAACTTTGTGTCCGTTTCATGTATGTTTGTAAAGTCCTCCGCGACACAGGATATATTCCTAATGCGGGAGTTGTCTTTAACAAAAAAAACACCCAGACTTAGACCAACAATTTGTGGATCACACAAAATGTCGCCCTTGTGGGGATCGAATCCACAACTCTCAACGCAGTAGGAAGGCAGAACACACTTAAACCACTACGCCATCCGTGCAGTCTACTTAAGTATAGGGGTCCAGTATATATTTTAACTTACTTTTCGTATTCTCAATCTTCTTTTATCGAAATCAGTTAAATATAAAGTAGTTCATAACATCCGTGTGGTGACGGATTAAGAATACAGAGTGTCACCACCCCTATTCATCCCGTGGGTGTCGTAGGAGCCGACTAAGGGAGTCAACTACGTAGGACAACAGCACTGCAAAGAGAAGGAAAACTTGAAACAACTTCTGGTCGGCATGGTATAGTAGGCCAAAATCTCCTTTCTAAGGAGAGGCCTATGTCCAGCAGTGGACAAATTAAGGCTGTTGATGATGATGTTTATTACATGACTCAAGGAGAACAGAAGGCCAAATCATGTATAAAAAATTCGTTTACAATTCTGTGCCGATCAACTCTGAAGCTCACAAATATCAGAAAAGGTACTTTCGTAGTAAAGTATTAAACATCATACGTTTGTTATGTGATTGTATCGTATTGTGACTGAAAGTTAAAATAATAATACTAACGCCATCTAATTTCAAACTAAGCAGAGCTTGTACTATGAAAGCTAGATTGACTGATAGAATACTTTTTTTTGTAAATACGTACATATTATACATATAAAACAATCAAATTCCGAAACAAATATTTGCAGATCATACAAACATTTGGTCCGACCTGGTAATCGAACCCGAAATCTCAGCACAGCAGTCGCATACGCTACCACTGCACCAACGAGGCAATCGAAGTTGAATCAGTTATTCTAGTCGTAGTAATATTTGACTATGAGAATACCTTATATGATACTAGCTGACCCGCGCAACTTCGTCTGCGTCTCTCAATAGTAATAAATTTTCTCCGTTTTTGAAACATTCTTCATTGGTGCTCCGCTCCTATTGGTCTTAGCGTGATGATATATAGCCTATAGCCTTCCTCGATAAATGGGCTATCTAACACTGAAAGAATTTTTCAAATCGGACCAGTAGTTCCTGAGATTAGCGCGTTCAAACAAACAAACAAACAAACAAACTCTTCAGCTTTGTAATATTAGTATAGATATGCGAGAACGAGAGTAGATTGGAACTGAATTTTGACCAATTTTTATCACGAGAATTGGCCTTCAAGGTACCACACAGTGGCGATGTGATCAATCAACCGTATTCAGCTAATAAACAATAATATAATTATCACCTCGGAGTGCGCATGCGCATATTATCACCTACCGTCTTTACATCACAGTCAATAAAACAATAAGTATATTAAAGGAACGTATTTGTTATGAATCAATCGTGACTATTATTTTTATAGAAATCGATTGTGAATTTAACCTTATTACAATGCTGTAACTACCAACAGGATTAAGAATACAGAGTGTCACCACCCCTATTCATCCCGAGGGTGTCGTAAGAGGCGACTAAGGAAGCAAACTACGTAGGACAACAGCACTGCAGAGAGAAGGAAAACTTGAAACAAACCCTATACCAACCCGTCTGGCCAGCGTGGTGTAGTAGGCCAAGCCCTCCTTTCTAGGGAGAGGCCTATGTCCAGCAGTGGACTAGTAAAGGCTGTTGATGTGAACTACCAACAGGACTTTGGTTTAGTGGTGAGTGTTCCTGGCTGCTAAGCCTGAGATCGTGTATAAAATAATAATAATAATTATATTGTACCACATTCACACAACGCCATCTAGTCCCAAACTAAGCAGAACTTGTACTATGGGTACTAGACAACTGATATAAATACATATATATGTGTTTTTTGTAAATACATACATATTATACATAGAAACACCCAGACCAAATCAAACATTAAATGTTCATGCACACAAATGTTTGACTTGAGCGGGAATCGAACCCACGACCTTTGGAATAGCAGTCCGTTACACAAACCACTACACCATTCGCCAGGACAAATAATAGTACGAAGAGCGTGATAATTTGGGCTGTGTCTTAGCGTAGTTGATTTATAATACGTATGTCTGTTTTTAGAAATGTATCACACCACACAACACATCAACAGCGTTTAATAGTCCACTGCTGGACATAGGCCTCTCCTTAGAAATGAGGTTTTGGCCTACTATACCACGCTGGCCACACTGGTTTTGTCAAGTTTGCTTTCTCTTTGCAGTACTGTTGTCCTGCGTAGTTTGCTCCCTTAGTCGGCTCTTACGACACCCACGGGATGAATAGGGGCGGTGACACTCTGTATTCTTAATCCGTCACTACAAAAATAAATATATTAAATAATATACTGTATTACTTTTTTAGTTTTCTGTTATGTATTACATAAAATAAAATCTCGAGCATTCATAAGTCGGTGCAACATTTAATAGTCCACTGCTGGACAAAGGTCTCTACTTAGAAATGAGGTTTTGGCCTACTATACCACGCTGGGCAGATATGTTTACCTCCTCAGTACAATTGATTTACAAAACCTTTATTAAAGTCGGTCGAAAGCTAGTTAATAAATAATAACTTTTAGTTCACCAGTTGTTACATTCCCGTGAAGGAATCCAAATATTTCCCATTAAAGTAATTACTAAGTTACACATCGTATGTCATCAACGTAACGTACTCAAGGTTATGAAAGCTCTGCCTGGAGCTTATTGATTAACGATCTTTTGATAGCTGCTTCTTTTGGGTTTATGTAGATTTTTTTTATGGTTACGAAACAAAAGAGCAGACGTCACAACTCCAGAGCGCGCGCGCGCCTTTTGAAGGGGACACCGTAGACGGCCCGGGGTTCGTGAGCGCTCAAGGGATTTGCTTTCTAGGTTACACCTGATTCTCCGGGTACTGGTGCCCGAGACGGTAACCACCCCAACGGTCATCCGATAGGTATCGAGGGTAGGACGAAAAAAAAGGTGAGAGTTGGGTCTCCGTGAACTTCACTCACTCTGTGAAAAAGAACGAAAGATTGTTGAACAGATGTCGTCTGTGAGGCTGAGGTATCACTCCGGACGAGCCGGCCCAGTTACTGCGATGAATACCATTCTTATCATCATAATCAAGAGCCTTTAATAGACAAACTCAAACTCAATCATCATCAATCAGAAATCATTTATGTAGACTCTAAAGTCATAGATCAACACACACAATAGCAACAATCTCTGTTTCGTCAAATATTTAGTAAAATACATTTATGTAACGGGCCTGTTGGTCTGGTGGTTAGTGACCCTGACTGCTAAACCGGAGGTCGTGGGTTCGATTCCCTCCCAGAACAAATATTGTGTGATGAGCACGGTCATTTGTTCTGTGTCTGGGTGTAATTTATCTATAATATGTATGTATTTAGAAATATATAAGTATGTTTATCAGCGGTCTGGTTACTATAGTACAGGCTCTGCCTAGTTTGGGATCAGACGGCCGTGTGTGAGTGTGTGAGATATATATTATTATTATAATATACCTATCGAAAATCTATGCCGATCTACAACCGCCTGTTTCAAAGGGGTCCACTGCTGGGCATAGACCTCTCCTTAGAAAGGATGTTTTGGCCTACTCGTAAACCACTCTAATACCATTCTTATGTTCATCAACAGCCTTTAACAGTCCACTGCTGGACATAAGCCTCTTCTTAGAAAGGAGGTTTTGGCCTACTAGACCACGCTGGCCAGACGGGTTGGTATAGGTGTGTCAAGTTTTCCTTCTCTCTGCAGTGCTGGTGTCTTTGCATTTTGCGCCCTTAGTCGGTTCTTACGGCACCCACGGGATGAATTGGGGTAGTGACATTCCGTATTCTTAATCCGTCACTACACGGACACGTGTGTCTGTGGTAATCGAGTAGATTAAAACATTGTAATGTTACATTGCTCTTCATAAAATTAGAATATTAATGTTTTCAATTTCTTCCCTTAAAGGATTCAGTTACTTCAATAATAACCAACCGAGCCTTCTTCGAAGACGGCCGGTTGTTCATCGAGCCGTGCATGCGTCAGACGGCCTGCTCCCGCTGCCCCACCAACCTATGCAAGTCGCTGGCGCTCGCCCAGTGGTGCGCCAAACATAATTACGACCGCATTGTGTACACGGGGGACGGCAGGAATGACTACTGTCCGTCCACCAACTTGCCTGCTACTGTGAGTTTATTTTAAAAATATTTTATAGATTAAGAATACCAGAAGATTGATCTTCTGGTATGCTTAAGGAATAGGTATGTTAAAGGGTCATTCGTAAATTATGTCACAATTTTAAGGTGTTTTTACCCACCATTGTCCAGGAGAAAATTAGATCCAAGTGATCATTCTTTGACATCGGACGGATATTTATGGGAAAGTTTCCTGGCGAGACCCTTAGATTATTTACCTTACAGCCTTTCGACCCAGTTGACGCTGATTGCTAAGTGGGATCGTGGGTTCGATTGCCACCCAGGACAAATAATAGTGTGGTGATCACGATCATTTGTTCTTTACCTGAGTGTAATTTATCTATAATTTGTAAATATTTAGTAATATATAAGAATGTTTATCAGCAGTCTGGTTACCATAGTACAGGTTCTGTCTAGTTTGAGATTGGACGGCCGTGTGTGACATGTGTGAAGGTTATTATTCTTATGAATGGTTTCTTAATAGAATGTTATGTCCTTCCACAGGCCACCGTTTTTCCCCGCCGTGGGTACCCCCTCGACGATCTGATCAAGAAGACAATGGCTACTGATTCCCCTCAAGTCAAGGCCAAGGTCGTGCCCTGGGACGACTGCTATCGAGTTCTCCAGGAGCTGTTCCCCGGGAAGGCTCCTGCTGTTCCTTCGTAACTGTGATCTTTGTATTTAAGATGAACTTGTAGATGGATAAAGAGATTTATAATAGCAATTTAAATTTATCGTCGTTAGCACAAGTAAGATGACGCCGACCGAAATGACAGAACTGACATTACATTTTTATTTATTTATTTATGCACAGACTATCCATTTTCATACTTTTAGTACCTTAAAAAACATTTCTTTATTTTTAATTGTTTTTTAATTGGCAAGGTAGTGTGTATGCCATTTAAAAAAAACCTTGAATCTTGTGCCTTAGTCTATGCCTTATGTCAATTCAAATATGTGCTATCAATTTTGGAGGGAAAAGTTTAGAAGCACTGTCTGGAGGGTAAAAACAAAGTGATTAAAAAAAAGAAAATAAAGTTTATATCGGACCTCAATGGCGCTATTGTAGAACAGCGGTTTAATATGAACGTAGCCATAGAGAACCAGGCCATCGGCGGACACTTAGCTATCATAGACGGAGTTTGAGATATTATTAGCGCCAACTGTAGCAGCTAAAATTATAAAAAAGAAATTTTTACAGATGTCTTAATGTATGTTAATATATTATAGTGTGTTTTACTTTAATATTGACTTGACTTGAGACTGTTGGAGTAAAAAATAGTATTTTTCTTCTTTTTTTTCTTTTTTTTTTCTTACAATATCTTTACAGTAGTATTCCAAGGCGATATTGTAGCCACATTAATTAAACTTAAGGCAAACTAAACCAAATTACAAACTAAATTAACAAATTTTACTTAGTGCTATAATTGTAAATTCACTCGGAGAACAACAAAATATATCCACATCGTCAGCTATGAGGTTGAGTGTGCGCAGCGCGCGCGTCAAAGGTGCCTCGCGCAGTAAGTTAGTGCGTGCGCGCGGCACCGCCAGAAGGCGCGGTCGCCGCCGACGTCCTGCGTAGCCGTCTGGGACACACAGACCCACCCTCTCTAATTTAACTGAATTTAAAGATTTGTAATGTAAAGTTGTAAAAAAATGTTTATGTGCACTTGCATTGCAAACGCTGGCTAAACCTTACGAAATAGACCAAAATAATGTAGGTACTACTGGAATTGGATCTTTAAAAAATCTACCAACAAATCCGCGATGGTATATGTCTATCTCCTAATGATAACCCAAAGGTAACCATTTATATTTTACAAAAAAATCGGTTGTCTGTAAAGTCGGTTTACTGACGATAGTTGAACGAGACAACGTCATAAGAAAATACTGATGGAATAGTTGCATTTTACGAAAACATGTAAATGTATTATTGTATAGCAGCTGTCCAAGCGGACGCATCGCTCACTCAAGTAGGAAAGAGAGAGATGTCAAACGCTGCCGAAGGCGGAGGCCGATTGTGCCTCTTTGTCGCTCGTTCCGCGCTCTCGCTTGCACTTCAAGCCTTAAATGGAACGCCTCAGAGCGAGGTAACGCCGCATGAGTCATGTTTTTTCGTGCGTGCAGCCGGCTCCATCGAATTATAAGACGTTGTCAAATCAAAAATATTGGTTATTTGGGGAGATTTCGTAAAAAGGGACGGAAATGTGTAACAGGAAGCCGAGGAAGCGCGTGCTTTTTGATTTCACTTATAAGCGCGCTGTGCTAGAACTGTCCGTCAGGTGGTAGGTTAAATATTAGATGTTATTATATATTATAGATTATAGAACAACAATTTGTGGATCACACAAAGTGTCGTCCCATGTGGGGCTCGAACCCGCAATACTCAACGTTACTACGTTGAGTATTGCGGGTTCGAGCCCCTCTGTTTCGCGGGGGACTTTACAAACATACATGTAAACGGAAACAAAGAACACCCAGACTGAGGACAACAATTTGTGGATCACACAAAGTGTCGTCCCATGTGGGTCTCGAACCCGCAATACTCAACGTAGTAGTAAGCGGCGTGGCGACCGTTTAAACCACTACGCCATCAGTGCAGTCGATGGCGTAGTGGTTTAAACGCTAATTCTGACTACATATTTATCTTTTATCTACCCAAGAAAGTGCTCACACACACGTTACACAGATATGTAAGGGCGTATGCACATACAAGCTAGTACATTATATTCCAGTGACCACATGACATGTGATATGAAAATGATATAAAATTAGTGTTTTATGTCACATTGATATCACATTTACGTTTTACGTCATGTGTTAATTGGGATGTAACTACTGTAACGCTCACTCGTTTTAATTAATCATAATCAACAGCCTATAATATTCCACTGCTGGACATAGACCTTTCATTAGAAAGGTTTGTTTTTAATTCTGTCAATTTCAGTCGGCGCCATGCGAACAACTTCTAATTATTCCGGTCCATCTGAATATTGCTTATAGCGATAATACCGTTTTTTGTACATATTCTGTGTATTTCTTATGAGCACTTTGTGTTGATGTATTGAAAATAAATATTATTTATTTATTAAATACTCTTGTTTTAATTTATTGCCATTTTATTCATATCCATACTAACATTATTAGTGTGAAAGTGTGTCTGTATGTCTGTCTGTCTGTTACCTCTTCACGCCTAAACCGCTAAACCGATTGAGATGAAATTTGGTATAGAGATAATTTAAGTTCCGGGAAAGGACATAGGATAGTTGTTTTCCTAGAAATCAAGGGGATGAAAAGGGGACACGGGCGGAAGTTTGTATGGAGAATCAACAACCGCTAAACGGATTAAGATGAAATTTGGTACGGAGATAGTTTGATTCTTGAGGAAGGACATATTTCTTTTACCGACATACACGCGGGCGGAGCCGTAGGCAAATGCTAGTTGTTTTTAAGTCTAAGCTTTAATAATAGCATTCACGACTTCTGCAACGAATCTTACAAAAGTACTTATTATGTTATTATTTTGAAATTAAAGATTGTTTTAATGTTGCTGCAATAAATTCATTTTATTCCTTTCTAACCGAAATATGATCGTAACTAGTCGATTATGAGAAATAAATAATTACCTTTTCTTTTCTTATGTTAGAGGGGGCAGACGAGGAGACGGGTCACCTGATGAAAAGTGACCACAGAGTACATTGTAATATACTGAAATAGAGGTATATCTCAATCGCTTTTGGAGGAAATTACAAAACAACGCCATCTGTTAGGAGCGAGCAACAACCTTTCTCTGAAAGTGACCCATGAATTTTTTTAGGAAGGAGTACGCTCTTTTCTTGAAGGTTTGAAGGTCCGGAAATACCGCAGACGATAACCCGCTCCACAGAATGGTTGTGCGGGGCAAAAAGTGTCTCAAAAAGCGCACAGTAGTGGAGCGCCAACTATCCAGGTGATGACGATGAAAACGGTTGCGGAAATGTGCGACTGGTATTAGTCCGAACAATTCCTCGGAGCACTCTCCATGATATATGCGATAGAGAATGCAGAGTGAAGCCACATCTCTACGTAACGCCAAGGGGTCTATACCTATACTCCAATATGATAACGCTGAAGACTTTGTTTAGTTGAACGCACTAATCTCAGAAACTACTGCTTCTAATTGAAAAAATGTTATGGTCTTGGATAGCTCATTTATCGAGGAAGGTTTTAGGCTATTAATGAAAAATTTAGCAAAAACCGGACAAAATTATTCCTTTTGAAACACACAGATACAGATCCACTGGTCAGCTAGTTAAAAAAAAATGTAAAAGTTTGTAAATGGTAGTTATACACGGCGGGCCTGTTCGGCTAGTGGTTAATGACCCTGACTGCTAAGGTGCCTGCCCTGAGCCTGTGGGTTTGATTCCCACTCAGAACAAACTAATTGTTTTTTTTTAAAGATAACTCCCGCATTAGGAATATATATCCTGTGTCACGAGGGAATTTACAAACATATATGAAACGTACACAAAGAACACCCAGACTCAGAACGAAAATTAGTGGATCACACAACTCTCAGCGCAGTATTAAAGGAAGCGGCGGGACGGGCTTGAACCCCTACGCCATCCGTGCAGTGTGATGTGCATTGTGATGAGCACGATCATTTGTTCTGTATATGAGTGTAATTTATCAATAATATGAATGTAATTAGATATATAGGGTGTAAGAAAGTTCCAGAACAGTTCGCTACGGCTACAGTTTTCGAAAATTCGTAATAAAAACCATTAAACCGATCTTCAGTACGCAAATTTTGACTTCTAAAGGTCATCAAACCAAGGTCAACTCACGTTTAGAGGTAAAAATATTGGTTTTACGGTTACGTCTTATTGTAATTCTTTAATTTGTAAATAAAATCTGGATCCTTAAAAGACCGGAACCTTAAAAGGAACTTGAAATTCAGATCAGAGTTTACCCATTCATAATCTAAGGTCTCATCTGAATAGCCAGAAAAAACCACGGCTGCACGGCTGCACGGATGGCGTAGTGGTTTAAGCGGTCACCACGCCGCTTTCTATTGCGCCGAGTGTTGTGGGTTCAAACCCCATATGGGATAACACTTTGTGTGATCCACAAATTGTTGTTCTGAGTCTGGGTGTACTTTGTGTCCGTTTCATGTATGTTTGTAAAGTCCCCCGCTACAGAGGATTTATTCCTAGTGCGGGAGTTGTCTTTTAAAAAGAAAGAACACAGTATTTTTTTTTTATTAGAGACGAAGTACATGACTTTTACGAATAGTTTAAAAGAAGTTGAGCTTACATCTAAGAAATGTAAAGGACTATATAGGACGGATAAAATAGAATATTGGGTCCAAAAGGTGGCTACAAATTCCATGATTATATCAGCATAAAGTCAAAACAAATTTACTTTCTTGAGTTTGTTTGCGCTTGAGTGAGCAGACATAGGATACCTTTCACATGGAAAAAACGATGTGTAGAGATTGTTAATACAAAAAAAGTGGTGTTCCCTAGGGTTCCCTATTGCTGCTTGAGGGATGCCGTGGGTAACAGCTAGTACTGTTATAAATTCCAATTTAACTCATTTGTCATGCTTTTATGCATTTAATAATCGACCATAAAGAAACGAGCAAAATCGTTGCCACTGGTACGGAAAAAGAACTCGTAAATAAGTAATGAAGTTAAAAAAAAATTGTATACCTGTTTTACTTAGAAACTATCATGATCATCAATATAAAACAATGCCTCGTTTAAAAAAGAATAGAGTCGAACCCATATCTAAATTAATATTCAAAGTTTCTGTCGCGAATCGCGAATGTAGACTTTTACTTTCCATTTTACGCAAATACCGTTACACCACTGTCATCAAGAGAAAATACGACACATCACCGAAAACGGTATCTATCACAAATGGAACGTCATTTTGTTGACCGTCATCCGCTAGTTGATAATTGATCGTTTTCATTGAAAATACTGTAAAATAAACAAAGTTAACATTTTGAAAAGGTAACTATAAACAAAATGGTTGATTTAGTAACAATACTGTGTAAACAAAAAGTGTTTTTCAAGTGATATTCGGTTTTAAATCAAACGTCATTATTGATCCGTTTTGATGTAAATAGGCCATTTATTTTGTAATGTTTTCCCGGTTTTGTGATAGTTAAAAGTGAGATTACGTTATCAGGAAAGCTTTTGCAGTACAATTGACGCAAGTTGCTGCTCTTATGTACTATTGTTTCAAGGTAAAACGTACGCCCCTTTTTAGCTAATGATTTTATTTGTTACAAAGAAACGTAAACAAGGGTTTTTTTTTTGTTCTGAACCGTTATGAATGTTTATATTCTGTATTTTAGAACAATTCCCGCTAAAATTATTTCAAGACAAGACCCGACAATAACCTCTAATTAGCATTTAATGTTTTTGTTTGCTGTATAAATTAATTCAAACTCAATATTTCTTTATTTCATAATTTCTTTAAAATTATTTTACACCGTCTCAGATGTAGACTCTAAAGTCATAGATCAACACACAATAGCAACAATCTATGTTTGTCAAATATTTAGTAAACTAAATATATATGAATCGAAAATCTCTTGTGCCTCGCCTGTGCCGATCTACAACTGCCCATTTCCAAGGGCTTCATGAGAAGAAAGGGCAGACAAACTCACGGCCACTCTTTTATAATTAACAGATAGCTACAATGGCATCATTAAATATACACAACATTGTTTTGATATGTACCAGTATGGAAGTTTTAAGGTCTAAAAGTCAAAAAGAATACTGTTGCTTAAATGTGATCTGAATAGTTTTGCACTTTTCGTAGTCTACTAACTATGTGAGACCAATGGCCTCCCGTAAATTGTCACAAAACTTTTTTTTTTATATTTTACCACATTCACACAACACCATCTAGTCCCAAACTAATCAGAGCTTGTACTATGGTTACTAGACAACTGATATTTTTTTTTTTTTGGTAAAAACATACTTATTATACATAAACACCCAGACCAAATCAAATATTTAATGTTCATGCACACAAATGTTTGACTTGAGCGGAAATTGAACCCCCAACTTTTGTAATAGCAGTGCGTTACACAAACAACTACGCCATCCAGTCACCAAACACTGCCATCCATACAAATGTTGTTGATATCATTGCAATAGTTTGATAAACAGCACATTTTAAATTTGTAAGGAAATTTTATTTTTAATTTGCCAGATATGGCAATTTTGTTGATATCACCATTGATGAACCATTATCACTACATAGACAGTCTATTGACACTGAATTTTTTGAATGATGTCAATGGTATCTCAACAGCTTGTCAGTAGAATGCCAGTGGCTTGAACGTTAATATAAAATAGCAGAATTGGCACCCACGTAAGCTTCATCATCATCATAGATCATGCCTCTCTTTAATGTTTTAGGTAGCAAAATGGCCAGTGAAAGTAGTTCAGCGGTGTTGGAGCTGAATGATGCGGACAATGAGGACACAGAAGCTACAACGGTCACCGATGATACTCATGAGGGAGTACCCCTCATGATGGAACATGGATATGATATTGCGGTTAAGGTTTGTGATAGTCTATACTCTTTTAAAGATTGATAATTACTCATTTTGGCGTGTTGCTACAGCCATTAAGTAATTTATAGATGTATCAATTAAATTTTGTTTTATTGTTCTTGCAGTACCAATGAATAGATTAAATGTACCATAAAAATATCTTGTAAAACAAGCAACTGTTTGTGGAGCACCGTATACATTGCAACCCAGTCATGTGTATATTATATATAGGTAGGATGCTCAGCATTTTCTAAAATATAAAATGTAAAACGATCCTTTTGTGTTCTTATTTTGTTCAATGAAATATACCATTGATACGTTTATTACAAATAAGAATTTAATAATAAAAGCAATTGGTGATAGCTTAAAATGTTGCCAATTTGGTTTAAACGACCACCCCCTACGAGCCTTTCTCTAAACTAGGTTCAAATTCAAATTCAAATTATATATTTGCTATAAATGGGGTGGTACATATTGTGGTATTAAAGGTTCAATATAGTGCGAACAGGCCCATTTAGCCATGAAGATAGCATGCAAATTTAACATTATTATTATTAATTTAACATTATTATTATTAATTTAACATTATTATTGTTAATTTAACATTATTATATATTATTATTATGCTCTACTTTAAGTCCACTATGTATACAATCTATATATATCTATACAAATAAATATAATTGGTGTGTCTGTTTGTAATATTAAAATAATCGCTTTTTACTAAATGCATATGTTTACACGGTACATATGCCAAAATAACACTTTTTCCAGTTTTTGTCTGTCTGCCTGTCTGTTTGATCCGTGTAATCTCAGGAACGATTGGACCGATTTCGACGAGACTTTTACTGGCAGATAGCTGATGACATAAGGAGTAACTTAGGCTACTTTCTTTTAGACTAGCTTCGCCCCGCGGCGTAACAAACGCGGGTAACACCGCGGGTCTCAGCTAGTAAAATATATATATTAAGAATATGGAATGTCACCACCCAAACTACGCAGGACAACAACACTGCCAAGAGAAGAAAAACTTTACACAAACCCTTTTTTTTTTTTTTTTTTAACGTGTGGAAATCCCCTCGGACCGTCACCCCTCCGGGGTTTGCGGCGGGGTGGTGTGTCGGACTCGGACCGACTAAAACCACACGGTGTGCCACTCTGCGCCTGTAACAGGAGGGATCCGGGAACAGCTGTTGTTAAGACATCCGGACCCCTCCTAGCGCCAGCCCGCTCCTGGTGCGGGCTCCGTCTCGATGTAGATGTTCCTCTCTTTAGGCGACGTCCGGCACACGCGGACGCCGCCCCCTCGCGGCTGGCCAACTAATGCGGGTGGAGGGGAAACCCACCCCGTCCACCCGCGGCCACACTCAGGGCGGCATGAGGCTGTGGTAGGCGGGCCTCCGCCGCCCGGTTCGCCGGCGGCGGATCGGGTCCGAGCGGAGGTCGTCCTCCCGGGCCCTCTCCGCCGCCTCCTTCCGCGAGATTACTACCTCGCAGAAGGTTGCGACCGCGGTAAAACAACTGTCGCTACCGGCCATGGAGCGTACTACGGCCGGTAGCGAGAGATCCACTCCGATGACTGCAGTGAGGGCCCGGCGCTGCGCCGCCCATGCGGGGCAGACCGCCAGCGTGTGCTGGGCCGAGTCCTCACTGCAGTCGCAGTGGTGGCAGGCGGGACTCAGTTCCCTCCTAGCGACCGTGTGCAGGTACTTTCCGAAGCAACCGTGCCCGGAAAGCACCTGCGTCAGTCGGAAGGAAAGGGTCCCGTGCTGCCGCCCTGCCCACTCGGCGATGACCGGCTGGAGAGCCTCCACGGCGGCGAAGCCAGCGCGTGGAGTCTCCAGCCGGAACGACCAACGAGCCATCGTGGCTCGGCGAGCGGCTTCGCGCCACTCGCGCACATCCTCGGGCGGAGGGCGAAATCCGCTCTCCGCCCGGAAGTCAGCCACTCGCCGATAAACTTCGGCGAGCACTTCCGCCTCCAAATCCCACGGGGGAGTTCCGGCCAATGCGCATGCCACCTCCGTCGAAACGGTGCGGTAACCGCGTATGGCTCTGACCGCCATTACCCTCTGAGGGCGCCAGAGGCGTACCCTATTCTGGGCGGTCAGAGCCGCCGCCCACACCGGTGCACCGTACAGTGCCATTGACCGGACAACCCCCGTGTACAGCCGTCTTGTCGCGACGCTGGGTCCACCCATATTGGGCAAAAGTCGCCCTAGGGCAGACGCAGCGCCGACCAGCTTTGGAGCAAGCTGTCGGAAGTGCTCGTCGAAGAGCCACCTCCCGTCGAGGATCAGGCCCAGATATTTCATCTGGGCCCGAACCGGTACGAGGACCGAGTTGACCACGATTGAGGCGCCAGGGGGTGGACCACGACGGGGCCCATGGAATAACAGGGCCTCCGTCTTATCTAGGGCCACCCGTAAGCCCAGCGCCTCAATGCGCCCGACCACCAGGGAGACTCCCCCTGTGGCCAGGCGCGCCGCCTCTTGGAAGTTTGCCCCCCGGGCTGTCACGAGGGTATCGTCTGCGTAACAGATTACACCCAGCCCGGGGGGGAAATCGGCGCGAAGGGCCCAGTCGTACCCTATGTTCCACAAGAGGGGTCCAAGAACAGACCCCTGTGGAACACCGCACGACATGGGCCGACACCTCAGATTACCTTCTCGGTCCTCGTACACGACGGTACGCTCCTCTAAATAGTCTGCCACTAGCCGCCTCAGGTACTTTGGCACCCCATGATAGTGGAGTGCTTCCCTGATGCAGCTGAATGGCAGACTATTGAATGCGTTGGCGATGTCCAATGACACCGCCAACAGCACGCCGCCACAGCTCACGGCCTCTTCGGTCACGGCCCTCAGGCGCAACACGGCGTCGACTGTCGAACGCCCCGCCCGAAAACCAAATTGGGCGTCCGACAGATCGGGGCCCACCTCGCAGAGGTGTCGGACGATGCGGGCAGAAAGAACCCTCTCAAACAATTTGCCCGCCTCGTCCAGCAGCACGCACACAAACCCTATACCAACCTGTCTGGCCAACATGGTATAGTACACCAAAACCTTCTTCCTAGGGAAAGGCCTGTGTCCAGCAGTGGACTTTTAAAGGCTGCTGATGATGAAGTCTACTATGTAGGGCTGAACATTTTATGTTGAGCAACTGCAATCCGACCTCCACAACCCAAGTACTAGGCGATATTAAAGTTCTGTAGAAAGAATGTTTTAGGACTTTTGAGGGCTCCGATTATCCTTAACGGCAATCGTTTGGGACACATATTTGTGTGGCTGGCACGCAAAGGGTACTAGCCAAAGGATTTTAATACTTTTCCGTTACTATTCAATAAAATACAATTATAAAGTTGCCTATCCATGTAATATTGTGTTCTTTGCTGATGTCTTATAGCTCATTTTGTTTTGCAGGTGGACGCGCCAATGAAACAGCTGTCGACATTAGAGACGTACGTGACATATCGTGTGAGATGCGTGTGCGCAAGATGGCCGACCCCGCCCCATGTTAGGAGGCGGTATAATCATTTCAAAGTTAGTATAACCTGTGGTTACTAACATTCCTTACACAGACATAATAGGTCGTTTACACGATTGGCAAGCCTCGACAAGTGTACACAAACACAAGCGTATAATAGGGGTGTTTGGTCCGGGCACGCCGTCATCGCGGCGGTAAGACCCGTTATGGAGGATTGGCTCGAGAGGCGTCACGGGACCCTCTCATACCGACTGACGCAGGTGATCACTGGGAAAGGATGTTTCGGTGATCACCTGTGTCTGATCCGCAAGGAGCCAACGCCTGGGTGCCACCACTGCGATGGCCAGACCGTGGACACGGCTCTCCACACGCTGGCAGAGTGCCCGGCGTGGGTTGAGCAGAGGCGAGACCTCCTGGCGGCCATCGGAGTGGGAGTTCTCTCGCTCGATAGCCTGATTGCGGCTATCGTGCGGAGCGAGAGTGCGTGGAACTCTGCCGTCTCCTTCTGCGAGCAAGCTATGCTCGCGAAGGAGACGGCAGAGCGGGACCGGGAGAAGTTTAGGACTCTCCCAGCCCGCCAGGCCCGGGAACGGGCCAGGTACCGCAGGCGACTAAGGCGACGGAGGTCGCAGAACGACCTCCGTCCTCCATAAGCGCAGGCCTGGGGGTGACGGGTGAGGCCATCTGTCACCCTAGCAGAAGCAGGCCGGGGTGGCGGCGAGCGCGTTGCGAAGCGCGCTCGCTTCCAGGGAGCACAGGGAACATGGGGTTCCCACACGGGAGGGGTCGTCTATTCGTCTGTAGATGACCCGAGGTATGTCGGGGCACCAGGGACTTCCTTTCTAGGGTATACCTGGTTCCCCGGCTATTAGTCCCCGAGACGGCGTGCGGTTTTAGTCGGTTCGAGTCCGACATGCCACCGACAGGTGGTATCCGAGGGGATTTCCGCAGGGAAAAAAAAAAAAAAAGAGGGGTGTTTGGTTTGACTTGCGTGAGCTTATCGTCGACCAGACGAGTGTCGTAAGAGCCGACTAAGGGAGTAAACTACGCAGAACAACAGCACTGCAAAGCCTATACCAACCCGTCTGGCCAGCGTGGTATAGTAGGCCTAAACCTCTTTTCTAAGCAGAGGCTTATGTCCAGCAGTGAACTGCTAAAGACTGTTGATGGTGATGATGAACTATAGTTTGAAATTGAATTTTATACCATGTGTTTTACAGTGAAGACAATAATAACAATTCGCCAAGGCATAAATATTTATTACTAGCTGACCCGCGCAACTTCGTCTGCGTCTCTCAATAGTAATAAATTTTCTCCGTTTTTGAAACATTCTTCATTGGTGCTCCGCTCCTATTGGTCTTAGCGTGATGATATATAGCCTATAGCCTTCCTCGATAAATGGGCTATCTAACACTGAAAGAATTTTTCAAATCGGACCAGTAGTTCCTGAGATTAGCGCGTTCAAACAAACAAACAAACAAACTCTTCAGCTTTATAATATTAGTATAGATAAATCACAAAATCATTGTACACTCGATCAATTCTGCTATTTTAATATCGTATCAATATACTGTCGATGGAATGTCGTCGGAATAGTTTTGCACTTTTCTTATTCTACTAACTATGTAAGACCAATGGCCTCGATGGCTTGTCACTGATACAAATGTCGTAGATGTCTTTGTAATAGTTTGGTAAACGGTACATTTTAATTTTTAATATCACCACTGATTGCATATATTACTATATCGACAGTCTATTGAAACTGTGAATTTTTTATTTTTTTTATTTTACATCTTCATGCACTTATGTACATCGGCGGACTTGATGCCCTGGGCATTCTCTACCAGCCAGCCTTTAGGTGGTGTAGAAATCTTGTAGGGTAGGTGCACCGAGGTTACGATTGTAATAAATGATTATAAATAAAGTTTTTATCTAAAACTAAGCAAAATCTACAAATATTATACATATAAGTTATAATGTAATACAAATATAATTACATATAGATATAAATACATATTCTTTATGTTTGTACACTGTAAATGCTTGAATTTAGGAGGTGTACCATTTGTTAAGTCACTTCCGCCATCTCCTCGAGAAGGTAATTATGTACATTCCTTTTAAATGCGAAACGGTTTATGTTAGTAGAATACCGATATTTTGACCGATGTCAGTGACATCTCAATAGCGTGGCAATGGAATAACAGTGGCTTGGTGTTAACATAAAGTAGCAGAATTGAGGCCCTGGATAGTTTGTTTATACACAAATAAATAATACTTTCTTATTAAGTTTTATTATGTTTATATTGACAGTTACTACACAAGCGACTTTCAGCGGCGCACCCTTTATTGGCAGCACCCCCACTTCCTCCCCTCCACTCGGCCAGGCAACAGCTGGACAGGTATTCCCCAGCATTCGTAGCTGTTAGAACATGTGCGCTCAACGCTTTTCTAGGTAAGTGGTAAAGCTAATGTGTCTATAATAAGGTCACCTGATGGTAAGTAGCTACCGTCGCCCAGAGACATACCCTGAGACTCAAGGGTCATAGATGCGTTACTCGCCTTTGCCTCCCCGTAGCTCTAGAGGCTGAGGGCTAGACTTTGGACAAAATCACAGTGAATCATTCGGTTTCTCCGTACGTAGGTTATTTTTGCTAGGTTTTTCACTTAAATTTGAAAAAAAATCTACCACTAAGGATAAAATGTAGCATTTTACAATTTATAAACAAACTGATTAGCGCCGTTATTTCAAAAAGATAATTAATCATATTAATAAATAATTTGCTATTTTAACCGTCCTGAAGTCAAGCAGCGGCAGCGTAATAGTTAACGGAGCACGCTTTTGATCTAGTGATTGCGGGTTCGAAATCGACCAACACATTACTGAGACTCGTGCATCAATGTCCTAAGCAAGTATTTAACGACGGTTGAAACAAAAATACATAGTGACATTTTATTATCATGTAGGGAATGATAGCTATATTATTAAAAAATAAAGCCGTGTGGTGTCGTACCCGATAGGAACGAAGTTGTGACGATCGAGTAAAACTGATTCGACACGATTTTAATTACAACGCCATCTATGAAAGCGGCTATTACCTACATATTTTTCAGTTGGTTTCTAATTAAAACAATTTATACATAGGTAAAATCTCCTTGAGAAATAATTTCCTATCTATTCGATAGATGGCGCTGAATGACTGACAAGTGACAATTCAAAATAAATACTGAGATGAAAAGTAATGATTTCCTATCTATTCGATAGATGGCGCTGAATGAATGACATAAAAGTGTCGTTACAACTTTTCGTGAGATTTTTTTCAGTCTAGCCCCCTTTTACTACGCGCGGTAAGGAACTTCGTTCCAATAATTACTAGAATTACTGTTAAATAGACGAAATAGGGTATTTATGCATCGTCTGAAAACAGCTTATTGGCAACAACGCGTGAGTAAGTTAACCTTAACGTACGAACGATAAAATCGAATGATAAATCACCGTTCATTCACAATAGGCTAGTTGACTCATTTGAAAACTTGGTTAAAACTTTATTTTAAAGAAAAAGCAATATTCACATTACGTATTTTGTATTAAAAAAAAACAATTTAAATTTCCCCTGAAAACGCTGAATAGTGTCATGGCGTCTTGAATGACGTCACAGTCCGCGAAACAAAACTGTTTACATCTGTGTTCAGTGTCAACTAAAACTGTAATAAGGTGAGAAAATATGCTAAAAACGAAAAACAATAAAGAGTAACCTGCTCTGTTGTATGAAAACTTCAACAACAACGATGATGTTTTGCGTGGCGTGACGTAACACTTTCTGATTGGTGTTCGCTGTCACGTGACTTAAGGCCTAAATTGTTCGAATTTTTTTTTTTTCTTTTTTTTTAAAGACGACTCCCGCATTAGGAATATATCCTGTGTCGCGGGGGACTTTACAAACATACATGAAACGGACACAAAGAACACCCAGACTCAGAACAACAATTTGTGGGTCACACAAAGTGTCGTCCCATGTGGGGTTTGAACCCACAACACTCGGTGTAGTAGTAAGCGGTGTGGCGACCGCTTAAACCACTACGCCATCCGTGCAATTTATATTTTTTTAAATATTAATAATCTTTAACTTTTATGAAAAATAGACTGGTTTTTTCTTATCTATGTATCTTCATTTATAATTTGAATCTATTAACCAAGCAATTTGTTATTAGTTGACACAAGCCTATTCACTGATTTAGTCTTAGCTATACTGAGGGCTCCAGTAACCTCAGTCACTCTTTGAAATGCAACGATAGAGTTGATTAACACCGGTTTTCTGTGAGGCTGCGGTGTCACTGCCCTCTCAAAGATGTTAAAACTAAGATTATAAGGTGCGGCGGTGAGTCCCGTCGCGCCCCGTAAATGATTTTATTTCGGACCAATTCCCTTTCATCCTTAATTCAATGAGTTTAGAATTCATATTATTTTATTTCTATGCAATGGTACTGCGGCATGTCGTGTCATGAAATTTGATTCCACGAGCTACAAAGGTCACAGGATTGTAACTGCTAATCTAATTGTAATAAGGTTTAAAACAGTTGCGGTAGCTGAGTTGAATGGCTGGGCTGTCTGTGGGATGCCATGACGTGACGAAGCATGCTTTGGCATGCCACGTCTTATCAAAGTGTCCTTCGGTATGCCGAAGCCCTACCGTGCCATGCCATGCCACGAAGTCAGACGGCGCCGGCCTTAAGTTATTCATCATCATCATCATCAACAGCCTTTAATAGTCCACTGCTGGACATAAGCCTCACCTTAGAAAGGAGGTTTTGGCGTACTATACCACGCTGGCCAGACGGGTTGGTATAGGGTTTGTGTCAAGTTTTCCTTCTTTTTGCAGTGCTGGTATCCTGCGTTGTTTTGCACCCTTAGTCGACTCTTACGACACCCACGGGATGAATTATTCATGAGGATAATAATTTATTTAAAACATATAGGAAACTACAGCATGACATTATTCCAGATCGAGTTGCGAAGCATCCAATACTAACACACAGCGAAGACTTCAGGATATTTGTGACAACGGCTGATGAAGAACTAGACAAGGTAAGTCTGGGTTTTTTTTATGATAGAGAGGCAAACAACGGGTCATGATGCCAAGTGCCAATCTTCTTTATATATAAAAATGAATTGCTGTTCGTTAGTCTCACTAAAACTCGAGAACGGCTGAACGGATTTATCTTATCTTAGTCTTGAAATGTTCGTGGAGGTCTATGGAAGGTTTAAAAGGCGAGAAAAAATCTAATAATTTCCGGGAAAACCCTGAAAACAGCCCTTTTCTATTTACCATACAAACGTTTTCTAGAGTCAATTTGAACTTTATTGCTATTCAATAAAGTTCATATTAAATTATAATCACTCACTGTTGTCTAAGCAATTTAGGTGTGTTCCTAAAGTCAATTTTGCAATTTATTACCGCTGCATAAAGTTCAAATTCAATCATATCTATGAAAATAGTCTTCGCGTGCGCTTTGGAGGATCTAATGTCGCGTTCCGAAAATAAACAAAAGTGAACCGCGAACGCAACAAAAAATGTATTAAACTATTAGTAGTACTGATTTCCAATTAATTTGGTCGGCTTCGCGAAACTTTATTTTAGCTAACTTCAGTTGTAACTGTATCAGATTATTTTTTTAAGTTTGATAAATCTTAAGTTTTGTCACAAATTAAGTTTCTGAACACAACCATAATATTTGACATTAGATTTGACAACCAACTAATATGTCAATCATTCTGTCGCACTTCAGAACACGGAGATGTATGGCTTAAAGGTAAACTCCAAAAAAATAAATAAAAAAATCAAAACACGGAAAAAAGTATTACGATTGACGATATTGTGTTACGATCATGGTTACGATATTCTATGAGTGCATCCTTCTATCTTTGTGAGTGGCGATTACGATTACGATGTTTTGCATCGTGTTCGCCGTGAAACTTTGAATCCTACACTACAAATGACTGAATAAATTTACAATGAGACATTGATCATGATAGAAGATATGTGTTTATTGATAGCAAATAAAGTATTGTCGTGTTTGGGAATGACAGCACCCAATCGTCATATGCACGATGCATTAAACCTCGAGATGCAAAGGGAACAACAGTACAACATTGAAGCATTGGCCGAAACAGTTCGTACAAATGTTCCACAATTAAATCAACACCAAAGAATTGCGTACGACACTGATAGAAGCTGTGAACAGTGGATCTGGTGGAATTTATTTCCTTGATGCTCCCGGAGGAACCGGAAAAACGTTCTTAATTTCATTGCTTTTGGCGAGGATCAGATCGCGAAATGATGTTGCTCTAGCGTTGGCTTCATCTGGAATAGCTGCGACTCTGCTAGAAGGCGGTCGAACTGCGCATTCTGCCTTGAAATTACCATTAAACATGCAAATCACCGAAACACCAATTTGCAACATCGCCAAAAATAGCGCAATGGTCAAGATCCTACAGGTATGCAAATTAGTTGTTTGGGATGAATGCACAATGGCCCATAAGAGGTCGCTGGGCAGAACATTGAAAGATCTTCGTGACAACCAAAATATTTTTGGTGGGGCCATGATTCTATTGTCAGGTGATTTTCGTCAGTCTCTTCCAGTTATTCCCCGATCAACTGTTGCTGATGAACTAAATACATGCCTAAAATCATCGACTTTGTGGCAGTACGTAAAGACACTCCAATTAACAACTAACATGCGAGTATTTTTGCAACATGATGAAACTGCAAATGTGTTTGCGAAGCAGTTGTTAGATATTGGAAATAATAAAGTTGCAATGGACACCTCGACCGGATTCATCACATTACCCACAGATTTCTGTCACATCACAGATTCAAAAGAGGAGCTTATTCAGCGTGTTTTCCCAGATATAGCGCAAAAGTTCAATAACCATAATTGGCTGGGTGAACGAGCAATATTGGCAGCGAAAAATAAAGATGTCGAGGATCTCAATGCGACCATTCAGAATTTTCTTCCAGGACAGTTGGTTTCCTTCAAATCAGTCGACACCGTTATGAACCAGGATGACGTAGTCAACTATCCCACGGAGTTTTTAAATTCACTGGAATTGCCTGGATTACCACCTCACAATTCGCAGTTAAAAGTAGGATCAGTTGTCATCATGCTGCGCAACATTAATCAACCTCGACTATGCAATGGAACAAGACTGGCTGTGAAAAAGCTGATGAATAACGTCATTGAGGCAACAATCATAAAAGGAAAATACAAAGGAAAGGATGTCTTGATCCCGCGAATACCGATGATTCCAACGGATTTACCATTCGATTTTAAACGCTTACAATTTGCAGTACGTCTGGTCTTTGCGATGACAATAAATAAATCGCAAGGACAGTCTTTAGAAGTTTGCGCAATCAACTTGGAGTTTCCCTGTTTCGCGCATGGACAATTATACGTCGCGTGTTCGCGCGTCGGAAAATCGTCTTCTTTGTTTATTTACGCACCACAAAACAAAACTAAAAAAATATAGTTTATGAGAAAGCTTTAAATTGATTAACAAACTGTATCATAACAGTGTGTGTCTGTTATTATAAATAGCCAGTATTTCAGGAAAACTCTGTTTTTTTAAATAAGCAACATGATGTGTCGAAAATAATAATAAAATTTCATTAAAAATGCTTTTTTATTCAATACGTTTTGTTTGTTTTGAAATTAATTTATTCAAAAGTTTAGGTCTTTTATTTATCGATTGAGGCAGTACGAAGTCTGCCGGGTCAGCTAGTTACTCAATAAAATTGTGGAACAATTCACATATCTGTTTTTTTTTAATTTCTGCCTATTAAACATTTTTCTTATATCTCACATATGGCTGTCTGATCCCAAACTAGGCAGAGCCTGTACTATGGTAACAATGTGGAGGAACTGGTGTCATGTCCATCCAACACAAAGGGAGGGTCCTCTGACCAGGCGAGGTCATCGCGCCTGGCGGGCCGCGGCCCAACGGTTGATTTTGTAGAGTCGTATATATGCTAATCGGCGAGAAAATTGTTAACATTGCGATACAGGATTAGCAATTTTTCTGTGGTTCGGTGATTGTCCGTTAGATGGTGCTGTAGTACGTTTTTGTTTTATGGTATGTGAAAGTCGCCACATCTCGACTGCTGATAAAAATACTTATATATTTCTAAATATTATAGAAAAAATAATTTACACCCAGACAGAACAAATAATTGTGCTCATCACACTATTATGTGTCCTGGGTGGGAATCGAACCTCTGGCTAAGCAATCACTATTACTAACCACTAGATCAATAGGCCGCCTATTTATTACGGTACAGGATTTTTTTACAATTTTTTTAGTTCCAATACACTGCTGTATTGTACTGTACCGTACAGCAGTCGTATGCTGTTTTGCCACTTTATTGGTGAATGTTTTGTTTCAGGTATTTAAGAGTGAAAACAGCGCGCTGAACCTATGGGGGCTAAGTAGCGCTCTGTACAGTTCAGGAGAGACCAAGGCTGCTAATGGACCAAGGTGACTGAATACAGATTTAATAATCCTCTCTTGGAGATATGTGGTGAGGTTATAGACTAGCCCCCTCCCCCTTCCCAAAATCACGTGTATTTTTTTGGTACAAAGTATATTGAAATTTTCAGAATATTATCTTTAAATACAGGTGTAATTCTGATTAAAATTTGTAAAATTAAACATCGTGATAAAAATTTCCGGACAGACATTAAGGTTGCAGGTTGTTTTTGACTGGCATAAAAATAATAAAGGAAGGTGTAAAAAAAATATAAAACATATACTTATTAAATTGTGCATCGAAATGAAATAAATAAAATCGTGCGTTCAACGAAAAATAAATACACGTAAAATCTCATTATTCCACCCCCTCGCCTTCTGATACTTGACGTTTTTTTTCCGAACCCCACCCTCCCCTTTCGAGCCTCACGTGATTAATGGACTATCCCTTAATACTCTTCGTATTAATTATTCGTCTGTGCTTATCGACAGAATTTTTTGTTAGTGTTAGAGATAGTCTTTGCATATGGTTGCCTGTGAGAGGTCGCCTCAGAGCAATAAAGGCGATAATTTGTATTGTTTAAAAAGCTAGACTTTAATTCTCAAATGTCTTCAGTGTACAATGTCTGGGGGTTGAAGTATAATATAAATTTAGTAATAATTCTCGCACCCTCGGGTTGGCGGTCCAAGTGTAATAGTGAATGTCCATGAACCCCTAGGGAGTCCACGCGGGAGGTTCAAGGGGAAAGAACCAAAATCATGTATGTTTATAATACAAATATGTTTACACCTAAGTAGCTCCCATTATTTACGTACGACTTTGTTCAGGGTGAAAGATCCTGAGTTTACGTCAGCATCGGACTATCTACAGTCGTTACAACACAAACTGACCGCGCTGTGCTCCCTGACCACGAAGCTACACAACAGTACTATCTCCTTGGGCAGTGAATTCATGGGGTAAGTTTTGGGGTACTTGCGTTGGGGGTAAATTAGATAGGTATTTCGTTATAGGTATGTAGATGTAAATGATAAATGATATTTATTTCTGTAAGTAAATCTTTTCAGATATTTTTACAAGTCTGACTTAATAGCTAGTGATATGATAGAAGTGATAGAATGTTGATATATACTTTACGTGAAAAGATTTGGTTCAAGCATTTGACTGTGTAGATCAGAAGGTTTTTATTACTTAATAAAAAGCATTATATGTATTAGTGTCATTACTGTTTATACTTCGTAAGAATTAAATCACACAATATATATGTGTTTTAATTTTATATTTTTAATACTTAAGCAGTATTTTTCATTAGGTGTACTTCAAGGATGTATACTAGGTCTCATAAATTTTTACACAAAAATTAGCATATATACTGGCAAGTAATTTATGTTTAGCATACTAGCTTTAACTCGCGGTTTCGCTTGTGTTATATTTTATTTTCTCTCATTCGTAAATAGTGAATGAAGGGTACTAATATTTTTTTCTGTATACTTGTAATGTGTCTGTCAAGTTTGATGATAATTGTCACTGAACAGCTTAACGTTCGCCTTTTAGCTTCGTCATCAAATTAACTCTAAGATGCAAAATTATAGTATTATCATCTGAATATATAAATTATAATTTAAAATATTTATTTATATATACTTTTTGCATAACGTATAAGACGGACTTAATGCTGTAGACATTTTCTTCCAATCAACTTTTGGGTAATAACCTCACATAGGGCCGTTCGATCCAAAACTATCCGGAGCTTGTTCTATGGAAACTAGATTGCTGATAAACATATTTATATATTTTTAAATATTTACATGTAACACATATTGGATAAAATACACCCGGACAGAATAAAACGATGCGTTCATCGTATTTATCCTGGGAATCGAAGTCACGAATCCAACTATAGGTTCGTCAATATGTATATGCAAAGTTTTATTAGGATACGATAGTTAGAAGTTGATCATATCTCTGCATCGTTCATCATTTAGGGCATTAAGTTCACCTCGTACGACACGATAAGATTGAGTGAGTGGGTCGGTCCCACAGCATGAAGCGCGCGTGCGACGCGTGGGCGGCGTCGACGCGCGGGCGCGTGGCGCTGGGCCCGGGCGGCGCGGCGCTGGGCGCGGGGGCGGCGGCGCGCGCCCGCTCGGCGCCGCGCGCGCCCCTCGCGCCGCGCGCCGTGCTGCCGCTGCTCGCGCACTACGCCGCCGCGCACCGAGACAAGATCAAGCAGCGGGACGCCATACACGGTGCGCCAATACATCACACCCACCCTTGTCCGCTTCCAGTTTTACAAAAATGAATAGTATTCTATTCATTATCGATTTTGAGCCTTTCTTCTTAACTAGGTTAGGATCGGCTTTAAGTCTACTAGGATACGGCTGAACTTCAGTTTTGTACATGGGACGACCGCCATCAGACCTTCACACAACAAATAATAAGCGATATCGCTGTTGTCTGACTTTTTAGTGCTCCGACAGACTTTTGACTTCCACACAAACCTTCAACCACTGCGTCGTTCGTGCAGTAACCCACTCTCACCTATACCTCCGAAAATATAAGAAGGAACCTGTAAACACCCAATTTTACCGACTACAAATTTTGTCCTACCTACCAAAAGAAAGCAGACTTTATTGTCATTGACGAGGGTACTTTAAATCATCATCATCATCAACAACTTTTAGAAGTCCACTGCTGGTCGTAAACCTCTCGTTAGAACGCTGGCCAAACGGGTTGGTTTAGGGTTTGTGTCAAGTTTTCCTTCTCTTTGCAGTGCTGTTGTCCTGCGTAGTTTGCTCCCTTAATCGGCTCTTGCAACATTTGCTATTAAAAGTCCAAGCCCAATAATCGCATTTTCAAATACTCTTTCATTCAACCTTATAACATTCCCTTGATATTATCATCATGAACAGCTTTTAACAGTCCACTGCTGGACATAGGTCTCTCCTTAGAAATGAGATTTTTGCCTACTATACCATGCTGACCAGACGGGTTGGTATAGGATGGTATACCCTTGATAAATACGTAGAAACCTAAATAGACATCATCTACAATGTGGCATTGTATGCCCTTATGTCACTCAAATATATTCCCTGCTGTAATTAATAATCACTGTAAACATTATTTCCAGCTGCATACGTATCAGGGACCAACGCCACGGACGATGTACACAATCGGTAAGTTTATAATTTATGATAGATATTAGTAACACTACAGTAGGCCAAAACATCCTTTCTAAGGAGAGGCCTATGTCTGTTAATGATGATGATTAGAAAAATTATTATTTCCCATTAATTGTTACTATGATTATCTATTTATTCATCAACAGCCTTTAATATTCCACTGTTGGACATAGGCCTCTCCTTAGAAACGAGGTTTTGGCCTACTGTACCACGCTGGTCAGACGGGTGTTAATAAACCAAAAATATATCAATTATTTATTTGTTAATTGTTACTATGATTAACAATTAATTACCCATTAGTTGTAACTTACATATGGTTTTATTTTAACTGTAAATCGTCAAATGCAATTTACGTTTCATTATCGTTTTTTTTCTTGTTTAATACCCAACTCTGCTTCACAGATTAGAACAAGCCTCCGAAGCCCTCCGCTCGGAACTCGCAGACTGGATACCAAAAACTCAAGCCGACATAAAGTCTCTTCTTTTAGACTTAGCAGAGAGACAAGTCAACATCCACAAACAAACCCTACATGGATGGGAGCAATCTCTCAAACTGGCCACCGAAGCCAACATTGAAGATATCTTCAAAACTGTATCTAAAACTGCTGTTCAGAATCTATCACCATCCAGGTGTCGATCAGAAATGTCTCCAACTGAGACAGAAAGAGACTTAGATGAATTTAGCGATTATAATGACACCGAAGAATTTGACGGCCATGATGATTTTCAAAGGGAAAATATTGATAAGGTCGTGTCTAATGTTAATAAGAATAACGAAGGTGTCTTGAAAGACGTTGTTTATAATTTAAATGACGATTCTAAATCAGAGAGAGATCGAGATGATTTAAAGAGTACAAATATCGCCAAAGAGACTAAATTTGAAACCAATGATGACAATTCTAAATTTAATTCGGTAGCGTCTAAAAGTGATTTGAATAACGATAATTTAAATGCTAACATAAAAGACAATCATCTAGAAGTTTCTAGAAGTAATAATAAAACTGAAGAAGATGTACTAAGTGAGATTTTAGAAGAGAAACTCCCGTCTGGTAGTGAAAACAAGGGTAGAAGTGATAAAATTATAGATCCCTTGTCAGATTTTGCTGAAGTTGATTTATCATGATTCTGTGATACACTGCTCTTAAATTTATTGACGGAATAAAGTGCTTGTAAACTGTATAGCCGGCAAACGAAATATCTGGTCAATATTACAAATTACCTGCGATTTCAATGAACCACTAGCTGTTGTTTTTTTTTGTTTCTAACTTCCATACGATCTTTTACCCCCTCAAGGGTGAAGTTGCCAAAAATCCCTTCTTAGTGGATGCTTACAACATAAAAAGAATCGAATGCCAAAATGTCAGGTTTATTGCCAGGTCTAGCCTCTGTGTTGAAGAAGTCATGGGCAAGTAACGTAATATTTAAAACTAATAACGCAGAAGAGAAGGAAAACTTGACACAAACCCTGTACTAACCCGTCTGGTCAGCGTGGTATAGTGGGCCAAAACCTTTCTAAGGAGAGGTCTTTGTCCTGCAGTACTATTAAAGGCTGTTGATGTGATGTGATCGCAGAATGGTATTGAAACAAAAATGATCATTTGCAAATGTATAGGTGTAGGTTACTGCTGTATTAAACAGGGTTACTGGTTTAGATACGTTAAGCGGTTGTGATTGCTATCATTTCTGATAGATTCCACTATGAAGTACCGTATCCCAAACCTAACCATTTTCAAGATATTGGACTTTAAAGGTTTTTTTATAAAAATATCCTGATACAATTTTTTTAGAACTTACCTCCTTTATTGTTTTCTTTTTTTAACAGTATTTATGGAGTTAAAACATTGTTTTATAATTTCCATTACCACACCATTCCATTATTACATCAACAGAAAAAAAAGGAAATAAATTAAAAAAAAAGTCACATTAAGCGGTCGCCGCGCCGAGTGTTGTGGGTTCAAACCCCACATGGGACAACACTGTGTGATCTACAAATTGTTGTTCTGAATCTGGATGTTTTTGTGTCCGTTTCATGTATGTTTGTAAAGTCCCCCGCGACACAGGATTCATTCCTAGTGCGGGAGTCGTATTAAAAAAATAACGACAATTTTTTTTTAAATACTTGAAAATGGTTACATTTGGCATATGGTATTTAATAGTTAAATCTATCCGCAATGATGTCAACTGAAACCTTTTAAAGTATCTAGGTCGACTTAAACAGTAACCCTGTATAGTTCAATTTGTCTAGTAATAGTTGATTAAAACCTCAGATACTTCGTACTGTTCTTCCTCCAAGCATTTTTATCAAACTAGGTTACGTAAGTCAAGTATGATACGGATGAACTTAGATTTTGTACGTGGAGCGACTACCATCAGATCTCCACAACCCAAGTATATCATATAATATATTCTACCACATTCACACAACGCCATCTAGTCTCAAACTAAGCAGAGCTTGTACTATGGCTACTAGACAACTGATATAAATACATATACACTTTTTTTTTTGTAAATACATACATATTATACATAGAAACAGCCAGACCAAATCAAACATCAAATGTTCATGCACACAAATGTTTTGACTTGAGCGGGAATCGAACCCGCGACCTTTGGAATAGCAGTCCGTTACACAAACCACTACGCCATCCAGTCGTCAGTACTAGGTAATATCGAAGTTCTGTAAAAAGATTATTGTCGGAATTTTTAGATCTCCAACTACCCTTAACGATGGCCACAGATGTTCGTCTGTCGTCGCTCTTTGGGGTACTCATGTGGCCATGTGTTAAGAAATGGTCACCCATCTGTAGACTGACCTGTCTATGATTGCTTAACTTTTGCAATTTGGCAATCAAATCGGTTACTACTTAGCTACGAGGTCCACGAGATACTTCGTGCCACTGACCAGGTGTTTTGTTTGCCGTGTATACTTATAAAAATAAAACTTTTAGAGATCGGATGCAATAAACGGTCTTAAAGAATTTGACCTGTTCACCGTCCGCCATTATATTGTGCGTTATAATTACGTCAATATAAACAAATGTAAGTCAAAAATCTATTTCACCCTCGACTCCAACCCTTTCAAAGATTCCAAAAATGTGACGACGTTAAAATATTCCTACAAAAATGGATAAAAAGTATTAAATTAGAAATATTATAGTTTTGAAGAAATTGCAAGCCAAATTGTCTGCATAGAGTTCATTGAGGGTCCTCGTTTGAGAGACGGATAATTATCGACTTCAAAAAAGGAGGAGGTTCTCAATTCGACTGAATTTTGTGTGTGTGTGTGCGCGCGCGTATGATACGAAAAGACTTCAATTTTTTTTAAATTGGATTGCTCCTACTCAAAGTTGGGTAAATTGGTACTCAAATTTGAAGAAAATATTGTACCGTTGAGGGTAGTTATAAATTTGACGGAAATATAATATAAAAAAATATATATCCTCCCCTTAATTAATATTATTTAACGGGAATTAACGCGATCTCTTATTTAGGGTACTACATACCGGCCGTGGTCACAGTCAGCCTGTGACCACGGCCGGTGCAACCTGGTCGAAACGTCAGGCAAACCAGAGGTATGTAATACCCTAAATAAGAGATCGCGTTAATTCCCGTTAAATAATATTAATTATCATGGAACGCGAAAGTTTAAAAGTTAGTATCCTCCCCTTGCTAATTGTGATTGTAATTAGTCTACGTCCTCTTATAGTTGAGATTTGACCTCGTTCAGTCTATCTTTAACCTTAGATTTTTATATGGTATACTAGCGGACCCGACAGACGTTGTCCTGTCAAATTTGATACTGCGATGGTAGCGCCGTCTATCTGATCCAATGTAAAACATTCCAAAATCAACAACTACTAATAAATTAAAAATTAATTAAAAAAACATTGTCCAGCGGACAAAATTGTGAATCTAAACCATTCCCAGATCCCCTTGAACACACACAAAAAAATTCATCAAAATCTTTCCATTCGTTTGAGAGAAGTTCAGTGACATACACACTCACAGAAGAATTATATATATAAAGATTGGCTGAACGAGGAGTCGGGTCAACTGATAGTAAGTGACGACCGCCGCTATAAGATACCTGCAGCCCTAGAGACGCGAGTACTTTGTCTTCCGTTGAGTGCTTCACCCCAGGATATTGGCCACTCATTTTTGCAATTTCCAGATAGATACAATGGTATCATTAAATATACCAACATTGTTTTGATGTGTGCCAGTATAGCTAGCTAGCTAAAAGGTAAAAAGTCAATAAAGAGAAAAATAAGATTAAGAAAAAGATCAAATAAGAGAGACCTGATGGTAAGTGACTACCGACATCCATGGACACTTGCACTCGAGAGTCACAAACGCGTTGCCGGCCTTGTGGCCCCTCCCCCACCAGATTTTTTCGTTCTCTTTTTAAAAAGACAACTACCCTAGTAATATAATCCTGTGTTGTGACTTTACAAACATACATGACACACAAAGAACTAATTTGTGGATCACACAAAGTGATATCCTATGTGGGGATAGAACCCACAACACTTAGCGCAGTAGGAAGGTGACCGCTTAAACTACTACGCCATCCGTGCAGTCAAGAGTTGAGGGAATAGGAGTTTGATGCTCCGATAACCTCAATCACTCGGTGGAAAGCAACGAAATTATTGATTAACACCGGTTTTTTTGTGAGGCCGTGGTATCACTCCTGTCAAGGCCCATAAGGCTCTCCCACGGTCCTCGGATTGTCCTATTCATCAAAAGTGTAGGATAATCACCTCAATCCCACAAACCGTCTTGCATTCAAGACAAAAATGCGAGATATTCTTTGAGGGTGAATTGGCAGAACAGTCACAACCCTAGTACGAGACAGTATTTTTATATTATATTAAATTTAAAGTTTAATATTTTATTTTGCACATACCGCATCATATTTCTGCATCACCTAAAGAGACTGAGAGAGAATGCCTCATGGCATTAAGTCCGCTTTTGTACAACATGTGCATTAAGTTTTAAGCAAATAAATTTAAAAAATCCTACCTGATGTCATGGAGCTCTGATGGCTTTGGTAACCTTGGTTACACTACTACGCTAGTAGTACATTTGCTTCGATTATTAGTATCTACTTTCGAATCAGCAGGCCTGAAGATATTCTACATCAATAAATATACATGTTCTATATCCAGGTATACCCTTCATCGAGTGTACCTGACTCCAGCAGACCCCTTTTTTTGATAGAAAATAGTGTGATTTGGATTGTGTTTCCGTTGTACCACTTTACCTTTGTCTTCGGTGAGGTTGACTAAAACGATGAAAAAATAATGTTTTTCTCTGTTCTTCGACAGAACGTTTCTTTTTTAAATTTAAAATATAAATTTAACTCAGGTTTTCTCTTGTTGGGAACGTTAGGTGAACGATTTTATTATTTGTTTTATCAACCTCGGATATATTTTTTCATATATTTACTAAGAACTGTAATCCTTTTAATGGCAGTGAAATTAATAATGACTGATAATTAGTGAGACATGTTTTTTTATTTAAGCATTGTTCTAATAGGTTGTACGTTCTTCTAATTACAGTAAATATTGTAAACTTTGTGTTTAGTCATCTTTGTAACTTTAAAGGGACCCCACCTCTTAAAGAAGAGTACTCCCCCTTAAGAGACCAGTAACGCGCTTGTGACTCCTGAGTTGCACACACCCATGGGCAGTGGTAGTCACTTTCCATCAGGTAACCCGGAATAAAGAAATTCTGACTTTGACTCTTAACATTAAAATGAAACAATTTTTAAAGCCTCTGCTTTGACACAAAGCAATGTAATAATGTACTTAACTCAAAACTATATTTATCAAAGTTACCCCATGTACTGAATATTAGTGTCTAAAGGAGAATGCCCAATCATGGTAAAACTTTAAGACGTTCTCGTCATCATTTCAAATGTCAGAAAAAAAATTGTTTTTAATGTGACTTAACCCTGAATCTCTTCCATAGAACTTAGTGTTTTTTCAAACCCTTAGTTCTAAAATACAAGTCCTAAAACTTGAATCAAGGACCGTTTCGACATAGCAAAAAAGTGTGAGACTAATTTTCATACTGAAATGGGCATTCTCCCAAGAGGGGGGAGAAGAGCTGTACCCAAGACAAATGCATAAATTATTCAAAACTCCCTTATATACACAAAACAAATGTTTAAAATATTAAATATCATTGTACCCAACACAAGTAACCTTAGTGGCAATTTAGAATTATATAATCTGTAGTCTAATTTATATTTAGATTTCTGGCAAAACTTGTTTGTTTATATACTGTAATATTGTAAAATAAAAGACTTTTCTAATAATACGTATTTATGTTTTATTACTCCACTGTCTTATTCTGAGATCAATATGATCGTGAAATAATACACCTAAACCTTCCCCGTGTGGGGACGGATTAAGAATACAGTGTCACCACCCCTATTCATCCCGTGGGTGTCTTAAGAGCCGACTAAGGTAGTAAACTACGCAGGACAACAGCACTGAAAAGAGAAGGAAAACTTGAAACAAACCGTATACCAACCCGTCTGGCCAGCGTGGTATAGTAGGCCAAAACCTAAACTCTAAGGAGAGGCCTACATATGTCCAACAGTGGACTAGTAAAGGCTGTTGATGAAACCTTCCCCATGAAGCACTGTCTTTTTTTGTGGAAACCACTTGCAAGTTTGTTTCACATCAACTAGCTCTCGATAGCGAGCGCGTTTGGCGTTGCGAGTGGTGCAGATATCAGTGCAGGCTGTCGCAGCGCCGAACGCAGTTCCCGTGGCGATCGAGTAGATGTAAAATGAACTTACACTTGAGCCTCAGTAGTTTTGAGTTTCACGCGAACACAGCAGATGCGGTGGGGGACTCTGTTTTACAACATGTAGTGATAGAAACATTTCTCTATATTTGTGGGTCTTTAAATTCGCTAAATGTGACAGTCATGAAAATTCAATATCTAGGGCAAAGTGGGTAATTTGCAAAAAAATAAGAATAAGCGACTTGTAAGCAAGATTGTAAGTCCAAGGGAAAATTGTCTTTGTTCTGATATATTTTCGGAATATTTAAAATCTTGTCGTGGTTATTTTCAGTAATTGATATAAAATATGTACTTTACTCTAAAAGATATGAAAAAGAACAGTTGATAAATGAGACAACATTAAATATTCTGTGAGTATTGCCAGGTTTAGTTGGTTAAAAACTTATGGTTGTTACGTATTACTATAATGGTTAAAAATAAAATGGTAATTATTCATAGTAATGGTTGCTGAGGTAAAGTTGTTTGTTGTCAAGAAATATAGTATAATATTCAATTTCTGTTTTGAGATATAGTATCTCATACATTATACATAATAAGAATTTTGCAGCTAATTAAATAATTACTAGTGATTATTAAGCTCTATGTAGGTAATTATTTTACCTAGTAATAATTGCTATACAAGTGTTGCCAATCCAAGGCATTTCGAAATAGCTTAATTAGTTAAAACCACATACTTCCAAAGAAATAAAATCCATTAAATTTATAAAATACACAATTGCAATTATCAGTGAGTCACGATGTGTGCTAAAAGGGTGACTGCGAGGGGACAGTCAATCCTCCCTCAAAGCCTTGCATGCATACTATCGTCGCAACGCTGACGACTGGCATAACATTTGCATAACACCGCCAGCATCTGTGTCGCACTCACGTACCCACTAGCGTACGCTAAATAAAAAAGTGCTTTTGTCATTCTGTAGCGATACTCTGTAGGAGGAAGAATTAGTGAATCTGTGGATACATCTGTCACGTTGACAGTAAAATTGTGGAGTCTTGTGGATTTGTGGACTTGTGGAATGTGTTTTCATATCTTAAAGTACCACGAGTGTTTATTGAATAAACAATAAAAGGTTTCACCCGACAGTTTATATAAATCCGTCAAAATTACGTCCAAAATGCAGAGCGTTAGTGCTCCGCGGGAGCCTACGCAACCCGTAATTAGCACGAGTTCGACGATCCTCAATATGAGAGAAAAAGAAAAATATATAGAAGACTTCGACTTTCCCTTTTGCGACGAGTCTTCTAAATACGAAAAAGTTGCTAAAATTGGCCAAGGCACCTTTGGTGAAGTGTTTAAAGCCCGCGCAAGGAACAGCAACAAAAAGTTTGTTGCCATGAAAAAAGTCCTCATGGACAATGAAAAAGAAGGCTTTCCTATAACCGCTCTGCGTGAAATCAAGATTCTACAGCTCCTCAAACACGAAAATGTTGTTAATTTAATCGAGATTTGCCGCACGAAGGCGACATTACACAATAAGTACAGATCTACCTTCTATTTAGTTTTCGACTTCTGTGAACACGATTTGGCGGGATTATTGTCAAATGTGAACGTTAAATTCAGCTTGGGCGAGATCAAAAAGGTTATGCAACAGTTACTGAATGGCCTATACTACATACACAGCAATAAAATCCTGCACAGAGATATGAAAGCTGCCAATGTGCTTATTACAAAGAATGGGATCTTAAAACTGGCTGACTTTGGTCTAGCCAGGGCATTCAGTGTAGCGAAATCTGGACAAGTGAATAAATACACAAATAGAGTGGTTACTTTGTGGTATAGGCCTCCCGAGTTACTATTAGGTGAGTTGCTTTATTTACTAGCTTGTAACTGCAAAACTTGCCTGTACTTATAAGACAATTGATTATTTGGTCATTTCCACTTCCTCCTAGAGATGTCTGTGCACTAACTATGTAAGTCAATACACTGCACCAACTGTGTTGATGTGATATTAGCGGGTTCTATTTGCAGCGATGCACAACTCAGTAAACTGCATATTCAGTACCGATGGTAGGCCCAAAATGCCTTACCACCATGTGGTTATTTCATGTCATTCAAAGAGTCAGTGTAGAAAACTGTGCCTCAGTAACTGAGTGGAGTCAATAAATGTAACATATTGCTGAATAGCTTACAAGTGACATCTGGGGCGGTATACTATGGGATCTTATGTTAACTAGGGTGAATTTTCATGTGTCTAGGCGATTCTGCCATACATATTATAGAAATCAAATATAGCTCACCTAGGACCCATAATATTTAGTGGCTGTGGTGCTTCCTTGTTTAAAAGGGTGCATGCCCACTTTACTTAATTTTGTCTCCCGTTTTGCTAAGGAGGGAAGCAGATTTATTGTATTTCCAACTCCTCCAACTTTAATCCTATTAAGTTTGTTGCGATTTTCAAAACAGTTAAATTTATACTTGGGACCTTCCGAGTGCCATAACTTGGTGTGTTCGTAGGTCGCTGCTGTTGATCTTAGTATATAGGAGTTACAGTGTTGGGTGTGTGGGAGGGATTAGTACACGAATACAAACTGAGTGGAGTTGATAAATTTAGCAGAAGTACCACATGTATACTTCTCTAATGATGGAAGGAAAGTTGAGCAATTATCGAATGTGGTAATTTTGATAAAACAATGATTATAAAAATGTTTAATAATTAATACATTACAAACTGCAAGTTTGTCTGTTTGTGTTGACTTTAAACTAACTTTGCCCAAATGTTGAGATAACTGGATCATGTTGTGTAGAAAGTATCCACTGTACATGCAGGCAAAACTGGTAGATTCTAAACTATCAAAAATGATCTATAATAATAATATTCTACCTGAATGCCATCTAGTCCCAAACTAAGCAGAGCTTGTACTATGGGTACCAGACAACTGATATAAATACATAAATACTTTTTTTTTGTAAATACATAGAAACACCCAAACCAAATCAAACATTAAATGTTCATGCACACAAATGTTTGCCTTGAGCGGCAATCGAACACGCGACCTTTGGAATAGCAGTCCATTACACAAACCACTACGCCATAACAAACTCTTTAAAAATCTTTCTAGAAAAACAATTTAAAAAGGATCTCAGCTACATAACTTAGTATTTCCTCAAAATTAATACAAAAACCACCAAAACTGGTAAACCCATGAATTCATCAAAAGAGTATTTATCCATTAAAAGGTAGCCTGTAAGAGTTTACATTTTAACAATAAGACCGCCATTCGTACATGTTCATTAATTCGATGTACTCTTGTAAACCATAAAAAAATATTGTTAAACTATAATTTAACTTAAATACCACATAACTGAATTATATACTTACGTGTGCAGGTGATCGTAACTACGGTCCACCAGTGGACATGTGGGGAGCCGGCTGTATCATGGCGGAAATGTGGACGAGATCTCCAATAATGCAGGTACTGTAAATATGTTTTTTTATAAGCTTTTATTTAACTTTCATTAAAGATAATAACTTCTGTCTGTCTGATGCTAAATTAGGCAGAGCCTGCAGTATGGTAACCAGTGGACGAGATCTTATAGACATAATATGTACTTATAGAGGGTGTTAGAAAAGTACCGGAACAGCTGAATAATTTGCTAGGGATGCATTTTTAGGCAATACATTAAACACAAAAGTTACAGGAATTTTCCCTGCCTATCCATTGGTGACCTTGAAATTGATTTTGGTCGCAACCTTGAAGGTTATCACAAGGGTCAAGGGCAATTTTCAAGTGGATTCCATATTTTGGAGCCAAAAATTAAAAAGAGAGAAAAATATAAATGTAATAATAATAATAACTTCACGCATCTCATATACGGCCGTCTAATCCTAAACTAGGCATAGCCTATACTATGGTAACCAGACTGCTGATAAACACACTTATATATTTTTGAAATACATATATATTATAGATAAATTACACCCAGACACAGAACAAATGACCGTGCTCATCCCACATTATTTGTCATGGGTGGGAATCGAACCCACGACCTCCGGCTTAGCAGTCAGGGTTACTAACCACTAGACCAACAGGCCCGTCACCAATCGTCAATGTATAGGTTACATTTTTTGCAGTCATTATTTTTGTTTTTATTTTTACAAATTAAATTCTGTTTCTTCTCTCAGGGCCCAACAGAGCAACAGCAACTAATCCTCATCTCGCAGTTGTGTGGCTCCTGTACACCAGACGTGTGGCCTGGTGTTGAGAACCTAGACCTGTATAACAAGATGGAGCTGCCCAAGGGCCAGAAGAGGAAGGTCAAGGAACGCCTAAAGCCGTATGTGAAGGACCCTTATGGCTGTGATTTGTTGGACAAACTTCTACAACTGGATCCTGCCAAGAGGTTGGTGTCTTCACCATTAAATAGTATAGATTACTAGGTTCCTCCATTATCAATTTAATGTTTTTAATTCTTTTGATACCTTTAAATGTGAAAGTAACCTCTAAACCGTTTTAAAATATTCTTTCACCAATGAAAAGCTAGAGACAAATAATCACAAAACTCTGGGGCGGTGTACTCAAAAGGCGACAATGCTTGTTGTGTAGGTTTGTGGTTTTTGTATGGGGAATCAATAACCGCTGAACCGATTTAGATGATATTTGATATTTAGATAGTTTGATTAAAGGAGGACATAGGCTACTTTTTACGCGATAACCGACACACACGCGGGCGGAGCCGCGGGCAAATGCTAGTACCATAATAAAAGTATTTGCCCTGAGTCAGGATGCTCTTTGAGGTATCAAATTTAAGATAAATGCTTGTATTCAAAAGACTTTAAAATTAATTATTCCCAGGTATGATGCTGATACTGCCTTAAACCACGATTTCTTCTGGACGGACCCAATGCCTTGTGACCTCGCTAACATGTTGGCCCAACACACTCAGAGCATGTTCGAGTATCTGGCACCCCCTAGGCGCCCGGGCCACCTGCGACACCACCACCATGTGGCCGGCGCCCAGGCTAAGCCCAGCCAACCCGTGCAGGACTCTGGGTACCAGGATCGCGTGTTCTAGAAGCTGGACGGGAAGAGAAAACGTAGAAAGTGATATTGATGCGGTGACATCTTTGTACAGGAGAGCAGGTTAATAAAAAAAAAGTCTAATTTTAAAAAAAATGTGAGGGGTCTATGGATCCCCGGTCAGAACGAAGTTCCTTTCGCCTTATGGTAGATGTTTGCTGTAGTGTCGATAAAAAGTCTTGTTACACATTTTTTCGGTCTTACTCCCATCCGCGCAGAGCGTGTAACGTGCGATAAAGAACTTCGTTCCAAAATGTAATATATTCATAGAAGTTGTATATAAAGTGATCGTGGGAGAGCCAAGGTTCAGTAAACATGGGGAGGCTCGACCGGAGTGATACCATGGCTTCACAGAAAACCGGTGTTAAGCAATTTTTTCGTTATTTTTAATCGAATGACCCCTAATCACCCTTCCCTAAATCTTAGGGGGTCCTTATCTTGTTGATGGACCTTATTCTGGGGGAAAACCTAATCCAGAGGGGGTGACTTTATCCTGGGAATGGACCTTATGCTGAGGAGGTACTTATCCTAGGGGGAACCTTATCCTCGGGCACCAGGGACTTCCTTTCTAGGGTATACCTGGTTCCCCGGCTATTAGTACCCGAGACGGCGTGCGGTTTTAGTCGGTTCGAGTCCGACATGCCACCGATAGGTGGTATCCGAGGGGATTTCCGCACGGAAAAAAAAAAAAAAAAAAGGCGGAACCTTATCCTGGGGGGACCTAATCCGGAGGAGAGAACCTTATCCTGGAGAGGATCACGGTGTCCATGGGCGGTGGTAGCCACTTACCATCAGGTGTCCCGTCTGTTCGCTTGCCTCTTAGTATACAAAAAGAAGTTTATGCGTTAAATAAGTAAAAAAAATCTATAGGTATAATGTTATGAATACACTCAAATATAATTAAAATTGACTACTACATAAATATGCGTGTTGGTTAAGAATTCAATCTTATCAGCGTCATCAACAGCCTTTAATAGTCCACTGCTGGACATAGGCCTCTCCCTAGAAGGGAAGTTTTGGCCTACTGTACCACGCTGGCCAGACGGGTTGGTATAGGGTTTGTGTTAGTTTTTCTTCTCTTTACAGTGCTGTTGTCCTGCGTAGTTTGCTCCCTTAGTCGACTCTTACGACACCCACGGGATGAATAGGGGCGGTGACACTCTGTAGTTTTATCTGTCCCCACACTGAATATAATCTGAAAATAATATGTCAAAAGATCTTGAATTTTAAAGTCGTCGGTCAGATACGAGACATAATACACTGAATCTGATAGTTGTAGGCCAGGGATTCCCAAACTATTTTGAGCAAGAGACCCCTTTTCCAAAAAATGAACTGATACCTCAGACCCCCGTATCATAATTACTGCACGCTTATCAACTTGTTTAATTTTTAAAAGTATAATAATAATACTTCCTACTAAAATACGAGGGGTGATCAATAAGTAATGATAATCAATATGAAACAGAACTATTAGATTAAAAACAGTATTTTATTTTTCAACATAGTCTCCTTGCAAGTTAATACATTTAGTGTATCTTTTTTCTAAGCCCATGATTCCCTTAGAAAAAAATTCTTTGTCTTGACCCTCCCAAAATGCCTCTACTGCGGCCATCACTTCACTATTGTCCTCAAATTTGTTGCCCCGGAGGTGTTCTTTGAGCCGAGGAAAGAGATAGAAGTCACTGGGAGCTAGATCTGGCGAATAGGGAGGGTGTTCGAGCAGTTCGAACCCCGTTTCTTCAATGGCAGCCATCGCAACTGCGGCTTTGTGAGCCGGGGCGTTGTCTTGGTGAAACAGCACTCCAGCGCGCAGTTTACCGCGTCTTTTTGACTTAATAGCTTCTCGCAATCTTCTTATTTGGCCTGCGTAGTAAGAGCCTGTTATAGTGGCCTGTTTGGAAAAGGGTTCCAAATATTCCACCATAATAATTCCTTCTGCATCCCAGAAAACAGACGCCATAACCTTTCCCGCTGAACTTGACACTTTGAATTTCTTCGGCGTTGGTGAGGAAGCTCGTTTCCAAGTCATTGATTGTTGTTTGGTTTCGGGATCAAAGTGGTGGATCCAGGTCTCGTCCATGGTCACAAAACGCGACAAAAAAAATTCTTTATCGGCCTGGAACTTTTGAAGATTCACCCTCGAAATGTCGACTCGTTTCTTTTTTTGCTCGTCGGTTAACATTCTCGGTACCCAACGCGCAGAGACCTTTTTCATATGCATTTTGTTGACAATGATTTTTTGAACGCTGCCATAGGAGATCCCTGTGACCTCAGCTACATGCCTTACGGTCACCCTTCGATCGGCCAACACGATATCTTCCACTTTTTTGACGTTTTCTCCAGTAAGGGACGTGGAAGGGCGTCTCGCGATGTTCATCTTCAGTGGAGGTTCTGCCCAGCTTAAATTCCTTTGCCCAGCGTGCGACTGTGGAATATGGAGGAGCAGACTCCCCCAATGTTTCCTCTAAGTCGCTGTGTATGTCTTTGGTAGACATTTTTTTCAGGCAGAGGTACTTGATGACAGCTCTTATTTCATTTTTCTCTATTTTGATGTTTTCTCTTCGACAGTTCGTATTCAAATGAATGTATCTCCCGGTAATGGTGTCCTATTTATACATTTTTTTGAAGCTGAAGTAGTGGATATATAAGCAAGCAGAAAAAAAATTATTTGGGTTTTTGTGCGTTCTAGAAATACTCGATTATCATTACTTATTGATCACCCCTCGTATTGGTACACGTAACACAACTAATACAGTATCTTGAAAGTTTCAAATAAGAACTTGTGTTAATTAATAGGGGTTGATGTTTGTAGACTCCTAGGAAACCGATTTCGACCCCAAGGGGTCAATATCGACCACTCTGGAAATCCTTGTTGTAGTCTAACATTTACTCGAATGTCACGCAAGCCAGATTGTATTTTGTTCCTAAGTCTCGAGAGTCGAAATTCATTTGTCTCTACAAAGTACACCTTCTGTACCTAATAATAATATTTGAACATAAAAGTATTCTCAATAAGAATCCACTCATGGCGGGAAATACAAGGAGTGATAAATGCTAAATTTTTTGAGACAAGTCAGTTATCATATGCACAATTTTTTACAAAGAGATCTGCAGCGGTACACTGTACTAACTACTAGTTTAATATTTAATTATTTAAGCCGTTAAAACCCGCCAAGTTGAAGTTTTCCGAAGAGAATTCTAAAAAGAATATTCATCATTTTTTTTAATTGTTTTGGTGTATGCAGTAGCTATAATACATTTCTAATTTGATTTCTAATTAATCGAAAATTGGCGTAAGATTAAAGTAAGTGGGTTGAACGAAATGTAGTTCCTAAGTCTGTAAATATAATTATATTTGAAAAAATATCTTTGTATAGTAATAAGTAATATAATTACTTGATATGTAAATAGTTTTCCTTTTCTGTTAGTATGGGCCATTCACTGGCAGATATTGTTAACAAATCTGCACGTGAATGGCATATTTTATAAATTTATACACAATCGATAGATAGTGTTGTTGGTTCGATCCCCACATGGGACGACACTTTGTGTAATCCACAAATTGTTGTTCTGAGTCTGGGTGTTATTTGTATCCGTTTCATGTATGTTTGTTAAGGCCCCCGCGACATACGATATATTCCCAGCGGGTGTGGTCTTTTAAAAAAGAGAAAAATAATTAAGCTTAAAATTTCGGTTGTATTATGTCGATTGCGTATGAATTATTTGTTCCTAAGATATAATAACATGTTGACTGAATATATATGGACGTTCAATGTTTTTAATGCTTATACGTGTAAATAAAACTAATTTTATACGATATATGCATTTTTAATTCCTTTCTTTAGACATGCAATATTGTGCAGTGGGAAAGACATGGTATGATACCACAGCCTTACAGAAAACCGTTGTCATCGAGTCCAGTGAAGTTACCGGAGTTAAAACCCCCCTCACCTCTGGTTATGGGGGGAGAACTCTAACATGGGCAAGGCACTCGTGACTCTTGAGTAGAAGTGTCCATGGGCGGAGGTAGTCACTATCACTTAGTAGTCACACTCACGCTTGTAAGTTAAGTTTCGTCAATACCTACGGAGCGCATCTGTAAGAAAGTACAGTCATGGGTCGTAAATGCAGTAGCACCGTAACGTTCATATTCGCACGCCGGGTCTGCATAGGGCCATGTCAGTCATATATGTGTGCCATAAAAAATAGTGTTTTCCGTTCATTTTGGCCAAAAAAAATTTTTTTTCTTTGATACATTAACTTTCCTTGATACATTTTTAACTAAATTATCTAATAAAGTTCCCATGGCCCATGTGAAAATTTTTCCATGGCCCATGTTAAAGAACAATTCTGGGTATTAATAATCACACCTCTCGTATCCGTACTCAACTCTCACTAATTCATCCGTTAAATTTTATGAAATGTGGAGTATTGTTACCCGACGTTTTATTTGAAGTAATAAATATTTAAAAAACCCTGCACCTACCTTATAATGAGTATTATTATGTGACACATCTACTATGTATAAAAATCGCGAAGTTTTTGGAAACAATACGTATTCAATAAGTAAGAAGTTTTATTAAAACAAACAACAATAAGGTAAAGAAACGATTACCTTAACCAGTGTAATCGCTCGACGGGACTGTTTTACTATTTAACCTGTGATTCAAATACATCACTATTACCATAAATAATTGATTATCTGTGCTTCAGTAAAATAAACTTAGAAATCACAGAGTACTATTGTTCAATGTTAAAAATAAACAGAGAAATTTCTCAATGTAGATAAAACTTTTCGACATTTAGAACGTTTAATGATAATTTTATTATATTTGATCATAATAAAAATAAATATTAGTTATTTTGCAAGGGTTAGTTAATTGTTTGGTAAGTACAATTTATAAATACATCAGAATAATGGTTAGCAATTCTACTATTGTTATTGTTGATACTTTTCAGAGAAAATTAAATATTACGTATAGTGAATAGTAGTTTGAATAGTTAAACATCACCGGTTGATATACTGAATGGCAGCATTTTGCTACTATCTCAATTTCCAAATACTTTTAAATAATCTAAATCCAGCTTATCCTAAAGATACATTTGCAAAAATATTTACACAGATGCCATGACTTAAGCGGTCACCTCGCCACTTCCTACTGTGTAAACTGCCCCGCGACACTAATATATTCGAAGTGCGCGAGTTGTCTTTTTAAAAGAAAAACAATGATCTTATTGGTAAAGTGATTTTATTTTGAACTTTATTCACTTTTGTACTTAATGCCCAGGGCATTCTCTTCCAGTCAACGTTTGGGTGGTGTAGAAATATTGTAAGGAGAAGATATACACAGTTTAATGCATACATAAACTTATACATACACATATGCACACATACAACAAAACATATCATACATACACATATATTATATATATATATATATATATATATATATATACATAGACCATTGGCATAGCTAGCCATGGGCTCAGGGTGGGGCAAAAGTCTAAAATAATATGTAACTAGCAAACTATACCCGCTGTTGTACCCTACAGCACCATGTATCTGTACTCATATGTAAAATTCGAATTATCCAAAACACTTTCTTATTGCGCACCACGAAATCTTCCATCCAAAAATGTGTCTCTAACTTCAGCCGTTTGGGCTCTGGGTGTATGCCAATTTGTTAATCTGTGAATTTAGAGGTTTATATCTATCTATAGACAGTACTTTCAGGTACAGTAAGTAAACAATTACACATAGGTATGATTGTTTATTTATTGAGGTTTTCTTAGGTACCTTCACGTCAGAGCCAGGGTGTGGCAAGTGCCCCACCCTGCCCCACCGTTTCTACGCCCATGACATAAACATACACACACACATTTACACTATATTTGTACACTATGAATACTAGAATATAAAGTGTAGGTTCAATGTTATCATAAAACTCAAGATTCAGTTGAAAGTCTGCACATAGTTCATGTCAAGAAGTTATTTAAAAATTCTCCATCTTCTAGGAATTCTTCAAAGTTCAAATTGTCTTATATATTATTATTATTATTCTATAATGCACTAGCAGATCACAGATCTGATGCGTACATATCACTGCACTTGTGTTCATTTTGTTGTTTTTAAATGTTCGTCTAGTCTGTTTTTAAAAATGTTCACTGATCCAGCACTAATTACACTTTCCGGTAAACTATTCCAAATGGTCACCACGCGATTTGGTAGAAAGTGTCTTCTAGGGTTGCTAACAGACGGAGACCTGGTGAGCTTCAATGGGCGTCCTCTCAATCGGGTATTAGAATTCATAGTGTAGAGGTTTCCGATGTCTTTCACATTGTAGTGTCCAGTTACTATTTTGTATGTTTCAATTAGATCTCCCCGTTGCCTGCGTTGCTCCAGTGTAGTTAAGTCTAGTTCAATAAGGCGTTCCTCATATGACATGTTTTTTAATGATATAACCATTTTTATATATTTATATGTATAAAAAACAGTAAATATTTTAATATTTCAGTTTTCATTACATCATAACATATCACAATGGCTGATGATTATGATGAAAATACAACCGTGAATGCTGATCCTATAAATGACAATGATGACACGCCCACCACTGAATGTCAACCGAACGTAAATGAGACAACAGGTTTTCTGCAATTCAATGAAATTGAGAAGAAAGAATGTGAAGAATCTATGACCGCTGCACGGGAACATGATCTTTTCAATTCTAATGTTATCATACTTGGCAGTATTCCACCAAAGGATACACAGAATTGTGAGCAGCGGCCCAAAAGAAGGAAGCCAAATGAACTTGAAGCTCTTGGTGTTACCGAGGTCAAGGATCAATTTGATTCGTTTAGTGATGACACCAATAAAATTTACAGAAAATATAGACTTAGAAATGTATCTAAACCTGAGTAAGTGTTTTAATTTTGAACTATGCTATGTAGTATTGTATGTATTTTACATTTCAATTATTGACACATTGGTTGGTGTAGGGGTTTCTGCCCCCGTTTGGCCATCCGCGAGGGGGCGGCGTCCGCGTGTGCCGGACGTCGCCAAAAGAGAGGGATTTTTTTTTGAGACGGAGCCCGCAACAGGACCGGGCCGGCGCTAGGAGGGGTCCGGATGTCTTAATAACAGCTATTCCCGGATCCCTCCTATTACAGGCGCAGACTGGCACACCGTGTGGTTTTAGTCGGTCCGAGTCCGACACACCACCCCGCCGCAAACCCCGGTGGGGTGACGGTCCGAGGGGATTTCCACACTTTAAAAAAAAAAAAGGCTTTTCTGCCCACTTTGACTGCCAAGCCAGAGGTTGAGGGTTAGATGCCCGAACAGGACAAATAAATTGAGTGAAAAGCATGATCATTTGCTCTCTTACTGTTTGCCTAGCCTTGTCTCATCACTTGGGGTCGGCTCTCCTAGTCATTCGCCACCAGGACGCTCTGTCTCGGGTGTAACTTTTGCATCTTTCATGTCTCTATCTAAAATGGCTCTCCATGCGCATGATCATTTGCTCTGTCTGGATATAATTTATCTATAATATGTATGTATTTAGAAATATGCATAGTTTGGGCTCACACAGCTGTGTGAGAGATGTGTGAGGTTATTATTATTATAAGTCTCAGGTGAAACAATATGAAATTATTGACGTGACAACGTCTTATAATTCGATGGAGCCGGCTGCACGCACGAAAAAACATGACTCATGCGGCGTTACCTCGCTCTGAGGCGTTCCATTTAAGGCGTGAAGTGCAAGCGAGAGCGCGGAACGAGTGACAAAGAGGCACAATCGGCCTCCGCGTTCGGCAGCGTTCGACATCTGTCTCTCTCCTACTTGAGTGAGCGATGCGCCCGCGTGGACAGCTGCTACTCGTATACAATAATACATTTTTGAAAAATGCAACCATTCCATCAGTATTTTCTTATGACGTTGTCACGTTCAACTATCGTCAGTAAACCGACTTTACAGACAACCGATTTTTTTTATTATTTGCTTTTGACTGAAAGAATGTGGTTACCGGAGCCCCGGAGAGGATCTATATTTGGGGTTGAATTTAACTTATATGTTTTTTTTGTGTAAATGAGTTTGTAAATGTAATGAGTAACTGAGACATGAAAGATGCAAAAAAAAGTTACACCTGAGACGACCTGTGACAGAGCGTCCTGGTGGAGAATAACTAAGAGAGCCAACTCCAAGTGATGGAATAAGGCTAGGCGAAGAGAGAGTGCGTTGTTGTCACAGGTGTGTTGCCCCCTTTTTAAATAGTAGGAGGAGGCCATCAGGCCTAGTAACCTCTCTTAATTGCTTAACACTGATTTTCGGTTTCACTCTATTATTAAATATTTACAAAAGAATAAAAGCATATAAGTATTCTATCAGTCACGGTGGTGGTTAAGGATTAAGAATACAGAGTGTCACCACCCCTATTCATCCCGTGGGTGTCGTAAGAGCCGACTAAGGGAAAAAACTACGCAGAACAACAGCACTGCAGAAAGAAGGAAAACTTGACACAAACCCTACACCAACCCGTCTGGCCAGCGTGGTATAGTAGGCCAAAACCTCCTTTCTAAGGAGATGCTTATGTCCAGCAGTTAACTATTAAGGCTGTTGATGATCAGTCAATCTAGCTTTCATAGTACAAGCTCTGCTTAGTTTCAGATGTCCAACATATTATTATATTATTTGCAAAGAGAAGGAAAACCTCCTTTCTAAGAAGAGGCCTATGTCCAGCAGTGGACTGTTATAGGCTGTTGATGATAATGATGATTATATTATTACAGTACAGACTGTAGAAATTTAAGTAATATTATTTTATCCATCTTATAACAACTTGTTAAATGACTTACAGTTACAGAATTCCAACAATGAGTGATCTGCCAAAACCAGAATCGTCCAAATCAATCAAAACAGAGACTCACGCGTGCCCTGACCCGGAATGTGCCAAAGTATTCAGTACAACAATAAAATTAAACGTACACCTCCGACTAGAACATAACGTCAACTTTAAATGTTCTTTGTGCTCAAAAACATTTGACACAAACGCAAAATTGGTCTCCCATAAGAGTGTACACGAAGATGAAAGCCGTTCGTATGTCTGCCACGGATGCAAACTTGCATTCTCAGACCACTGTGACTATTTAATACATGAATTTACTCACAGTAAATTTAGGAGTAAGTTTGAATGTCCAGAGTGCGGCCTCATATCCTTATTCCGGTCAGCCATTCAAAGACATGTCCAAAAACACTTTGATAAAAAACAAACTTGCCCGATATGCTTCGAAGAAATACAGACATCTAAACTGCCATCCCATGTGGGACTACACAATTCTAATCGAGAATGTGTTGAATGTGGAAAAAGGTTATTGGGTAAGAAGCAGTTTGATGAGCACATGACTGTCCACACCGGTGTTAAAATCCATCAATGTCTTTACTGTGGAAAAGGATTTGGTACAAAAAACCAAAAGGCGGTTCACACCCGTATACATACAAATGAGAGGTTGTACTCTTGTAAATATTGTTGTAGAAAATTTATCCAAATAACGGACATGAAGAGACATCAAGCCGGTCATGACAAGATTAGGAATATTGAGTGCCAAATATGTAAAAAGAAGTTTATACGGGCGATTGATTTACAATGCCACATGAAGACGCACACCAAAAAGTACAGTTGTCCGGAGTGTGGTAAGAGATTTAGTGTTATAGTATCATTAAAACTGCATTTATTACAAGTACACTCTTCTGAGAGGCCCGTGGAGTGTAAGCCGTGTGGTAAAAGATTTGCATCTGAACATCACTATAGGGAACATACCACAAGTAAAATACATAAAAGGAATTTGTTTAAAGAAACTAAAGACAGTTAAATGATTGAATTAACACTAGTTTATCTCTGACTACCCTCGAAAATACAGACTTGAAGATTTGTATGTACGTTTTTACCCTTAGGGACCGCTACCTCAGGGATGATACAATATTGAATATATTAAAATATCAATCCACCATTAAGGGATGAAACAAGTTTCAGACTATAATTTATCTTTCTGACATATTTCATCCACATGTGTCAAGCTGTTGATGTGAATGAATTTCTAATTTATCCAATTATCTCATTTAACCGACTGCACCGACTGCCTCGGTGGTGCAGTGGTAGCGTATGCGACTGCTGTGCTGAGGTCTCCGGTTCGATTCCAGGGTCGGACTAAATATTTGTATGATCTGCAAATATTTGTTTCGGAGGTTGGGTGTTTTCTATGAATAATATGTATGTATTTACAAAAAAAGAAGTAAATAAGTATTCTATCAGACAATCTAGTTTTCATAGTACAAGCTCTGCTTAGTTTGAATCTAGATGGCGTTGTGTGAAAAATATTTTAGAAATTGTATTGATAGCCCAGTGTAGTGTCGCTTTTTTTTTCTGTGCAACCTCCTCGGATACCACTTCCCGGTGGCAATGTCGGACTCGAACCGACTAAAACCGCACGCCGTCTCAGGTACCAGTAGTCGGGGAACCAGGTGTACCCTAGAAAGGAAATCCCTGGTGCCCCGACGTACCTCGGGCCATCTACGGCGGGTAGACGACCCCACTGTGTGGGAACGCCCATGTTCCCTCTGTGCTCCCGGAAGGGCGCGCGCGCCTCGCTGTGCGTTCGCCGCCACCCCGGCCTGCTTCTGCTAGGGTGACAGATGGATACATTCCATCCCTAGTAATGTATGTTCCTTTAGCAAAAAAACACTATTCATCATCATCATCATCAACAGCCTTTATTAGTCCACTGCTAGACATAGGCCTCTCCTTAGAAAGGAGGTTTTGGCCTACTATACCACGTTGGCCAGACGGGTTGGTACAGGGTTTGTGTCAAGTTTTCGTTCTCTTTGCAGTGCTGTTGTTCTGCGTAGTTTTTTCCCTTAGTCGGCTTTTACGACACCCACGGGATGAATAGGGTTGGTGTAAAAACACTATTGGAAGGTCAAAATGTTGATATGAGTTTATATTCATAAATTGCTTCGTAATTAAAAACTTTTAGGTTAAGTACTAAGAATTGTGTTAAATTATAAGAAGAATTTAAGTATGTAAAACCTGAAATATATTTTTTATATTATAAAATTAATGAGTTTTATTGTTTAGATTTAGACCTTAAATGATTGCTATGTCTAGAGTTCTCATAGCAAAGGGAGCAAACAAACAGATGGGTCGCCGAAGGTAAGTGACTATCGCCGCCCATGTACACCTGCAACTCAAAAGTCCTCTGAGTCCCACCTCCAAAAACAGGGGAGCGAGTTTTGGGCTACGGTAACCTCACTCCCTCATCATCATCATTAATAGCCCACTGCTGAACATAGGCCTTAGAAAGGCGGTTTTGCCTACTATGACGCGCTGGCATGACGGGTTGGTATAGGGTTTGTGTCAAGTTTTCCTTCTCTTTGCAGTGCTGTTGTCCTGTAGTTCGCTCCCTTAGTCGGCTCTTACGACACCCACGGGATGAATAGGGGTGGTGACACTCCGTATTCTAAATCTATAGCCACACGGATTGTTCCGTCATCCGTAACTATACCTTACTCCCTCGGTGAAAAGCAACAAAAGAATGGCCCATTTTTACTGAAGCATAACTTTCTATCAATTAGATTTACTTTTGTAAGTATTTTTTTACAACTCCCGTTTAGGAATGTATCCTGTGTCGCGGGGTACTTTACAAACATACATGAAACGGATACAAAGAAAACCCAAACTCAGAACAACGATTTGTGGGTCACATAAAATTTCGTTCCATGCGGCGTGGTGACCGCTTAAACCACTACGCCATCCGTTAAGTCGTTTGTTTCGTCTACCTATTAGCACGGTACTATTATAATACAGTAGTGTAACTCGGCCGCATGATAGAAATAAATGCCTACAGCCGCGCGGTACGTAAACATGCGTTAGGGCTGCCCGTCTCCAGCATTTTAATTATATTTGCCTACTTTCTGTTTCTATTTAGATTTGTGATTGTAAATATTCTTTTTATATAAATAAATGAAATACTTTGTATATTGAATGGGAAGTGTTCAATAAAAATGCGTGTTGTTTTTTGATTGGTGGATTTAATTATTTTATTTTCTTTCTGCATTGGAGGAGTTTTTAGTGGTATATGTTGTTATAGTAGCAGCAGAAACACTTTGTGAAAATTTCGAAAACTATCTAATGACGCACAGACGGTAAAAAGTTTTTTCTATTATTATTCATACACACGGATAATAAACAAATATTATTAAAAATAAAATACCACGTCTTTACTTTGAATTATGCAAAGTAACAAAACACACATGCACCGAAGTTTTAACACAAGCGTAAGTAGGTAGGTACCTACCGTATCATGATTCATTCAGAACCTCATATAACGGTACAGCCGTGACTGTCTGCGCCCCGAGCGCACCCCGAGATCGAGGCGCGTAGGTATACCTCGCGTTCCGTCCGTTTGTATGAAGTTGGAGTACTGTATTATAATTGTACCGTGCTATTAGTATGTTGTATGATTTGGGGTTTCAATTTGATTAAAAAAGCAATCTCCAAAACTACAAATGATTGCCGTGTCGCGGAACATTTTACAGAAAGTAAAATACCACATAAGGAATGCTCTGTTAAGGAAGCAGTAAATTTTAAGTTGGCCTACGACTCCTTTTTGTCCTACAGAACAGGAGTGGTAGGTTACTGTATAGGTACATATCGTCTTCGTTCTACCAGTGAAAAGTTTTTTTTTTTAAAGACTCGCGGCGTGGTGACCGCTTAAACCACTACGCCATACGTGCAGTCAAAGCTCTTCCTATTGTCTGATTATAATGATTCTTGTCAATGTAATAAATTAAATTCAATACCAACTTATATTATTAACAATTAAAGTTTTACGATAACACGCAATAGAAGTGTAAATCTACTCGTGAACACAATCGGTTCAAATCGATCGAAACGTCATCACGTCAGGTAAACACAAAAGGTTTTGTGCCTAATAAAAAAATTATAGAGTGTAGAGGCAAGGAGAACCATCTCTGTGTATATAAGTTTTCGTAAAAATGCGTCTAATAAGGGTGGCGCTGCGGTAGCCTAGGATAATTTTATATTGGCCTAAATAATAATTAGATACTGTGTATTAGACTGTGTAAATAATCAATGAGTTTTGTAGACAATAAATAAACGAGTAATAACTTTCAGACAATTAAAGTATGATATTTGAACTCAGCATACTTCACTCCGTCTACAACAGCTTTGTCCATATCGTAGTTTTTCGCAATTTTCAGTATACAACTGGACACTTTTTCAACTTCCCTCCCTCAAGAGACGCTTCTCCTTGCCATACTTATAATTCTTTTAGTGACAGATCGATTTACAGATATTATTTTTATAGTCTACTATAATAGACAATACTTAGGGTTCGTCCGGAAACGACAATTGTCGCTGATAAATGACGTAAGGTGTATTTATTTTCTCAACACAAGTGCATATGGATATGCATTTGTGGAGTGCAGTGTGGATCCACACTTTCATAGCATAAAATAGTTCAAACTCAAACTCAAAATTTTTTATTTAATAAAAAAATCGTCTTTTGTTATTAGTTCAACTAAATGTCAAAAGAGACAGTTCCCACATTATCTCCAGAACTTTTTTTACATTATAAATAATTACTTTATGCATTATGTTTATAAAATTTCACGTTACTACTACATGAAATAAAATTAAAGATATAATCGATTGTTTCTGTCATAATATATTTTTTAATCTGCCTGCCTCGTGCCACTTCACTATCAAACGTCAAAACTGTAAAAAGGTACGACTCTTGTAAATATTTTTCCGAGACAATTTTAAATAAATAGACCGGAAAATATGAAGATTTTGTATTAAAATGTGTGAAATATATGTGAAATATTAAAAATTACATCACACGACGACGCTACGTATGTTTTAAGAACTAACAAACACAGGTATGCTGTAATATTAAGGATTAAAGTTTCTAACCTGTTGTTATTGTTTACGCGCGTAAACTGTGTCAGGATGTGTTTACAAACACCGAAATTTATAATTTTTATGCATTTCATGCACTTATTATCGATTTTAATCGGTTTGAATTAATTATTAGAGCAGTGTTATTCAGAAAATTACATGGAAACGATATCGAAAGTAATAAATTTAGATATGGCATTTTGGTCTTTATTGTAGGCAGTAATAAGGTCGATGTGTGAGTTGCGATTTTGATTCGATGCAGGTTTCAGAATAGGCCGATACTAGTTATTGCCTTTTGGATGTGTACAGTTGGTTACTAGATAGGGTTGCCACTTTATGTAATTTATATTAAAAAAATAGGAATATTTGTTTCTAATTAATTTAACTTTTTAAATTGTTTGTTTTGATATTTATTATTTCTAGAGCAAACATATAACATTTTATAAAGAAGTTTACTTATGTGCGGATTAGGTGTGTGTTCATACCCATATTTATTTAAAATACTAGATTTTATCCACAGCTTTACTTGTGTTTAAGCTAATTTATTTGGTTCCTGTACTCTTCTATACTATAAACCTGAAGAGTATGTTTATAGAATTATTTCAGACATCTAACACACAACGCCATCTAGTTTCAATCTAAGCAGAGCTTGTACTATAAAAGTTTGATTGACTGATAGAATACTTACATATATCGTTTTTCTGTAAATACATACATATTTTACATAGAAAACTAGGAAACAAATATTTGCAGATCATACAAACATTTGGTCTAACCTGGGAATGGAACCCTAGACCTCAGCACAGCAGTCGTATACCCTATCGCTGCACCACGAGGCAGTCTGTTTATTTCGTTGTCAGCCTTTTCTGTCCAAAATCTTTTAATGTTGAAAGCCCATTTATCAAGGAAGGCCATTAGCTATCTTACATCATCCTACCACCCATAGGAGCCCACCACACACATCATCATCAACAGCCTATAATGTTCCACTGCTGGACATAGGCCTCTCCGTAGAAAGGATGTTTTGGCCTACTATACCACTCTGGCCAGACAGGTTGGTACAAGGTTTGTTTCAAGTTTTCCTTCTCTTTGCAGTGCTGTTGTCTTGTGGATTGGTCCCTTAGTCGGGTCTTACAACACCCACAGGATGAATAGGGGTGGTGACGTTCCATATTCTTAATCTGTCACCACACAGATATGGAGAAGCCCACCTCACACATCTCACACGTGGCCGTCTGATCCCAAACTAGGCAGAGCCTGCACTATGTAACCAGACTGCTGATAAACATACTTATATATTTCTAAATACATAGATATTATAGATAAATTACACCCAGACACAGAACAAATGATCATGCTCATCACACAATTATTTGTTCTGGGTGGGGATCGAACCCAAGTCCTCCGCCTTAGCACTAACCACTAGACCAACAGACCCGTCAAGACTAAATGGGGAAAATTTATTCCTTTTCAGAGGTGCTGACGATGTTGAATAGGTCAGCTAATTTCTAAATAATAGATACCTTGTTTCCTTCTTGATGCCTCTGACAACTGTGTATGCAAAATTTTATAGTCTTTAGTTGGTTTAGGCATGACAGCATAACACACAGACAGATTGAGAGCATTAGAGCTGATTTAACTTTATTTTTTGTTTCTCTGCTTACAAGAATGCCGTCTAGTTCCTACCATCCATCCATCATACCAGGACACCTCACCATACTTAGTAATAGACATTGGCTTTCATGGTTCATACCCTGAAGGCCAGTTCTCGTAATAAAAGTTCGGTCTCAATAGGCTTGTGTCAACTAATAACAAATTGCTTGGTTTATAGTTTCAAATTATAAATGAAGAGACATAGATAAAAAAAAACCAGTCTATTTCTCATAACAAGTTAAAGATTATTAATATTTAAAATAATCGTACAAAACAGGCATGAAGTCACGTGACACCGAACACCAATCAGAAAGTGTTACGTCACGACATGCAAAACATCATTGTTGTTGTTGAGGTTTTCATACAATACAGGTTACTCTTTATTGTTTTTAGCATATTTTCTCACCTTATTACACTTTCAGTTGACACTGGACACAGATGTAAACAGTTTTGTTTCGCAGACTGTGACGTCATTCAAGACGCCATGACACTATTCAGCGTTTTCAAGGGAAATTTAAATTGGTTTTTGTTTAAATACAAAATACGTAATGTAAATATTGCTATTTCTTTAAAATAAAGGTTTTTTGGGATAAAATAGATATTAAAGTATATAATTAACCAAGTTTTCAAATTGAATTAACTAGCCTATTTAAGTCCGATCAACTTTCGATCTCACAACTGTCATAGGAAGTATTTTCGTAGTGAAGTATTAAACATTCAACGTTGACTGTAATGTGATTATATCGTATTGTGACCAAAAATTGAATCGGTAATCTCCTAATCTTAGTAATATATTAGTCTCGCTCGATAGCCTGATTGCGGCTATCGTGCGGAGCGAGAGTGATTGGAACTCTGCCGTCTCCTTCTGCGAGCAAGTTATGCTCGCGAAGGAGACGGCGGAGCGGGACCGGGAGAGGTTTAGGACTCTCCCGGCCCGCCAGGCCCGGGAACGGGCCAGGTACCGCAGGCGACTCAGGCGCCGGAGGTCGCAGAACGACCTCCGTCCTCCATAAGCGCAGGCCTGGGGGTGACAGGTGAGGCCATCTGTCACCCTAGCAGAAGCAGGCCGGGGTGGCGGCGAGTGCGTTACGAAGCGCGCTCGCTTCCAGGGAGCACAGGGAACATGGGGTTCCCACACGGGGGGCAAACAAGCAGACGGGTCATCTGATGGTAAGTGAGTACCGCCCATGGACAACTGTAACTATAGAGGAATACGTGCGTTTGCAACCCTACAGAATACGGGAGGGATGTTTGGGCTCCGTTTATTTATTTAATTCTTTTTGCACAAACAACAAATCATAGTACAATGGCGGACTTAATGCCAAAGGCATTTTCTCCCAGTCCACCTTTGGGTGGTGGGGAAATGTCTGAGTAGGTGCATGAAATTAAAATTAGGTTACATACATACTGAGACACACATACATATATATACTTGCTGAGTAATACATACAAGGCTAACATAATAACATATAAGACTTTAGGGATGTGATGAGTCTGCTAAAGTGTCGAGAATTCGAGCTCGGACTTTCGTCTTAAATGAGAGGCGACTGGGTGCTATCCTGATTTCCAAAGGCTGAGCGTTCCAGAGGAGGACAGATTGGACTAAGAACGAAGAGTGGACACATGCGGAAGTATGAGTGGGGCATAACAGAAGTGGATTGTTTAATGAACGGAGAGTTCTGTTGTGATTGGCACATAGAAAATGAAATGAGGATGTTAGGTAGGAAGGGGAAATATGCATTTACCCCTACACATTAAAAAAATTAGCGCAAGTTTGCACCCTATAGACAAATTTTGATGATGGATCATTGAGTAAATTAAGCGTAAATAAACACACAAATTAATATTCTTAAATGTTTTTTTTGTTGGTTTACAGTTATAATCACAATTTACCATGGGTAAATGTTGTGTGGAAGGCTGCCAAGATACACTGGAAGACATCGTTTACTTTGAGTAAGTTAAGCAGAACTCCTTTTTATATGTTCAAAACAATCTTGTGGTATATTTCATAATGCCATTGTATCTATCTGTGAATTGCAAAAGAGTGGCTGTGAGTTTGTTTGTCCTTTCTTCTCATAAGGCTCAACCCCTTGGAAACGGGCGGTTGTAGATCGGCACAGGCATATCATAGATTTTGTATAAGTTTAATTTTTATTAAATTTATTTGCTTACTATTTGACAAAACAGAGATTGTGGCTAGTGTGTGTTGTTAGATCTATGACTTTAGAGTCTACATCAAAGACGATTTCAAACAATTTTAATTTTTTTCATGAAATAAAGAGGTTTTGAGTTATGTGTTTCGAACCCAATCCATAAACACATAACGCGTATCGGACTTTAACAGCGGATCTTATGACCGAGGCCTCTGTGTACCCCTTAAACCCTTTCTTCTTTCTTTCTTTCGGGTTTCTCTCTTTTGGTTAAAAAGCTCTTGATTATTAGGCTGGTTAATTATGGTGAGAAGAGCCTTACACCCTACTCCTTTTGATTCAAATCAACCATAAAAATCTTGATGATATTTCAGATTCCCTGCCAGTCGTAGTCTTCGTCGCAAATGGCTGGATGTGATAAACATAGGTAACAAAGTGCCGACAGGGACCGTGGTCTGCAGTCAGCACTTCCACCGCGAGGAGTATGAGATCGTGAGGGGGAAGGTGCGGCTCAAGAGGAAGGTGGTACCCACACTTCTGTTGCAGAAGGTGAGTAGAGAAACTTCAAGGTCTCCCATGACATGCCCTGGATAATCATGTACATCTACTTAATGGTCTGATTTATAGGGTTGTATGCCTAAATATAAATTCTTTTCTGTATAACCTGTATGCTTATTTAAAACGTCACCCACGGCTGTCTGATCCTAAAACTATAGTCCATTCGTGTTAAGAAAACAGTGACGCCTCGATCTAGCTCCGCCCCCTGACCAATCAGGTTCCAAGCTTTCGTACAACGATAATTACCTCCGTCACTATTTTCTTTCAAAACCAAATAAATTAAAAAAATAACAGTGGCATTCCGGGAGTGCGGCCGAAGTGAAAACTTACAAAAAAAAAAGAATTTGGTTACAACAAGTTTTTTTTTTGTTTTTTTTCGATACGAAAAGTTCCGACATAAATATATATATAATACGTATATACACAATATATGTTTATATTATCAATGTATTTCAAGCCAAATTCAACTCTTGTGTAAACGGGGCCATATATGTAGATACTTATATACAGAGGTGTCGGTAACGGTAACAGTGACGCGACTTCAATGGCTTTTTCCCATCTCAAAAAATACTTTTTATTGTTTGTTGTTCAAAAATTCCCAACGCGCCTATAGAAGTTATCACTTCAAAAATAATAGTTATTTTTCTCTCACACAGAAAATGTTACATCAATAAACTAGTAACAAAGTTAGAAACTAATTTTATATTCACCACCTTTACTAATTTTCCATTTTTCCGGACCGATATCAAACCTTCAAGAAAAGAGCGTACTCCTTCCTAAAAATCCGGCAATGCGTTTGTGACTCCTGAGTTGCAGACGTTCATGGGCGGCGATGGTCACTTTCCATCTGCTCGTCTGCCCCCTATAACAAAAAAAATATTTCAAGAAAGTGATAATCTGTGTGAGAGTCTGGTATCCATACCGAAAATGACGGATTACCAGTCTCTCCTACCTCTAGACAGAATGGTTATAATATAAAATCATGATTTAAATAAATATACAAAAACATCATAATTTTTTTTACAGAAATCTCCAGAACCACAACCTACAGAAAAAATATGTGACGACAAAAATGACAACTCAAAGTTGCCAGAAGAAAAAATAGTAGAAAATCAAGATCCACCTCAACCAGATTCTACCACGGATAATATGGTTGAAGATGGGGATACAGAAAGTGGAGAAACGTTCAAAGACTTAAAAAATGGGTCGAAACAAGAGAGTGGAGAACCGATAGAGATACCTAAAGTCGTTAACAGGAATGGGGCAATATCTTTAAGAAATTCTATTGATAGGTAAGCCTTTATAACAATAACTAGCCGACCCGCGCAACTTCGTCTGCGTCTCTCAATAGTAATAAATTTTTCCCGTTTTTGAAACATTTTTCATTGGTGCTCCGCTCCTATTGGTCTTAGCGTGATGATATATAGCCTATAGCCTTCCTCGATAAATGGGCTATCTAACACTGAAAGATTTTTTTAAATCGGACCAGTAGTTCCTGAGATTAGCGCGTTCAAACAAACAAACAAACTCTTCAGCTTTATAATATTAGTATAGATAACTCATCAGATTCAGATTAAGACGCCGCTTCCTACTACGCCGAGTGTTGTGTGTTCAAACCCCACATGGGACGACACTTTGTGTGATCCACAATTTGTTGTTCTGAGTCTGGGTGTTCTTTGTGTCCGTTTCATGTATGTTTGTAAAGTCCCCCGCGACACAGGATATATTCCTAATGTGGGCGTTATCTTTAAAAAAAAAGATAGCCGTGTGTGAGATGTTTACACGGTCGTCTGATCCCAAACTAGTCAGAGCCTTTTTTTTTTTTTTTTTTTTTTTTTTTTTTTTCCGTGCGGAAATCCCCTCGGATACCACCTGTCGGTGGCATGTCGGACTCGAACCGACTAAAACCGCACGCCTTCGCCGGGTACTAATAGCCAGGGAACCAGGTATACCCTAGAAAGGAAGTCCCTGGTGAAACTAGTCAGAGCCTGTACTATGGTAACAAGGCTGTTTAAGGTCGAGTCCAATTTAATTTCTCATCGACTCCCTCTCGACGGCGAGTGCGTTTAGCGTTGCGATTCGTGGAGATTCATGTGCGGTGCCAATCGTATCGTGGTCATCGTGAAAATCAAATGGAAGTAAAAAATTCTAAAAACCTGGTCCTCAGATTAACATTCTTATATAGTTCTCAATACATCTATATTCTATACAAATAAATAAAATTGGAGTGTCTGTTTGTAATATTAAAATAACCGCTTTTTACTAAATGCATATGTATGTTTACACGGTACATATGCCAAAATAACATTTTTTACAATTTTTGTCTGTCTGTCTGTCTGTTTGTTCCGGGTAATCTCTGGAACGGCTGGACCGATTTCGACGGGACTTTCACTGGCAGATAGCTGATGACATAAGGAGTAACTTAGGCTACTTTTTTAGACTAGCTTCGCCCCGCGGCGTTGCCCGCGGTTATAACAACAAACGCGGGTAACACCGCGGGTCTCAGCTAGTACTTACTATAAATAAAATGCCTTAAGAGCTTGGGTACTTACCGGAGGAGGATGGGCCAACTCGACGGTGTTGATACCACAGCCTCATATATAACTGTTGTTAAGCAATTCTTTATATGGTTTTCACCGAGTAACTGAGTTTATCAGCCTGGGGGGGGGGGGGGGGGCTGATCCCCAATACCAATTGTGGGAGACTAAAAGGGCGATAACGCATTTGTGACTCTTAAGTTTCAGTTGTCCATAGGTGGTGGTACTCACTTACCAACAGGTAACTGGTCTGCTCGTTCGCCCGTCCATCTAATTCGGCCAATTTATCAATTACACAAAAACAGTAAAAAAAACATAAAATAGTAAGTAAAATTGGAGTGGGAGAGCTTCGGCACGAATGAGGCGGCTCGACCGGAGTGATACTACGGCCTCACAGAAAACCGGTGTTAAGCAATTCTTTCGTTGCCCTTCTCTGAGTGAGTGAGGTTACCGGAGCCCAAATCCCCCCTCACGCTGACTCGAGCGGGAGGGACTCCAAGGGCAGCAACGCACTTGTGACTTTTGAGTTGCAGGTGTCCATGGGCGGCGGTAGTTGCTTACCATCAGGTGACCCGTCTGCTCTTTTGCCCCCTTATACCATAAAAAAATCGGTATTTTTATAAAAAATCTTAAAAGTCCAATATCTTGTATACTGTTAGGTTTGATATATGGTATTTCAAACTGAAATCTATCAGAAATGATGGTAACTACAACCCCTTAAAAGTATTTAGTATTTACTGTAACCCTGTATATGTATGTAGCCCTCAAAATGCGTTTTCCAGATCTTCTCCCCAACCAGACTCAATACACCCACCCGACTTTGAAGAGATGATCACAAATTATCAGATCAAGAACAGCAAACCGCACAGTCTCCTGCCACAAGATATAGAGATAGAAGTGCCTGCGAGCAGGAGAGACGACGCCATTGTGGTGGACGACAGGGGAGACGCCCCCCCCGTGTTCATCGAGATTGCTGTTGACAAAGGTATTTTAATATTACACGTTTCACCTGTATGTTGGACTGCACGGATGGCGTAGTGGTTTAAGCGGTCGCCACGCCGCTTACTACTACGCTGCAGTGTTGTGGGTTCGATCCCCACATGGGACAACACTTTGTGTGATCCACAAATTGTTGTTCTGAGTCTGTGTGTTCTTTGTGTCCGTTTCATGTATGTTTGTAAAGTCCCCCACGACACAGGATATACTTATTTCTCATGCGGGAGTTTTATATTTAAAAAAATATGAAAATGTATGTTTGTAACCGACTCCTTTGGGCGTGATTTTGACTGAGTTTAAACGGTCAGAATTCGTTCAAACTTTGTAGATATATCGAGGACCGATGACAATACACTAATTTAAAATAAAAAAAGTTTAAAAGAACTTAAAAACACGCTTTTTATAGAAAACCAAACTAAAAAATAGAAAATAAATTGTAATAAATTTGAAAAAAAAAGCGTTGGGTGCTTTTTACTATTGACAACAGGCACCCAACGCTTTGTTATTATTATTTATTAATTTTATATTTTAAATGTATTGTGTAATGACGTTACAACTTGTTAGTAAAAGTTTTAAAAGAAAAAGTTTATTTTATTATTTTTAGTGTATTTAAATAAAAGCTTGTTTTTTAAAATAATTTTTTACTTTTAATTTATATAGATTATATTATTACATATTCTAAATTTGTTTTGTTAAAATTGGGTATTTATATACCTTATCTGCGACCATCAAAAGGAATAAATTTACCTCTTTTTGCAAAAAAATCATTCATACTCACTCCTATTGTAGGTAGCTTAATGTTATATAACCCATAGCCTTCCTTGATATCGCTGTCCAATACTAAAAGAATTTCTCTATTTGAATCAGTAGTTCCCGAGACTAGTGCGTTCAAACAAACGAACAAACTCTTCAGCTGTATAAATAATGAGTTAGTTGTGTTATTATCAGTTTTGTTTTTTTTTTTGTTGACTGCCTCGATGGTGCAGTGGTAGCGTATGCAACTGCTGAACTGAGGTCTCGGGTTCTATCCCGGATATAAAATAATAATATAATATTCTTCTACATTCACACAACGCCATCTAGTCCTAAACTAAGCAGAGCTTGTACTATGGGTACTAGACGACTGACATAAATACATATATACTTTTTTTTTGTAAATACATACATATTATACATAGAAACACCCAGACCAAATCAAACATTAAATGTTCATGCACACAAATGTTTGACTTGAGCGGGAATCGAACCCGCGACCATTGGAATAGCAGTCCGTTACACAAACCACTACGCCATTCGGTCGTCAAATAATCTGCAATTATTTTTTTAACTTCGGTTATTTTCTGTTTATAATATGTATGTATTTACAAGAAAAAGTACAGAAGTATTCTATCAGTCAATCTAGCTTTCATAGTACAAGCTTTGCTTAGTTTGAAACTAGATGGCGTTGTGTGTCAAATGATCGAAATATAATATCTTCCAAACGTGTTCAGACACTAACGCGCCTGCCGCTGGCAACGAGGACTGTCTGATGGTGCTGGAGAGCGTGCAGGTGGACGTGGACCCCAGCAGCCTCATGCTGCCCGAGCGGGATTTCGAAGACGAGCCCAACAGGCTGTTTGAACAGGAAATCAAACCGCCTGATAAGTAACTACTCATCTTTAATTAAATAGTAGTAATATTAATCATCAACAGCCTTTAACAGTCCACTGCTGGACATAGGCCACTCCTTAGAAACGAGGTTTTGGCCTACTATACTACGCTGGCCAGACGGGTTGGTATAGGGTTTGTTTCAAGTTTTCCTTCTCTTTGCAATGCTGTTGTCCTGCGTAGTGTGCTCACTTAGTAAGCTCTTACGACACCCACAGGATGAATAGGGGTGGTGATAGTCCGTACTCTTAATCCATCACCACACCGAATATTAAAATGTGAAGAAAAAACTTTGTATCCCTTTTTTAAATAAATATCCTAATCCTTTTTTAATAATTAATCTATCCAAATAAATAAAATTGAAGTGTCTGTTTGTAATTTCAAAATAATAAGATTTTTTCATGCTAATACGGTTATTTACAAGATACCTATGACTAAACACCAGTTTAAATATTTTTATCTGTCTGTTCCGGGTAATCTTCACCGGCTTTATCGATTTTGATAACATTTTACTACCAGGTAACTGTCTATGTTATTTTTCTCTGCTGGCTACTTTTTCTCTCAGAAAAGCCCTATAAAATTCAGCCCGGTACGGGGATCGAACCCACTAAGGCAGCTTTATAAATACCACGCGAACGAACTCGAGAGGCTTATGTCCAGCAGTGGACCATTAAAGGTTGTTGATGATGATGATGATGAACGAACTCGCGGCCACCAGCTGGTGTTAGTATATAGGGGATATAAATCTAAAAAAAAAATCGGTCTATTCCAGAAGAGACGATCCAATAAGCCTCCTGACATCCAGCGACGAGGAAGACGTCATAATCCAAGAACCTCACATCGACACTGTCGAAGTATCGGACGAAACGGACGAGGACGACGTGCCCCTGGTCAAATTAGTGAAAAAAGAACCATCCAGAAAGAAACAGAAGAAGAAAAAGAAATCAACCATAGAAGGGTTAGACAATATAGTTTGGAATGGAGAGTACGAGTTCTATTGTATGCAATGCCATTTCACCACATCAGACAACTTAGAATACCATCAACATTTGCAGGAACATGAAACAGCCCTGCAGATCTGTTCGGTGTGCAGCTACACTACGGCCAGCAAGAGTCAGTTCAAGAGACACCTCCGGAAGCATAAAGACGAGAAGAAGTACAGGTGCCATTTGTGTGAATACCGTGCAAGACATAACATGTCCTTAATATACCACGTGCAGTCCCATGAAGCTGATAAACATTATGTTCAGAATGTGAAACAAGGGTTTAAGTGTATGAAATGTGGGTGTTTCCACTCGGCTCTTAAAGCTGTGGTGCTCAAACATGTGAGGTCCTGTGGTAGTAACGTTAAGAGGTACTCTTGTGATAAGTGTGATTATGTGACTAAGAGGAATTCGGATCTGAAGAGACATTGGCTCAGAAGACATCAGGATACTGTTGTTGAAATTGATTCGGAGAGCAGTTATAATCCGGATTAGGCTGGTTAGTGTAATCTCCTTTTTATTGCTAGGGTCCTGGTACTTTAAAACAGACCTATGAACTGATTACTAATTTTATCAACTTAAAAAGAGAATTAGGTATTCAATTCGTATTTTTGGGCCGATTTGCAAAATATACTTCCCCTTTTTGTCCAAAATGAACTACCCCTAAGGATTTTAAAAGAAGTTTTTTAAATCGTCTGCGTCTTTACTTTTCATTAATTTTTCTCTGATGTTTTTTGCTAAGTTTATGCGGCCAATTTCAATATAAACGTTACTAATTGACTAAAAACCATAAATAAATTATTTATTTACAGCATTTTTATCTGTCTCTACTGTATGTATTATGAGAAAATCACATAATAATGAACTATGAACTCGTGTTAAATATAATTTTCCAAAGCTCCTCACCTGTGCTGAAAGCCTGGTACTTTTTGTTTAAAATGTCTCTTATATGATCTTAGGCCCGTTTAAAAGGTGTCTAAATTAAAAAAAAATCGGACATCTAACACACAACGCCATCTAGTTTCAAACTAAGCAGAGCTTGTACTATGAAAGCTAGATTGACTGATAGAATATTATATACATTTTTTTTCTGTAAACACATATCTATTACACATAGAAAACGCCCAAACTTCGAAACAAATATTTGGTCCGACCCGGGAATCGTGCCCGAGACCTCAGAGCCCGGCAGTCGCATACGCTACCACTTCACCATCAAGGCAGTCAACTGTCAACTAGCCCTCATACCCGCTAACATGTCGTATAGTTGAATGTTGGCCTCTAATAATAATAATATTGTACCACATTCACACAACGCCATCTAGTCCCAAACTAAGCAGAGCTTGTACTATGGCTACTAGACAACTGATATAAATACATATATACTTTTTTTTGTAAATACCAGACCAAATCAAACATCAAATGTTCATGCACACAAATGTTTGACTTGAGCGGTAATCGAACCCGCGACCTTTGGAATAGCAGTCCGTTACACAAACCACTAAGCCATCCGGTCGTCATGTTCTTACATACCTTTACAGGTAAATTAGCTTGGAGAAATTTTTGTAGTAGTGTATGGTACGGACAGCGTAAACTGGTTTATTCTGGTTTTGTGCGTGTTTCCACTTTCCACTATCAAGTGACGATTTTTTGCTTTAGATTGAAATATCTCGGAAACGGTGCGTCCTAGGCCAAAAATAACAAAAATTTTGACCCCCCGGAGTTTTAAAAACCTAGATGAAAGGAAAAAAAAAATATTTAAATATCGGTCTCTCCTCTTTGAAGTTTCACTTCTATCGTGTGTGAATCGCACACACACCTTTTTTTTTATAAAGTCAAAACCTTTTTCTTTAAAATAAAAGCTTGTTTTTATTGAAAACAAAAATCAGAGTGTTGCTAGGGATAAGTATAAAATTAAATAGTAATGTTAGGATATCGAAACATTTTTGTATAGGCCAGAAGGATATAGTGGAAACGCGCTCTAAGATCTGAGTAATATACACACCACTACATATGCAAAAATTTCTCGAGACTAATTTCACTGTACCTGAAATTTCGCGCAGGTCACACAGCACATGTTTACATATTATCACTTTCTGTGGTCAAGAGTATACCTATAGTAAGTTAGGGATGGAAAAATCACAAGCACTGTGATAAATCATATAGTTAGATCAAGAACAGCAAACCGCACAGCCTCCTGCCACAAGATATAGAGATAGAAGTGCCTGCGAGCAGGAGAGACGACGCCATTGTGGTGGACGACAGGGGAGACGCCCCCCCCGTGTTCATCGAGATTGCTGTTGACAAAGGTACTTTAATATTACATGCTTCACCTGTATGTTGGTCTGCACGGATGGCGTAGTAGTAAGCGGTCACCACGCCGCTTACTACTACGCTGAGTGTTGTGGATCCGATCCCAACATGGCACGACACTTTGTGTGATCCACAAATTGTTGTTCTGAGTCTGGGTGTTCTTTGTGTCCGTTTCATGTATGTTTGTAAAGTCCCCCGCGACACAGGATACATTCCTAATGCGGCAGATGTCTTTAAAAACAAAAAACTTACACCTATTTACCAAATCACTGATTGATAAAAGAATTTTCATTGATTTTGATGATATTTATTAAGCTATTGCATAGCTTCTATCGAGGGCCTTGAGCGCGGGGACCGAATCCAGAAATTCCGTAACGAAAAAACCTCACGCTAAAAACAAAACAAAAAACAGTACCAAAATCAAATGCTGAACGTCAAAGGAAATTTCGTCTTTATTTAATAAAAGAAAAAAAAAAATGTTTTCTTATCGGTCACCACGCTCAAAAAGTGTAACTTGAATTATTAATTCAAAGAAAAATAAATACTGCATAAATAAATAATTATAATTGCATAAGTTGATACAAAATGCTATGCAATAGCTTTACCGCGGCAGTCCCCGAGTGCCACACGTCTTTTTTTTTGTTTTTATTCAAATCACAGTCAAAGTTAAAATAGCAGTGAGTAAAATCAATCATTTCATCATATGATTATAAGTCTAGAGTAAGGAATTTTGATTAAATTCTTCTATAACTATGAAAAAATTGTTGTATTAAATGTTGGTTCAAGATTAAATAAATATAAGTAAGCGTAGGTATTGTAAATATAATCGTAACATATTATTTAATATTAATTAACTATTTTATGTTTAATTAACCAGAAGCGCTGGTCGCTGTGATTGTAGAATAATTAAGGTGGAATTATTTAATTAAACATTCTAACAATGATTGTGGATAAACAAATTGTGTAAATCTTAGTGTATACGAAGATTTGTTTTTTTGGTACGTTCTAAAGTGTTTAAGATATTTCAAGGATCTGTATTAGGCGTTCTTTTTCAACGCCTTTAATTATAAGTAATTAATTAAATAATATATAATTGAATTATTTTTCGTTATTTCTTTGTAGTTATAGTACATATGTCGGGTACTGTTGTGTAATAATAAAACTATCTACTCTAAGATAGAGAAAAAGCTATCTTCAACTTGACCAGACGAGGACTTGTATATATGTTAACCGGTGAGAGAATTGGTAATATCGCGATACAGGTTCAGCAGTAACTCCGTAGTTCGGTGTGTCTTCGTTAGATGGCGCTGTTATATGTTTTTTTGCGTGTTTATAGCAGAACTTTATATGTCATAATATTATTTGGCATAACAACGGATAGCATAAACTTCATTTCGCAGAAAATCCTTTGGCAGACACTCATTTGTGATATCTATGTGCAAAACTCATAATTTTTAAGTCAATCACCTTTGGGCATAAACTTTATGTCCATAATAATAAAAAAGTAGAACCATCATATAACCGAAAGTTCAGAGTCAGAATCGCCTTTGAGCATAAATTTCAAATCATCATCAACAGCCTTTACTAGTCCACTGCTGGACATAGGCCTATCCTTAGAAAGGAGGTTTTGGCCTACTATACCACGCTGGCCAGACGGGTTGGTATAGGGTTTGTGTCAAGTTTTCCTTCTTTTTGCAGTGCTGTTGTCCTGCGTAGTTTGCTCCCTTAGTCGGCTCTTACGACACCCACGGGATGAATAGGGGTGGCGACACTCCGTATTCTTAATCCGCCACCACACGGACAATCCGTCATCACACGGACAAAATTACTAGTATTCACGTTAACCCCTCGAGCTGAGCTGAATTGCTTGTGTTAGGAGTGCTCCGGCGCTGCGGGGCTCCGGCGTTCCCACGCGAGCTTATCGTCGCAGATGAATTCAAGCCTCACCACCACCACCACCTTAGCTCGCGAGCCGCCTCCCCTCTCCGCGCCTGGCTTAAATTACACTCGAAGGGGTAGGGCAGACAAGACTACGTGGAGTCGGTTTTCAAGCGATTCGTTTCTGTCACAAACTTTTGTACCAAACCCTATGATAATATGATAAATTTATGATAATGTTTTTGGATTTTTTGGAGAGTGCTCCGAGGAATTATTCGGACTAATTCCAGCCGTAAATTTCCGCCATCGTTCCACACGGCAAAATTTTCATCCTCATTACCTGGATAGTTGGCGCTCCACTACTGTGCGCTGTTCGAGGCACTTTTTGCCACACAACCAATCTGTGGAACGGGTTATCGTCTGCGGTATTTCCGGACCGATACGACCTTCAAACCTTCAAGAAAAGAGCGTACTCCTTCCTAAAAGGCCGGCAACGCGTTTGTGACTCCTGAGTTGCAGACGTTCATAGGCGGCGATGGTCACTTTCCATCAAGTGACCCGTCTGCTCGTCTGACCCTCTAACATTAAAAAAAAATGCCTCATAAATTTATTCCAAATGAAATTTTACCAAATAATCGTAGCTAAATAAACGTTTTGCTAAAAGTTATGCGGAATTTAAATTCTGCCAAAGATAATTACGCTAAATAAAATTATGCCATCTTAAAAGTACGCCATTGTAAATTCGGACATATAAACATTCGGACTAAAAATAATTATACAAAATAATCTTTATGCCTTAAAAATATTCGTTTATAAAAGATCCTGCCGAGTGTGTTATGCGACATAAATTTCTGAGCATCAAGATTCTGCCAGATAGAGGGAACCCTTTCTTTGTGGGATCCCCTCCCTCACCCTATGTGAGATTTGTTACATTACACTAAGAAATTAAAACTAATTATAAACAAAAAAAGTTGTGTAATTAGCGGCCTTATCGCGATTTGCGATTTCTTCGCTGGATGGAGAAGGCAATTAAGAATGGCATGGGGAGTTGCAAGGTACTACAATGAGTATTAATAATATTATACAATGTGTGTGTTAGAGTGGAGAGCCTTATCTGAGTGCACCCCTACCTATTAATTGGGGTGTGTTGCAAATGTGCCCACATTTAGGTAGTATTATAGGTATTCACTTGCCATGACAGCATGGTGTAGTGGTTTAAGCGGTCGTCACGTCGCTTTATATTGCGCTGAGTGTTGTGGTTTCGATCCCCATATGGGACACCACTTGGTGCGTTTCACAAATTGTTGTTCTGAGCCTAGGTGTACTTTGTGTCGCTTTCCTGTATGTTAGTAAAGGCTCCCGCGACACGTTGTTGTTGTCTATACAAATAAATAAAATTGGAGTGTCTGTTTGTAATATTAAAATAACCTAATAACCTTTTTACTAAATGCATAATATGTATGTTTACACGGTACATATGCCAAATTTTTTTTTTTACCATTTTTGTCTGTCTGTCTGTCTGTTTGTTCCGGGTAATCTCTGGAACGGCTAGACCGATTTAGACGGGACTTTCACTGGCAGATAGCTGATGACATAAGGAGTAACTTAGGCTACTTTTTTAGACTAGCTTAGCCCCGCGGCGTTGCCCGCGGTTATAACAACAAACGCGGGTAACACCGCGGGTCTCAGCTAGTTATAAATAAATCATTTATTTGCATAAACTGCAAATATTTGTTTTGGAGTTTGGTTGTTTTCTGTGTATAATATGTATGTACTTACAAAAAAAGTATTAAAAAATTCTATCAGTCAATCAAGCTTTCATAGTACAAGGCTCTGCTTAGTTTGAAACTAGATGGCGTTGTGTGGCAGATGTCCTAATTTTTTTTTCTGCCGTCTGATCCCAAACTGGTCAGAGCCTGTACTATGCTAACCAGACTGCTGATAAACATACTTATATATTTCTAAATACATACATATTATAGATAAATTACACCCAGACACAGAACAAATGACCGTGCTCATCACACAATATTTGTCCTGGGTGGGATCGATACCCACTACCTCCGGTTTAGCAGTCCGAGTCACTAACCCCTAGACCAACAGGCCCGTTTTTTTTTTTAACGGGTTGGCAGATCCTCATGGATGTCCTTCGCCCTGTGGGGAATGACGCAAGGGTCTGTCGGACTCTTACCGACTAAAAACCACCTCGGTGTTCCACTCCTTGCCAATGGCCGGGGAGCGAGAATCGCAAATGCATTCTTTCGCCAGCGCCGACAGGCATTGGCCCATCTCACCTAAGACGGGTCTTGTCACCTATTGCGACAGTTACCCTTCGGTCGCAGTCCTCTAGGAATGCACACGGAACACTGTGCGCTACCTCTTGGGCCTGTATCTGTTTGGACGACGAATCCCCCGAAATCGTCGCCCGCAGGCCACTTCCTAAGGTGGCCGGAGATCGACAAGTGCCCCCCGGCGCAGGCCCGTCAACAATAACCCGTCTCCTAGTTTGCCGGTTTATCTCTCTGTAACCCTCTAAATAGTTAAATGTACATTGTTTATCCTGTATACATTAAAGAGCAGACTGATCTGATCATTAATTATTTATTGTAAATGTTAAATCTAATTATATTGTTTGATGATAAACATTTAAATAAATAAATAAAAATAATAAAAGATATTGTTTTTAATATAAGGGAACATGCCTTGTGGTGACGGATTAAGAATACGGAGTGTCGCCACCCCTATTCATCCCGTGGGTGTCGTAAGAGCCGACTAAGGAAGAAAACTACGCAGTACAACAGAACTGCAGAGGGAAGGAAAACTTGACACAAACCCTGTACCAACCCGTCTGGCCATCGTGAAATAGTATGCCAAAACCTCCTTTCTAAGGAGAGGCCCATGTCCAGCAGTGGACTATTAGGCTGTTGATGATGCCTTTACTACTTGATCTATTTTTTTAGCTGAGGTTTATAGCAAAACACCTCGGGACTCAGATCGCTACTTCAGGGCCTGCGCCGGAGGGCACTTGTCGATCTCCGGCCACCTTAGGAAGTGGCCTGCGGGCGACGATTTCGGGGGATTCGTCGTCCAAACAGATACAGGCCCAAGAGGTAGTTCACAGTGTTCCGTGTGCATTCAAAAAAAAAAGAGATGACGTCAATGTTAACATCTGTAATCTTTTCTTTAATTTCAAGTAGATGACACCTAGTTACTGAGGTAGGAGTACCAAAGAGGTGATGATAAGGGAATGGAAGACAACTAGCAGACAACGCATCAGGCGTTGGTAATTCCTCTTTCTTTTTCTTAAAATAAGACAACTTCCAAACTAGGAATATATCCTGTGTCGCCAAGGACTTTACAAACATTCGTGTAACCGACACAAAGTACACTCAGACTCAGAACAACCATTTGTGGATCACACAAAGTGTTGTCCCATGTGGGGATCGAACCCACAACACTCAGTAAAGAAGCGGTGAGAGGACCGCTTAAACTATTACGCCATCCGTGCAGTCAGCCCTAAACGATCCCTGACTACCATAGGAGGTGATGGGACGGACAGTCCATCATCTGAGCAGAAAGCCCAAGACCTGACCCTTGGACAGAACTCGGTGTATTTTCAGTTAGTTGGTGTCTGACAGAGCCACCTATGTAGTCTTTGGTATAATGAACGTAATATAATGCTGAATAGCTTGCAGGTGACATCTGGGGCGGTATACTATGGGGATCTTGTGTCAACTAGGGTAAATTTCCGTGCGTTTAGGCGATTCTGCCATACATATTATAGAAATCAAACATAGCTCACGTAGGACCCGTAATATTTTGTGGCCGTGGTGCTTCCCTGTTTAAAAGGGTGTATGCCCATTTTACTTCATTTTGTCTCCCGCTTTGCTAAGGAGGGAAGTGGATTTACTGTATTTCTAACTCCTCCAATTTTCTCCTGATTAATTTTGTTGCGGGTTCCAAGACGATACCCTATAGTCGATGTACTAGGACTTAATAAGGCTTAGGAGATGCTTTAAGAATAAATAAAAACTATAAAGTAAGTACTTATTTATTACAAAAAGAAGAAAATACAAAAAAGTATCTTATATATTAACAACACTTACACTCACTTCGCACTTAACGCTAAGTTTTATAATTTCAATCATAAATTGTCCTTGTACTTAGTTGTAGAAACTACCCAATGGTATTTAATTTTCTTAAGTGGCAATATCTTTCAAATGTTGTGGTAGAAATTATACAATTCCTTGAATGACGTTCGAAAATCCAAAACTTGTCATTTTTATGTCAAACAAATCAAAAATTGACATATTAATGTTATTTTTTAAAGTTTTTTTTTGGAAATGATTGTTGCACATCAAACATCTTGCGAAATAAATTGTATTATGATGAGTATGTTTTAACCGACTTCAAAAAAGGAGTCGCAATTCTGTTGTATTGTTTTTGTTACCTCAACTTATTCATGAATCGAGTTGGAAAATATTTCTTTATTTGGGATACTTTAAGTTCAGTCCTATTTAATTTGAAGAAAAACTACCTCCCTCTGAGGATGAAAAAAGGCAGGAAGAATACAGTTTATTTTAATTCATCATGATCTTAGATGAATTAACGTCGATGATACCTTTTAAAACAGTCTATGATTCTCCCTGCATTTCACCATTTAATAATTTCGTTTCTTATCTTTGTAGATAACTACATGTGTTAGGTCAATAAATGATGTTTATATAGAGACTTATATTTAGCAGTTTGAAGGCTTCTTGGCTGCGACGCGACAGACGACACTCTTTAAGTTAGAGAACGCCTCGTCTTGAGTAGTTTGGTCGAATTTCTGTAAAAAGAAATGGTATAAATAGAAAGGGAAAACTACAAAAAAAAAATAGTTTAAAAAAACTTAAAAACACGCTTTTATAGAAAACCAAACTAAAAAAATAGAAAATAAATTTTAATAAATTTGAAAAAAAAGCGTTTGGTGCCTGTTGTCAATAGTAAAAAGCACAATTTTTTTATTTATTTTTTAAATTAGTGTATTGTCATCGGTCCTCGATATCAAAGTTCGATGTCAAGTATCGATATCAAAGTTTGAACGAATTCTGACCGTTTAAAGTCAGTCAAAATCACGCCCAAAGGAGTCGGTTACAAACAAACATACAAGTGAAGCTAATATAAAGCGTTTAAAAATACGGGTTTTCGTAATGCTATTTATTTGATATTTTGCACATATTTGTCAACACCATCTTACAACACCTAATTTGTTTTCGGAGTTACGCCATTTAACGCAATAACGCAGTACCTAAAATAATCTATTAATAGGGTGGCGCAATAGAACGTGCATATTTAAAATATTGATTAGAAAATAAATACAAAAGGTATAGTTAAAATAAAACTGAGGTATTATTAAGAAATAACTGAAGTTTATTTTTTAATAATAACATCGTCTAAATGATGACCCTCTCTACGACGACACTCCTCTAATCGCAAACGGAAGTTATTGAAAACTTTCTTCAGTAATGCTGGTGTAATTGCTGCCATTTCACCACGGATATTCTCCTTGAGCTGATCGTTGTTTTTCGGATTATTACTGTAGACTTTGTTCTTGAGGTATCCCCACAAAAAAAAGTCAGGAGGCGTCACGTCTGGACTACGTGGGGGCCATGGGATATCACCTCTTTTCGAAATCAGTCTGCCAGGGAACATCTGTTTCACAACCGCCATGGAGTCATTTGATAATAATAATAATAATAATCATTTATTTGCATGAATATGAGTACAGGGTTGGACAATTCAATTAACAAAGGTTCATCATATCCTGCCGGGTAGGCGTGCAAAACTTTTCGTCAGAAACTGATACCTACAGACATTGCAATACATAAATTAATGACAATCAGTTTTATTGGTCAAATATCAGGCAATTACAATAACAATAATTAAGTGGTCAAATAAATGTGTTAAGTCAAATTATTGATAATATGGAAATGTCACCGTCAAAGCACACTAGTATCACGGTCATTTAAAAACTCATCAATCGTGTAAAAACATTTATTAATGAGATATTTTTTAAAGTGAACTTTAAATAAATGTAGATGGAGTTCTCTTATGGCCCCAGGTATTCTGTTGTAAATTCTAGGTGCCATGCAAAAAATACTCTTGCTCATTAGTGCAGTTTGAGCCTTTCGCATGCATAACCTATCATTATCTCGTCTGTTCCGTATCGTTTTGTCTTGAAGACGTTTAAATATATTAGGATTAGACTTAACGAAGACTGCTGTTTCAAATATATAAAGTGCCGGCACAGTCAAGATACTGTTGTCTCTAAAAAATGGTCTACAGCTGTCAAGTGTTTGTAGTCCAAACATCGCTCTTATTACTCTTTTTTGAGATTTAAAGACGAGTTCTCTATTCGTTGAGTTACCCCAAAATATAATGCCAAATCTTAAGATTGATCCTACCATACCGTGATACGCTGTTAGTAGAGCATGTTTATTTAAAACCGGAGCCAGTTTGAATAGGGCATATGACGCAGAACTGATTCGCTTGGAGAGTTCTTCCGTATGAACTTTCCAATTTAAGCGTTTATCTATTGTGAGCCCTAGGAATTTAGTTGTATCTACATTGCTTAATGTGTTGTTTTCATGGTGTACATTAACATATGGCATCAGAGTACGTTGACCAAAGAACATTACTTTAGTTTTTTTTATATTTATTTTTAGGTTATTACTGTTTAGGTAATTTATGATACACGTAATAGTCTCATTAATGTCGCTCTCGTAAGTGTGTTCATTTTTACAATTTACGATAACAGTACTGTCGTCAGCAAAAAGTGTCATAGGATATTTAGATGCTCGTGGCAAGTCATTTATATATAGCAGAAACAATAAAGGACCTAACACGCTCCCCTGTGGCACTCCAAACATAGGAGAGCGATATTCCGATGAGTATGTAACTTCCCGTTTTTTAATTCTGTCTATTTTTGTGATTTCGGTATATTGTAGTCTATTTTCCAAATATGATTTTATCAATTGGAGTGCATTTCCCCGTATACCGTAAACCTCCAATTTTTTTTGTAATATGTTGTGGTCCACGTAGTCAAACGCCTGTGATATATCGCAAAATATTGCACAGATAGCCTTTTTTTTTGTCAACATTGGTCATGACGTCATGCATAAAGTCAAAGATTGCCAAGTTAATGGTTTTGTTCTTTCTAAATCCCTTTTGGGCGTCAGTAAGTATCTTAAATTTGTCTAAATAATCGTAGATTTGTGCATAAAGATATTTTTCAATTATTTTAGAGAATATGGATATAAGTGCAATCGGCCGATAACAATCAAGGTCTTCTTTGTTGCCATTTTTAAAAATAGGTTTCATTATTGAAATCTTTAGATCGTCTGGGTATATACCCGTGTTGATACAGAGATTGATTATGTAGCTTAGGTGACAACAAATGCCATCTGCGACCCTTTTGATGACTTTCGTACATACCCCATCGTGACCCACACTGGACGTATTTTTTAAGGCTGCTATTATTTTCAATACATCATGAGGAGAACTTGGGAGTATGCCCATTGATTTGTAGCTTGCGTGTGTTGGAATGGGATTATATTGTGTGATGTGTGACAGGTAGCTCCGTCTTGTTGAAACCAAGTCCTAGAATTCACTATTCTTGAATTTTCAAGCTCTGGAGCCAAAAAACCTTCCAACATCGCAACATAGCGTTCGGTATTAACAGTGACGTTTTGCCCCCGCGCATTTTCAAAGAAAAACGGTCCAATTATTCCTCTACCAGAGATTGCTGCCCATACTGTCACTTTAGGACTATGCAGTGGTTTCTGGTGCTTGAGTTTGGGATTCTCACTGTTCGAGTAACGACAATTTTGACGGTTTACGAACCCATTGATATGGAAGTGGGCCTCATCTGAGAAAAGGATAATGTCAAAATTGGAAAATCGATTAAGCATTTCATTAGCAAATGCGAGCCTTGCTCCGAAGTCAGACTCTTTCAATTCTTGTGTTAACTGCAGCTTGTAAGGATGCAGTTTAAGATCCAAGTTTAAAATTCGTTGCAAACTTCGTCGCGATAAGTGTAAGACAGACGATCTCTTACGAGTAGACATTTGTGGATCTCCTCGTACAGACTGCATAACTCTCTCAATATTGTCGTCGGTCCTAGATGTTCTTGGACAACCTTTTGCTTGTGGTTTAAACGTTGAACCAGTCTCTTCAAAACGCTGTACCCATATTTTAATTAAATTAGCACTCGGAGCTTTACTAATTTGCCGTAGTCCATATTCAGAACAATATAAACGCCTAGTAACGATGTATGAACGAGAGTTCTCGTAAAATGCGCGCACGCAAAATGCGCGACGCTTCCCGTCGAAGTGACTCATAGTGACTAAAACTCCATGAGCCCGCCTACCCAACGATGCAGGCTCCCCCCGCCCGCGCACTTTCTACCCCGCGAAAAAAGATGATGCAATATGCACGTTCTATTGCGCCACCCTGTATATAATATTTGCTATCGCTTTCCTGCAGTCTGAGGGATTTCGTGAAAATGGACGGAAGTGTGTAACAGGAAGTGCGTGTTATTTGATTAGAGTTGTCCGTCTGATAGTAGGCGATAGGTACATGACATCATTTATTTTGTTCATTAGGAACAAAAAACAGTTACATGTTAAAGTCTTAAAACTATATACACATAACCCACACCATTGTTCACGGATTAATAAGAGGAAATTTGAATGAAACAAATCAGAACATTACTGTAAATGCGCATAAGCGCAGACACTAGGTGCTTATATGTAAATGTACAAGCACGATATATTACACTTAAGTTCAGATATAAGAAATACATACACTATATTCGGTGACGGATTAAGAATGCAAATTGTCACCACCCCAATTTATCCCGTGGGTGTCGTAAGAGCCGACTAAGGGAGCAAACTAAGCAGGACAACAGCACTGCAAAGAGAAGGAAAACTTGAAACAAACCCTATACCAACCCGTCTGGCCAGCGTGGTATAGTAGGCCAAAACCTCCTTTCTAAGGAGAGGCCTATGTCCAGCAGTGGACTAGTATAGGCTGTTGATGTGTGATGATGATACACTATATTCGCATTCTATTCAGTTGGAAAGGCGGTTTAATAATTTCATAGCGCAACATTTAAATTGGTTATTAGAAAGAGCAAAGATATCAATGTCAGAGAAATATTTGTTGTACGTCACTACCAGTCGTCGAAGAGGTATGCGGCCACCGGCGTTAGTTCTGCATGATGTTGTCATACTCATCTTACTCGACTATTGGAGCAAATAAATGTACAAGAAGTTTGAATTAAATTTGTAAAATGATATTTTATGATGATACAATGACGAGCCAATTTTAAATGGACAGCAAAGATAAGGAACGAATTGATGAAGATAACTTTAGAATGGCGTCTATTGAGAGACAGAACTAGAGAACTAGAGAATTAACGTCTTTGTGAAGTTATTCAGAAGGGACATTTTTCTAAGGTGACAGCACAGTAATGAAACGCTTTAATGTCATGGCTATTTTTATGGGACTAACCTGTGCTGCCACGCCGTACCACCACGAGCCGGCGTTCTATACAAAACAGAGTGTAGAGTTACGTACCGTTATAATGTCGCTTTTGTTACATCAATAATTTTTCGTAACATTGATGATTAAATTGAAATATCTTTAATTACCTGTAATTTCGATTCAGATACCTGCAATAACGAAGGGTGTAAATAAATACGATTTTTACATTTAATAAGCAAAGGCTTTTTAAAACGACTAACGATCACCGAGTGGTAGAAATTCGACCGTTTAAAGCCTAATCCCTGGTAGGTTTTTTTTTTACTGGTAACACTAACTCTCAACAAAAACAACAAAATATAAATTTGTTTTTTATGTTAGAGGAGTCAGACGAGCAGACGAGTCACCTGATGGAAAGTGACCACCGCAGCCCATGAATGTCTGCAACTCAGGAGTCCCAACCGCGTTGCCGGCCTTTTAGGAAGGTTTATTGCCATATCCCACAATAGATGAGATTTGTGGAACGCCATGACGACCTAATAGTTCTAAGATGGTGTGACAAAAACAGAAACTAATATTTTATTTAGGTATATAAAGTTTGAAAACGTCAAATGTTTAAAAAAAGTAAAAATGTCAAAAACTTATTTTTTGTGTTAAATGTGTATAACTTTTCAAACGTATTGAAAATGTTGTAACGCATTCATAAAATACTAATAAGAGAAATAAAAGAATATAATATATGGAGTGTAGAAACAAGGCACCATCTTTAATGTGTGGCAAACCAAAAAAGTTTTCAGTAAAATCACTACATTATAGTTCTACGACCGACCAGAATGGCTGATATGAATATAGCAGTTATATCCGGGGTGAAGTTTTGCTGAGTTCAAGTACATTTAGTGTCTGTAAATAGTTACTACAAGTCATGACAGCTATTAAGTGTAAAACGGATCTTATGTCTGTTCACAGTATCTAATTAAGCCAATACGAACAATACACAGTCTATTTTATGACTCAAACTCAACACATTTTGACGGACAATTTATACGTAAAGACGGTTCTTTGCCTCTACAGATATTAGAAAAAGTACTGTCATTACTGTTTGACATTTATGACAGCTGTATAAGTAGTGTTGCCATACCTCATTAATAATAATAGTTGGTACGAATGACAGCGGTCTGCTGACTTGGTCGGTCTTATTGCCGTACGCCGCGAGGAGATCGCTGCCCTGGTCACCTGACGCACATTTCTTGATTTTAGAGGACTCCGATATTTTGTTCACTTGGGTTAGGCACTGGAAACCAGAGGAGATAAGATGAGATATTTATTTTATTAAATACAAGTCGTACCTCGCAGTTTTCCTCGCATTTATGATCATTCCTCTGCTCCTAAATGTAAAAAAATAAACCTGACGCGTGGTTTCAGAGATTAGCGTAATCAAGATATTGGTAAAATAGTAGAGCTTTAATATGCTTTAATGGCAAACCCGTAAAATGTAACAAAAAGATTTATTATGCACCTCCCAACTCCATCCCGGATCAGCTCCAAGATCCCAGATTACCACTGTGGTACCACTAACATGCTCACAGTAACTTTTTAAGGATGACTTACCGTGTCTAAAGACTTGTCAGGGTTGGTCTGACTCATGAGACAGATGACCGCCTCCATCTTCTCCGTGTCCAGGAAGGCGCGGTCCTTCAGTATGCATGACTGGATCTGATAACAAAAGATACATACATATTTAGTTTGTTTTTCCTATTGCTCTTGATAGAAGGGAATATTTAAAGGAAAAACGGTAGGTCTTTAATGAAAATAAATTTTCAGCAGTTAGTGTCTCTTGTCTGTATGTTCGTTCTTTGATGAAGAGGCGACTAGGGCCGGGACATCAACTAAGGGACCCTCAAGAAATTACGTAACGTTAAGGGCGACGTGTGGTGGTGACGGATTAAGAATACAGAGTGTCACCACCCCTATTAATCCCGTGGGTGTCGTAAGAGGCGACTAAGGAAGCAAACTACGCAAGACAACAGCACTGCAGAGATAAGGAAAACTTTAAACAAACCCTTTTTTTTTTTTTTTAACGTGTGGAAATCCCCTCGGACCGTCACCCCACCGGGGTTTGCGGCGGGGTGGTGTGTCGGACTCGGACCGACTAAAACCACACGGTGTGCCACTCTGCGCCTGTAATAGGAGGGATCCGGGAACAGCTGTTATTAAGACATCCGGACCCCTCCTAGCGCCTGCCCGCTCCTGGTGCGGGCTCCGTCTCAAAATTTTAACCTCTCTTTAGGCGACGTCCGGCACACGCGGACGCCGCCCCCTCGTGGCTGGCCAAACTAATGCGGGTGGAGGGGAAACCCACCCCATCCACCCGCGGCCACACTCAGGGCGGCATGAGGCGGTGATAAGCGCGCCTCCGCCGCCCGGTTCGCCGGCGGCGGATCGGGTCCGAGTGGAGGTCGTCTTCCCGGGCCTTCTCCGCCGCCTCCTTCTGCGAGATTACTTCCTCGCAGAAGGTTGCGACCGCGGTAAAACAACTGTCGCTACCGGCCATGGAGCGTACTACAGCCGGTAGCGAGAGATCCACTCCGATGACTGCAGTGAGTGCCCGGCGCTGCGTCGCCCATGCGGGGCAGACCGCCAGCGTGTGCTGGGCCGAGTCCTCACTGCAGTCGCAGTGGTGGCAGGCGGGACTTAGTTCCCTTCTAGCGACCGAGTGCAGGTACTTTCCGAAGCAACCGTGCCCGGAAAGCACCTGCGTCAGCCGGAAGGTAAGGGTCCCGTGCTGCCGCCCTGCCCACTCGGCGATGACCGGCTGGAGAGCCTCCACGGCGGCGAAGCCAGCGCGTGGAGTCTCCAGCCGGATCGACCAACGAGCCATCGTGGCTCGGCGAGCGGCTTCGCGCCACTCGCGCACGTCTTCGGGCGGAGGGCGAAATCCGCTCTCCGCCCGGGAGTCAGCCACTCGCCGATAAACTTCGGCGAGCACTTCCGCCTCCAAATCCCACGGGGGAGTTCCGGCCAACGCGCAAGCCACCTCCGTCGAAACGGTGCGGTATGCGCGTATGGCTCTGACCGCCAATATCCTCTGGGGGCGCCAGAGGCGCGCCCTATTCGGGGCCGTCAGAGCCGCCACCCACACCGGTGCACCATACAGCGCCATGGACCGGACTACCCCCGCGTACAGCCGCCTCGTGGGAACACCTGGCCCCGCCCAAATTGGGCAAAAGTCGCCCTAGGGCGGAGGCAGTGTCCACCAGCTTCGGACCAAGCTGTCGGAAGTGCTCGTCGAAGAGCCACCTACCGTCTAGGACCAGACCCAGGTACCTCATCTGGGCCCGGACCGGTACGAGGACCGAGTTGACCACGATTGAGGCGCCAGGGGGTGGACCACGACGGGGCCCATGAAATAAGAGAGCCTCCGTCTTATCTAGGGCCACCTGTAAGCCCAGCGCCTCAATGCGCCCGACCACTTGAAACAAACCCTATACCATCCGTCTGGCCAGCGTGGTATAATAGGCCAAAACCTCCTTTCTTAGGAGAGGCCTATGTCCAGCAGTGGACTAGTAAAGGCTGTTGATGAAGAGAGCGAGAGGGTTGCCAGAGTGTGGCATGGTATTAGAGGGGGGATTGTTATCGGTTGTGGGCTCCGATTGCCGCATTTAAACTCGGGAATAGTCCTTTATGCGTCGAGGTGGGTTGGCTAGGTTCCAAGCTCGTTCCAGAAGCACAGAAGCTTCCAGGGACGTTCACAGACTTCTAGGAGCGATTTTGTCAAGGAGGAAAAAGGGGTCGACGTAGTGTGACACTGTGTGGAGCTAAGAGGTGTCCAAGTTTAGTGGCATCACATTTTAAAACCAAATATATGGCCGGTCCCTATTTTCCTTGATTTTGTTTTTATTTTTTTATTTTTCAGCAGCTTTAACAAAAAGACAATTTTTCCTCATTTCCTCATCTCAGACAGTTTTTGAAATAGCCATGTTAACAAAGTAAATATAATATATACAGGGTGTAAGAGACGTCGTAACGAATACTGAAATATTGTATTCAGACCATCATTCTGAGTCGAAAATCATTGGAATTTTCTGCCGGAAAATTAAACTTTTTATGCAATCAGCCGTCAAAGGTTAAGGTCATTCCCCGTAGGTATCGCACAAAAGTAATAACTACATGTGTATTCCGTGCAAACAGTCTACGCACAATAACACAAAATGGCGGTCGGAGGGAAGGTCCGCGCTTCGGCTGTTTGACTAATTACATTGCAGTTTTTTGGTATTTATTAAATTGGTTTCGGTAAATTGTTCTGTCTACTCATTGTGATATCATTTTTCACCATTTTTAACCAGAAAAATGGAAAGGTAAAAAAATAAATAAATTTCAATTATTTTCGACTTATAATCATAGTCTGAATACACTATTTCAGTGTTCAGTACGATGTCCCTTACACCTTGTGTAGATAAAAAATAAAGCAATTTTAAACTATGAAGCGCGCTCCTGTAAAATAGCTGTTTTGCAGATCCTACATTCTTAATAGGGACGTCGATATGTAAGTATTGAAACTTGAAATTTGAGTTAGTTACAGTAATGTATAGCTGTAATAAATTACCGTTTTTGTTTTGTAATGTTTAATTTGATGTTAGTTTTATTAAAAAATAATTTAAAAGATTATAAACCTAACTTCGTAGCTACTGTTTTTATTTAATAATATCTAGATGTAAAGTTACAAAATATGTGACGACTCACTAGGTAGGGGAAATCTCACAAATGTGTCCGACTGTGACAAGGACGGTGGGGTAAAAAAACCCATATAATTTTATTTTATTTTATTTTATTTTATTTTATTGAATCTCCAACAAGAAATACACCTTACATGCTAGTTATAAAGCCAATAAAATTTTAAGTCTTGTGCTTCCTCAATTATAGGAGACCACAACATGGACATTACAAAAAAAGATTAAAGACAGTGGCCACAAATGGCCTTTGTAAATAAGAAAAAAAAAACAATTAAAGAATTATAACAATCAATTGTGCAAAAAATTGTAGATCATAAATTGCAAATTAGCAGCAGTCAAAATTCAAAATTTAAATGGTAAGGAGGTACGTCAACAATCACACAGCGTTCAATATATGAGTGCGAAAATTTTTTTTTAATTTACCCAGACTATTAGAAAAGATGTCTATGTCCTCCGAAGCAACTGAAATGGTGTCATATTCGCGAGTCATCCTAGCAATTGGTGCTTGCTTCCCTAAATTCGTCCGGGCTCGTGGGACCTTGAATAGCGGGCGAGGGTAGCGTGGGATTCTAGTTGGAACACCTATACCGATCTTACTGAGGAGGTCTGGACAGTCAATGTAGTTATGGAACAGTTTGTATAAGAATACTAGATCAAAGATAGTACGACGGTCCCTAATTCACATCATCATCACATCAACAGCCTTTAATAGTCCACTGCTGGACATAGGCCTCTCCTTAGAAAGAAGGTTTTGGCCTACTATACCACGCTGGCCAGGCGGGTTGGTATAGGGTTTGTGTCAAGTTTTCCGCCTTTTTGCAGTGCTGGTGTCCTGCGTTGTTTTGCGCCCTTAGTCGGTTCTTACGACACCCACGGGATGAATTGGGGTAGTGACCGTTGTTGTCCGTGTAGTGACGGATTAAGAATACGAAATGTCACTACCCCATATAATTGGTGTAACGTAATTCATGGATGACCAATTTTTGGTGACGGGAGATGGAAAATCCCTTCGGATCTCCTGGCCCCCGGGCACTACCAGTAAAAACCACTAAAATATACATAATATACCTTGTTTCCGTAGCATTCATCAGCACCATGGTGACAATTGAACTGCCATTTGCCATCGACTTTGTCGTGCTGCAATAGAAGATAAAGGGAGTTAATAAACTACTTAATTAATAACGACTGCACGGATGGCGTAGTGGTTTAAGTGGTCGCCACGCCGCTTCCTACTACGCGAGTGTTGTGGGTTCAAGCCCCACATGGGACGACTTTGTGTGATCCACATTTTGTTGTTCTGAGTCTGAGTGTTCTCTGTGTCCGTTTCATGTATATTTGTAAAGTCCCCCGCGACACAGGATATATTCCTAATGCGGGAGTTGTCTTTTAAAAGAGAGAAAAATTAGGTTACTTAGTTGCTTATCTAGGAGAACAGCAAACACTCTAATTCGTTATAATCTAATTCAAATAACCTTTATTGTAACCTATATAATGTAGGTATAAAATCTTACGCTAAAATCTATACAAATAAATAAAGTTTAAGTGTCTGTTTGTAATGTCAAAACAATAGGTTTTTTTTCATGCTTACACGTTTATTTCCATGATAGCCATGCCTAAAAACCAGTTTAAATATTTTTTGTCTGTCTGTCTGTTTGTTCCGGGTAATCGTTACAATGGCTGGACCAATTTTAATAATATGTTACAACCAGGTTGCTGTCTATATGAGGAGTAACTTAGGCTATTTAAACATCACAGAAAACCCTATAAAATTTTGCCAGGTCCGGGAATCGACTGCAGTCGCGTACCGTAGTACACCGCTAAGGCAGCCCTTTTCAAATTCCACGCGAAGGAAGTGAATAAATAAAAATAAAACGGGTGAGAAAATTATCTTTGATATAGGAACAAATAGGGAACAACAGATATTTTGCCTGCATAATAGTTGACTCGTCTGCGTCTCTCTAAAGGAATATATTTTCCCCGTTTGGGCAACATTTGTCATTGATACTTGACTCGACGATTGGATGGCGTAGTGGTTTGTGTAACGGACTGCTATTTCAAATGTCGCGGGTTCGATTCCCGCTCAAGTCAAACATTTGTGTGCATGAAAATTTGATGTTTGATTTGGTCTGGGTGTTTCTATGTATAATATGTATGTATTTACAAAAAAAAAAGTATATATGTATTTATATCAGTTGTCTAGTACCCATAGTACAAGCTCTGCTTAGTTTGGGACTAGATGGCGTTGTGTCTATGTGGTAGAATATATTATTATTATTATATTATTATTACTCCTATTGGTCGTAGCGTAATGTTATATACCCTTTACCCTACCTCGATTAATGGGTTATCTAACACTAAAAGATTTTTTTAATTCGAACTAGTAGTTCTTGAGATTGGCGTGTTCAACCAAACAAAGGAACTCTTCAGCTTTAAGTAAAATGTTAAGTACTAACTTTATCCCCCGGCTCCGCCCGCGTGTATGTTGGTTATCGTGATTAATATTAGTCTATGTGCTTTCTAAAGAATCAAACTATATCTATACCAAAGTTCATCTAAATCGGTTCAGCGGGTTAAGCGTGAAGAGGCAACAGACAGACTTTGGGAATTAGTTTGATTCTTGAGGAAGGACATAGGCTAGACTTGATCATCCATACTTTATGTAAAAGCGAGTTTGTTTTATTTTTTATGCTTTTACACCTAAACCATTAATCCGATTTAAAAAAAAAACACCAATGAATGGCAACCGATATAATAATAATATAATAATAATAATATTCTACCACATTCACACAACGCCATCTAGTCCCAAACTAAGCAGAGCTTGTACTATGGGTACTAGACAACTGATATAAATACATATATACTTTTTTTTTTGTAAATACATACATATTATACATAGAAACACCCAGACCAAATCAAACATTAAATGTTCATGCACACAAATGTTTGACTTGAGCGGGAATCGAACCCGCGACCTTTGGAATAGCAGTCCGTTACACAAACCACTACGCCATTCGGTCGTCAAATACATTTGTATATGATATGGATGATGACCGATATAAACGCGGGCAGAGCACGGGCAAAACCTTCATCAACAGCCTTTAATAGTCCACTGCTGGACATAGGCCTCTCCTCAGAAAGGAGGTTTTTGGCCTACTATACCACGCTGGCCAGACGGGTTGGTATAGGGTTTGTGTCAAGTTTTCCTTCTCTCTGCAGTGCTGCTGTCCTGCGTAGTTTCCTGCCTTAGTCGGCTCTTACGGCACCTACGGGATGAATAGGGGTGATGACACTCTGTATTCTTAATCCGTCACCACACGGCAAAACCTACTACTCGTACCATAATAAATGGAAGATTCTACGTATTGTAATCAACAGCTATCAATATTCAAAAGACACGTTTCAGAAATAACCACGAGCAGTCAAAACATCAGAACACATAAAATAGCGGTAATCAATATTTTTATTATATTTATGACCAAACTTACATATGTATATTATTTTTCCGTGATGTGACGGATTGAGAATACAGAGTGTCACCACCCCTATTCATCCCGTGGGTGTCGTAAGAGCCGACTAAGGGAAAAAAAATACGCAGAACAACAACACTGAAGAGAGAAGGAAAACTTGACACAAACCCTATACCAAGCCGTCTGGCCAGCGTGGTATAGTAGGCCAAAACCTCCTTCCTAAGGAGAGGCCTATGTCCAGCAGTGGACTATTGAAGGTTGTTGATGTGACATATATTATTACGGTTTACAAAAACCAACTTGCTACAAATAGCGCCGCTCACACGGATGCTGCGAACGCTCACATGATATCAAACGATATTGATATTTTTTCATGTTCCAACGTATTCGTACGAGTTACTTATAGACTATATTGTAGTTAGTTTGTCATTTAGTATCTTTTTGTTTTTGCATTCTTTATGTTCTATATTGTTTTTTTTTTTGTTTATCTGTTACAAATCTATTGTATTAGGTAATAATCTGTAAAAATAAAGCTGTGGCAATTAAAAATAATATAATATTTCGGATATCTTACACACAACGCCATCTAGTTTCAAACTAAGCAGAGCTTGTACTATGAAAGCTAGATTGACGGATAATATACGGACGGACGGAATACTTAAATACCTTTTTTTTTAAATATATGCATATTATACATAGACAACACCTAAACTCCGAAACAAATATTTGCGGATCATACAAGCATTTGGTCTGACCCGGGAATCGAACCCGAGACCTCAGAACAGCAGTCGCATACGCTACCACTGTGCCACCGAGGCAGTCGAATAAATAAAAAGAAAAAAAAAAAACACAGGAAACCGGTATTAAGTAATATGTGTTTGCTTTGAGGTGTGTGAGGTTACCGGAACCCAAACTCCAATCGAACCGGCATATTGCCTCGTTTGTGCAATGGTGGCTTATGAGACTGCTGTGCTGAAGTCTAGGTACGATTCCCGGGTCGGATCAAATGTTAGTATGATCTGCAAATATTTGTTTCGGAGTTTGGGTGTTTCTATGTATAATATGTATGTATTTACAAAGTATAAAAGTATTCTATCAGTCAATCTAGCTTTCATAGTACAAGCTCTGCTTAGTTTGAAAACTGACTGACTCGAGCGGGAGGGACTCCCAAGGGCAGCAACGCACCCGTGACTTTTGACTTGCTGGTGTCCATGGGCGCCGGTAGTTGCTTACCATCAGGTGACCAGTCTGCTCGTTTGCCTCCTTATACCATAAAAAAAAGACGTCGGAAATATTATTATATTTCTGTCGAAGCGTTGCTCACGCTTTCCATGGCATACTTGGCTTAATAATATTTAAAAAAACTAAACAAGATATAACAAACTTACCGTGGCTTTGCCATAGGGCACCAATTTCACCTTGATAACTCCTCGGAAGTCCCTCCACACTGGCGCCAGCTGCTGAACAATGAAGGCCTTGCTGTCTGGACATAAGGACTCGTAGTATACTGCAATCTTCACCTGGTGGGGTAATACCATCCATTTAATATACTTGTATCTGGTTTAAAAATAAATAAAAAGTCCTTATATATCCTGGTTACTCTGTCTATGTATATAATAAACATTGAAATGTTATCAGATTGCGGGTTCGATTCGGTTTTAGGAATAATATCTATGTGTTTTGTGCGTTTATTAGATTTATAATTAGGGACTAATCCCACCCACACGCCCACCACTGTAACTCCTGTACACCAGGATTCACAGCAGTGACCCACGAACACACCGAGTTATGACACTCGGGAAGTCCCAGGAAGAAATTAAACTGTCTTGGAACCCGCAACGAAATTAATCAGAAGAAAATTGGAGGAGTTGGAAATACAGTAAATCCAGATTTATAATTAGTGCATATTTTGAATTTTTGAGAGAATGGTCTTTGGTCTTGTGATTAGCGACCTTATTGCTAAGCCGGAGGTCGTAGGTTCGATTCCCACACAGCACAAATAATTGTGTAATGAGTGCGACCATTTATTCTTTTCCTGGCTGTAATTTATCTCGAATATTTATTTATTTACACATCATGCACATTAGGTGCATTGGCGGACTTAATGCCTAAGGCATTCTCTACCAGTCAACCATTGGGTGATGCAGAGAAAACAGGCAGTAGAACATTTTAGTTACAGTTAATTTTATACTAACAGCAATTTGAGCTGAATACCAAATGAAATATTTACACACATATAAACCTATCATATACTACACCAATACATATTACACATACATTACAATACATCATTATCATCACATCAACAGCCTTTACTAGTCCACTGCTGGACATATGCCTCTCCGTAGAAAGGAGGTTTTGGCCTACTACTGGCTTGGAATAATAAACATAATAAAATAGAACGATAACGAATGCTAATAATTACAATATATAACAATAACACACAGCAATTAGATACCAAACTAGGCACAGCACATGCTATGGTAACAAGATTGCTGATAAACATACTTAAAAATATTTCTAAATACATACATATTGACACAAATTGTTGTTCAGCGTCTGGGTGTTCTTTGTGTCCGTTTCATGTATGTTTGTAAAGTCTCCCGCGACACCGGATATATTACTAATGCGGGAGTTGTCTTTTTAAAATAAGAAAAAAAAGTTAAAAATAATAGTTAAAAAAACTAAAAAAAACACGCTTTTTGTAGAAAACCAAACTAAAAAATAGATATTTTTTTTATCAAATTTATTAAAATTAATTTTCTATTTTTTTAGTTTTTTTTTAATATTATTATTTTTTATTTTATTTTAAACTAGCTGACCCGCGCAACTTCGTCTGCGTCTCTCAATAGTAATAAATTTTCTCCGTTTTTGAAACATTCTTCATTGGTGCTCCGCTCCTATTGGTGTTAGCGTGATGATATATAGCCTATAGCCTTCCTCGATAAATGGGCTATCTAACACTGAAAGAATTTTTTAAATCGGACCAGTAGTTCCTGAGATTAGCGCGTTCAAACAAACAAACAAACAAACAAACAAACAAACTCTTCAGCTTTATAATATTAGTATAGATTAGTGTATCATCGGTCCTCGATATATCTACAAAGATGGAACGTATTCTGACCGTTTAAACTCAGTTAAAATCACGCCCAAAGGAGTCGGTTACAAACATACACACAGGTGAAGCGTGAAAAAATGAATGGTTACTATTTTGTTATTTTTATAAGCCGTCATCGGCTACAGCGCTCCATTCCTCTTTCACTCATAGACCCTATCCCCACATACTATAAGTTAGTTAACTTTTCATTTAACTACCAAAATGTTCACTAGAAATAATACTATATATTATAAAGCTGAAGAGTTTGTTTGTTTGTTTGAACGCGCTAATCTCAGGAACTACTGGTCCGATTTGAAAAATTCTTTCAGTGTTAGATAGCCCATTTATCGAGGAAGGCTATAGGCTATATATCATCACGCTAAGACCAATAGGAGCGGAGCACCAATGAAGAATGTTTCAAAAACGGACAAAACTTATTACTATTGAGAGACGCAGACGAAGTTGCGCGGGTCAGCTAGTAATTTATATGGCAAAACAAATCCAGGTCTTCTAGTAATTACATAAGGAGCTGAACAGTACCCATAAATGTCCACTAACCAAACACACTCGGGTACGTGCATAAATGTGAAATGAATTTCAATGAATTTGAACAATTTTCTCCTACTTGAAAGTAGTGCATAAAAGGCTGGCAACATTTGTTTTTACTGTTAAGAATTGACAGTTAGTTGTGTCACTTTCTATATGGTAATACGCACATCAATCTTTGACTTCTATTTAAAAAAAAGCGTTGGGTGCCTATTGTCAATAGTAAAAAGCACCCCACGCATTTTTTCAAATTTATTAAAATTTATTTCATATTTTTTTAGTTTCGTTTTCTATATAAAGCGTGTTTTTTTAACAATTTTTTTTTAATATTTTTTATTTATATTTTAAACTAGCTGAGACCCGCGGTGTTACCCGCGTCTGTTGTTATAACCGCGGGCAACGCCGCGGGGCGAAGCTAGTCTAAAAAAAGTAGCCTAAGTTACTCCTTATGTCATCAGCTATCTGCCAATGAAAGTCCCGTCGAAATCGGTCTAGCCGTTCCAGAGATTACCCGGAACAAACAGACAGACAGACAGACAGACAAAAATTGAAAAAAATGTTATTTTGGCTTAAGTACCGTGTAAACATACATATTATGCATTTAGTAAAAAGCGGTTATTTTAATATTACAAACAGACACTCCAATTTTATTTATTTGTATAGATTAGTGTATTGTCATCGGTCCTCAATATATCTACAAAGTTTGAACGAATTCTGACCGTTTAAAGTCAGTCAAAATCACGCCCAAAGGAGTCGGTTACAAACAAACATACAGACAAACATACAAGTGAAGCGTGTAATATTTTTCCACATTTGCCGATTCCATTTTCTTTTTAAAACTATTACATTCTTACTAAGGTTCATTTGAAGGCCGACCATCAATAAAACCAACTAAATACTTATTCAATACTAGCTGAGACCCGCGGTGTTTGTTATAACAGCCCTGTCCAGTAGACCAGTCTATACGGAACTACCTACTTGCGTACTTATTTACTTAAACAACGTCATATATTTTTAAAATTTATTTAATGGGGAAATATGAATATCATAATTCCGCTTTCAGAGCATTATGGGTCCGGTTTAAAGTACGTTTGTCAATTTTTCGGAAGATTGTTTGCGAAGTGCTGTGTTTTTACTCCATAAATAATGCTTAGTCATTGCAAATCCAAGGTACTGAACCCTAAAATGCACCCAAAGGCATTGTTAGGTTCAGTAGAAAATGTGATGATACCGAACGGTGAATTTTAATTTGAGGGCCGCTTTTTTGGATAGATTAGATTAGATTTAATTTGATGTACCATTTTTTTGTTATATAGCTTTTTTTTTATGGTGTAAGGGGGCAAACGAGCAGGCGGGTCACCTGATGGTAAGGAGCGGGAGGGGAGGATGTGGGATCCGGTAAACTCACTCACTTAGTGAATCACTCCGGTAGAGACGGTCCGAAGCATGGCTCTCCCACGTAAAAACTTTTAATTTTATATCGGTTCCGTAGTTTATAAGTAGGCTATAAAACCCATGAGAGGACATTGTGGGATCAAAGCACGGTCATTTTAAATTAAGATATGTAACTTACAGTGAAACTAATTAACTTAAAAAAGATTTCCACGTGTAATCTCTGTTTGGTTATATTTAACGTCTATTAAAAACTTTTTAGTCCCTTTGACTTATGTCTCTGTACGTCACTCGTCCACGTGGGACTTACTAGAGTCTTCTTGAAAATGTATTCTTTATAAATGACTGATATTAAACATACTTTTGTAATATTTTCAATCCGAAGTATTCGTGGTGTATGTGTGTATGGCGCCTTCGTAGTGGTGGTTGTTTTGGTTGTATCTGTGGTGATTTTGGTGGTGTGTGTAACTGGTTTGTGTGTAACAGTCTTCTCAAGCTTGGGTGAACGCATTGAAGCCCATTTCTTTGTCGTGAGACGCTTGAACGTGGCCCGTGTAGTTTTTTTTCCGCTCATGCATGGCAAACATGGGACTAGACCCTTTAAGAACAAGAATTAAATACATTATTTTGTTAAGTTTTAAATAGATATTGTAAGATATAAAATAAATATCGTACTTTTTCAATTAGCGATAAGTACTGACCTAAGGGTGTCAGATATCGCACTATGTGTGCCTAAAATCGCTAAGTCCGAAACCAGTGCCTTCCTGGTATTCACATGTAAGTAAAACGGTTTTCCGTTTATCAGATATTTGAAGTTATTATTAACTTTAAATATTTAACAGTGAGGTAAGGTTTAACCCGCGTGTGTATCTCATTTATTCAAGACTGCACGGATGGCGTAGTGGTTTAAGCTGTCGCCACGCCGCTCACTATTACGCTGAGTGTTGTGGGTCCGATCCCCAACTGGGGCGACACTTTGTATCATCCACAAATTGTTGTTCTGAGTCTGGGTGTTCTTTGTGTCTGTTTCATGTATGTTGTAAGTCCCCCGCGACACAGGATATATTCCTAATGCGGGTGTTGTCTTTTTAAAATAAGAAAAAAAAGTTAAAAACCAACCGTTTACACTTAATCTGTCTGGTCCGAAATTAGACAAGTATTTTCAAAACATACAGGTCGCTTCCACCTCTTTATCACTGTGGAAATCCCCTCGGAAACCCCCACCGGACGGCCGGTGGTGTGGTTATGTCGGACTCGAACCGACTAAAACTGCACGCCGGGAACCATTTGTAACCTAGAAACGAAAACCCTGTACCGCGATGGACCCCGGGCCTCCTACGGCTTGTAGACGACCCCCTCATGTGTGTGTGTTCACCTTCACCATGGTGTGTGTGTCCACCACCATAACTACGGTGTTCCCTTCTCTAAAGCGTGTCGCGACGGCGCGCTATTGCTGATTACAGTTGATAGAAGACATGAAACTAGTAGGAGGTTAGTCAATAAAAACGTATTTTTTTATTAATCGTCATATTTACTATTAAATATTTCATTCTGTTTCAATCATCATCAACCGCATTTAATAGTCCACTGCTGGACATAATCATCTCCTTAGAAAGGAGGTTTTGGCCTATTATACCACGTTGGCCAGACTGGTGGGTATATAAAATTTGTGTCAAGTTTTCCTTCTCTTTGCAGCGTTGATGACTTGCTTAGTTTGTTCCCTTATTCTTCATCCGTCACCCCACGAATAATAATGTAACATGTTTTAATAAACACCATGAATCCGATATACCTTGTATCTGCTGTATGTTAACGGGACGTGTTATTTACGTCTGAATAACAATATTCATTGTACTCGTAAAATTAACAATCACGAAACGCTTAATAATTAATTAATTACTTATTCACGGACGTTTGACGTGATCGGCGTGACTTAAACGGAATGATTAAATACGTTAACGATTCTTCACGGATAGGTACCGTATTGAAGATAAAATAATTATAATAAATATCGTTGATGTGTGTGAATCAATTTTTAACAGTAATGGAAAGGTGTGATTTAAGGTTCTGTAATAGACATGTAAGTAACGTGAAACGATTATTGGAACGAAGTTCCTTATCGCGCGTTGTGAAAGGGGGCTAGACGGAAAAAAATCTCACGAAAAGTTGTAACGACACTTTTTATTTTGAATTGTCACTTGTCAGTCATTCAGCGCCATCTATCGAATAGATAGGAAATCATTACTTTTCATCTCAGTAAAATTAAAAGTTATGTTCTTAGGTTGAGCAAAAAATATTGTATTCGACATCATTTCTCAAGGAGATTTTACCAATGTATAATTTGTTTTAATTAGAAACCAACTAAATAATATGTAGGTAATAGCCGCTTTCATAGATGGCGTTGTAATTAAAATCGTGTCGAATCAGTTTTACTCGATCGTCACAACTTCGTTCCTATCGGGTGTCCCACGACACCACACGGCTTTTTTTTTACATGATTTTAATGCAGAAATTATTCAACTCAAATAAATTCTTTTGAGAACGTATCCGCGTAATGACGGATTAAGAATACTGAGTGTGTCCCTATTCATCCCGTGGGTGTCGTAAGGCTAAGGGAGTAAACTACGCAGAACTGTAAAGAGAAGGAAAACTCGATTAGATATCTAAAAGAGCGTACTCCTTGAATCGTCTGCTTGTCTACTCCCTCTATCATAGAAAAAATCTTCTGATTGGTTTCTTCTAGACGAGAGTGAACTTAGATAAATACAGAAGATTTTTAAGAAATTACAGTTCTTTGAGATGTTCGTCACAATTTTTACAACTTACCTTGGTTTTAGTGGTCTTCTTATATACTGTGGAGGGATCACGTCGATATCTCATACACGGTTTGTTTTTCATCTAAAGGAGGGTTTCGGAATGATATTTTGCTACTACATTTAAAATACTAAAAAAATGATTAGGTTTTTTTTGGGGAATGACAGAAAGTACCAGGCTAGCAGTAAAACCAAAGAGATTAGCTGTAATTCCATATTGAAGAATATTACATGGTAGTAATCGGTTTTGCATGTACCAGCCTAGCAGTAAACCGAAGAGATTAGCTCTAATAAATCAATAAGATAATTTATGTATAGGTACTATGTAGTGATCGGTTTTCTATGTAGGTTTGTACCAGGCTACCAGTAAGGCCGAGAAATTTAGAAGTTTTAATAAAACCGTTGTTTATAACCTGTCTATTCCTTTTTTTTTTCCTTTTTGACAGTTAGATCAGCAATTCAACATTCTAGTTCGTTTAAAAAGATCAATAGATTTTAAATTATTTAAATCGATTATTCTTTAAGAATAATCGATTTAAATAATTTTAGTTGAAAGTAATTTGTTAGTTTAGTATTACTAAGTACTAAAATTTTAATATTACGTACGTACGTTACGTACTACGGTAAAGTACCAGGGCAGCAGACGAGCTTAGGAATTCTAAACTTCAAACCTCAGTTCTAATATCTATATTGTATAATGTCAATTGGTGAGATAGAGATGGATACTACTCACTTTATTGTCATCCTTCTTGCTCTTGGCGAGGACGCTGCAGAACATTGCCACCAAACAGAATACTGCTATCGCCTTCATTTTGTTCTGGAACAAGAGAATCGAAGTTTAGTGGGAGGTATACCTGCAGAATTAGCAGAAAAAAGGAAGTCATGTTCCCATCACCAGGCACGCACGTCTTGTGGATTTGACTGGCCTGTTGATCCAGTGGTTAGTGACCCTGACTGTTACCTGTTAAATATGTTTATCAGCAGTCTGGTTATTATATTATAACCAATTATTTATCAATGTAGGTACATTGTAACCTACAAAGATTTTACGCGCCTTTTCTTTTAGAAACTGCCACAGTTAAAAAAAGTTATTTACAACGAAAGAGGCGATATAATTCTTTATGGCCAATAAACCTATAAAATACAACTCTATTGGAAAGGCGTTGACTGTTTCACTCGAGAACAATGTAACGTCGATTATTACATGTTTCTAAGTAGCAAACAATTGCTGCGAAGCCGTGGGAATATCAACTCGCCTTATTGTACGAAACATGTAAATAGTTTTTTAGTAATTATGTGAATTCCATTACGTTGAAATACACATGGCATTTGGAAAATTTAAAGATGAGTGATGACACTAGAGGAATGAGATACATTTTAAAACATTTCACAACGATGCGAGTGTCACTGAGTGACCAAACAAAATTAAAAAAAAAGATTACGGCATTTGGCGCCGTTTTGTGTTTGCTGTCAAAATTTTTATTTTCTCGAACTTAGAAGTGGTGTGTTAATGGTTTAATTTTGGAATCAAAATGTAATGTTTTATCAACATGTTTACAGTTTATCGACCGTGTGGTGACGAATTAACAATACGAAGTGTCACCCTATTCATCCCGTGGGTGTCGTAAGAGTTGATTAAGGGAGCAAATAGATAACAACACTGCAAAGAGAAGGAAAACTTGACACAAACCCTATAAGCGTGGTATAGTAGGCCAAAACCTCCTTTCTTAGGGGATGCCTATATCCAGCAGTGGACTATTAAAGGCTCTTGATGTGATAGTAAACAAAACTGTGTCAAATTGTTTATATCAACGCTCAATTGTGTCGTGACAGTCGCTTTAGAGAAACCAGTACCAGTTACTGACAATAAAATACAGTTAGACAAGACGCTAAGTGATATATCGCAATGTTCCAACGCGTCTGCGTACGGTGCGAGTTACGAGCGGCCATTATTGTTGTTTTTTTTTGTTTTTAAACTTGTCATCTCTACACTTCAAGGAATTTTTTATAAAGCTTATGTTTAGAGGACGTCTTTTTTATATTGTAGTAGAGCAAATGAGTAGAAGTGTGACCTGATGGTAAGTGACTACCGCCGCCCATGCATCATGAGTGTGTTTCTGCCCTTTGCCTCCCCCCAGAATCAGGAGGGGAGGACCGGTACACACATAAATAGACTCGAAAAACATAACCCTCTTTTTGGCGCAGTCGGGTAGTAAAAAAACAACCGAATGAAGATTCTGTTCCTTTTTGAAAGGAGTCGGTTAAAAAAAACGCTTACATCTCATCACATGCAGCCAAGTCGGGTCATCGCTTGACCCATACGAGTGACATCGTTCGAAAGTACATATCTTTGTGTACATATATGTACGTATACACGTCTTGTACACGTCTACCGTTGTACAGACAGTTTAGAAACTTGCTTTTCAAGGTTTAAAACGTTTGAGAAAGTCTATGAGTGCATGTAAAAAGTTAGGCGGCCATTTTATTCTATGTCAAACTTTCGCGGGCTTTTGTTTTACTAAGTGACATTTAGGTTTTTGTGTATTTATACACACGTGAGTTATTTTTATCTGGAGAACTGGCTTTTTAGTTCTGTTGTTGATGAGCCTGACTGTTAAACCAGAGATAGTGTGTTTAACACCCACCCAGGATCAATAATCGTGTGATGAGTACGATCATTTGTTCTCTGTCTGGGTGTAATTATTAATAATATGTTTGTATTTAGCGATAAACAAGTATGTTTATAAGACGGCCGTGTGTGACGTGTGTCGTGTTATTATTAGCTTCACTAGCAACTGTGTTTTTAAACAAAATAACGTTGGAAGTAAATTTTAACCTACTTTTAATTATCGCATCGAATTATAACTTTGTATGCAATGATATTATATACATAGAAGAGGTAGATACGCCACCAACGCACAAAACGTGAGAGTCCACAAAAAGCGCGCGCACGTACTAATTAATTCGAAAAAATCACAAAATGCCTTCTGTCTTTGTACTGATTACAAATAGATGTCTCTTTCACTCTTATGTTTTCCTTATTTTCTATCGCATCTGTAGCGTATGTTTTGTTTTAAAATGCATTAATAATAGATGAACAACTATTTTGTGAGTGCAATATGAATGTAACGTATCTTCAGAACGACAATACTATAATTTGGATCTTGGAGCTGGTTCTTAATCTTGTTTTGTCTTCATTGTCTTTTTACCATTTAGTCCTTAATAACTGACATATTGGCACACATCGAAACAATGTTGTGATATATTTAATGATGCTATTGTTTATAGATGTAACTTTAAAAAAAGTGACCGTGAGTGTGTTTGCCCTTTCTTCTCATAAAGCTCAACCTTTTGGAAACGGGCAGTTATAGATAGGCATAAGCATATTTTCGATACGTCCCTATACATATACTTATTTATTTTTCTAAATATTTGACAAAACAGAGATTGTTGCTATTGTGCATGTTGATCTACGACTTTAGAGTCTATAGTCATAAGAGATGATTTCAAGCAATTAAAAAAAAATGAAATAAACTTAGATTATTTAAATATGTCATATTTATAATGCAAGGAATTAAAGATATTTTGAGTTTGACGGGTGAACTTTGAACAGTAGTGGTTTTTAAATGGCTTCTAACCACCCTTTATCGTGAAGGACTGTGGCAGAGCGCTTATTAAACCTTTGTTACATATATTTAATTTGTGTTTAAGAGAGGGACGTTACCCGGATCGTTGGAAAATTACGAGAGTGATACCGGTCCCTAAAGGCAGTGGGAGCGACGATGTAAGTGGTTATAGACCGGTGGCGGTACTGTCAGCTTTCGCTAAATTATTTGAATTCGCATTGCACTCGTCCATCTATGCACAGGTAAGCTCTCAACTGACTGATGCTCAGCACGGGTTTCGGCCGGGTCGAGGTACGGGCAGTAACCTTTTATCCTTTGTGACATATTTTGCGCCCATCATTGACGCAGGTGGTCAGATTGATTGCGCGTACTTCGATTTCCGGAAGGCATTCGACTTAGTTGATAACGATATGCTATTATCAAAGATGGCGGCGTTAGGTTTCACGCCGCACCTACTGAAATTCTTCGCGAGATACCTTGATGAACGCAGGCAGTACGTTGAGTATGCTGGTTATGAATCCAGTCCGTATTTTACTCTTTCGGGTATAAGTCAGGGGTCAAATCTGGGACCGTTAGAATTCATAATAATGATCAACGATCTCCCGAGGGTCTTACGGCATGCCGAGTGCCTGCTTTTTGCAGATGACCTTAAGGTATATCTGTCGATAGCAGACGCGTCGGACGCTAGGCGACTACAGGAAGACATAGACCGGGTAGTGCAGTGGAGCAATACCAATAAGCTGTACTTTAACATAGCTAAATGCGGAGTTATGAGTTACAGCCGGGCTAGGGCTCCACTGCGCTACACATATGAAATGGACGGTGCGTTGATGCCGTACTTTAATAGCATCCGAGATTTAGGAGTCGAAATGGTGCCCGAGTTGACGTTTCGTAATCATATCGTTACTACATGCAGTAAATCATTTAGAAATTTAGGATTCATTTTGAGAAACTGTAAAGATTTAATAACACGTCAGTGGTGAAAATATTGTACAATGCTCTCGTTCGTAGTCATCTAGAAGCGACCGCTATAATTTGGAATCCTCATGAGGCTAAATATAGCCTTATGGTGGAAAAAATACAAAACAAGTTCGCTCGATTTCTGTACTACAAAGAATACGGGGTGTACCCACTATACCCGCTCATGTACCCAAGCTTATTCGTCCTCGGCATGGTCGGGTACGTGCGCCTGAGCGTGAGGCGAGACGTGGCGCTGGTGACATACGTGTGGCGCGTGCTGCGCGGTCGTCTGCACCAACCCGACATACTGGCGAGTTTGCGGCTGTGCGCCCCTGACGGGTGCGTGGGTGCGCGCCGCCAGCCCCCGCGAACAAATTTACTTCGATATGCTCCTATATCACGCGCCATAAGGCTTATTAATATTATTTCAATACAAGTAGATATCTACAACTGTAGCCTGCCGAACTTCAAAGAAGTCGCACAGAGATGTATTACAGCAAATGATTTTTATATATAAATAACTGTTACTTACTGTTTTTACTTACAGTATCGTTTTGGGATAAATCCTGTAAAGACACTGTAATTGTTTTTAATAAATAAATAAATAAATAAAAAATGTTACTATTCATAGATAACTTTAAAGTATCGACGTAACAAGACCGAGTGACACACAATTCATTGCCTAAACAAGTCTATAGCGGTAAAAAGATACAATTTATAAAACTTGTAACTTAATTTTGCCGCCATTTTATTATATGTCACAAGTTTTTTTTTTATTCGAATGAATGAAATTAAAACAGCGCACCCGCGAATACATCCTCCATTATAAACTTAAATATTTTAATGTCAAAACCTTTTTTTTTTAAATAAGAACGAATGTGATTTCAGAACTTGTTTGGCAAGGTCATTTATATTTCTATTTATAAAGCATTATAATTTGGAAATTACGATTTTTTTGTTACAATTGTATAATAAATTCTTCTTGTAACATCCTTCCTGCAGCGTTCCTGTAATCGAGGAGAAAGAAAGAAGGGAAGGAAGTGTATTACAGGAAGCCGGGAAAGCGCGCGAATTTGATTTGCTCAAAGAACGCGCGCTATTTGTTTTAACCAAACCAAGCACACGGAGCTTAAGATGTTTAACTAGAATTTTAATCAATAACAAGACACAGGGCTATTAAGGCAAGGTCACCTGATGGTAAGTATCTACCGCCCACCACTCCCCCAGAATT